CATTAGGCACGGAGAACGGAGTTGCTTGAGAAAGGTGATATACAATCAGCTGAGCTGGAGTCCAGCAAGGAGAGCAGAGCTGGCACCCAAACCCATTTGAAACAAATATAAATCCTGGCACAAAACTGCAAAGGGATCAAGAATTCATTGTTAAGTGTCACCAGAGCCTTTTCCACCCCAAAACCTCAGTGCCCAACAGTTCCCTGCCACAGAGCACTGAGAGCCTCCCACCTCCGCTCGCTGCCAGCCAAGGATTTTCAGCCAGACAGATTTAGGATGGAGGCCAGCACCATGGGAACATGAAAGGAGACATGCAAACATGGCCTGTGCCCATGCAAAGTCTATGGCTTTGTGCTGGCATTCCCAAGAGCAAAATCCTTGACCTCATTGAGAAAGAGCTTGAAAAGCAAAAAGAACAGAGACGACAGAGGTAGGATGCACCCTCCCTGGCGATGGGCACGGAGCACCCCAAACACCGGTGAAACCCACACCCGATGCTTATCAAGCTCCAGAAGGAGCAGCAAAGCAGAAAGGCAGCAAAGGCGTTTGGAGCCAGGCTCGCCAGGGATTGCTCCCCTTTATCAGGGCCACCCCATCCCATTCAGCCTCCACCTGCACACTGCAAGGAAACCCAAGCTTGGCAAAGTGCCCCCTGAGCCCTGCCCAGCTCCCAGGAAGATCTCAAGCCACTCGTTTTTTGCCGTTGAGCTATCTTGATAGCCTGGGAGCAGCTCCAGGTGCTTAACTTTGTTTAACGTTTTGACACCCCATCTAAATTGCCTGTCAAAGTTCGGAGCCCTGCCCCAAGAGAGCTCCTCCAGCCTGACACCAGCAACGAGACTTTCCAAGCAAAGCTCCAGTGCCCTCCACTCCGCAAGCAAATGGAGGACGGGAATAACAAGAACACCTCTGCTAACAAAACACCCAGCACCTGGTGGGAGGGAGGTAGTAAAAGGGAAACACCGAGGAGGGAGCACGGCGCCGTTATGCAATCGCGTTATCTAACGACCACAGAGACACCCTATAGGGGCTCTTTGTTTGCGGAGGGTAGGAGAAAGAAATGCCACCAATATCTGAGTCACTGGTTCACCAAGAGGCTCCGAAGTTATTTTCAGATGGAAACTTTTCCAGTTTCACATGATAATTTGGGAGGCCTGGCTAACTCCTTGGCTCCACCCCCCGCCTTGTAACACAGCTCCCTGCTGCTGTTGCATATATAGATAGGTATGGCCCTACAACTCGGTGCAGACAGAAGAGCCTGGAGACAGAGGAAACCTAAACTTCCTTCCTTGCTGGCCGCCCTCTACCCACTCCCACTATGAAGAGGGAAATATTAACCTTGGCCTTTGCTCGATCCGTCTTTGTCGAGTTCATCTCCACGCTCATCTTCGTCTTCATCGGCCTCGGCTCAGCCCTGAAGTGGCCGTCTGCCCTCCCCAGCATCCTGCAGATCTCGCTGGCCTTCGGCCTGGCCATCGGCACACTGGTGCAGGCGTTCGGCCACATCAGCGGCGCCCACATCAACCCCGCGGTGACCATCGCCTTCTTCGTCGGGAACCAGATCTCCTTCCTCCGGACGCTCTTCTACGTGATCGCCCAGCTGACTGGGGCCATCGCCGGCGCTGGCATCCTCTACGGCGTGACACCAGCCAACACCCGCGGCAACCTGGCCATCAATTCGGTAAGTCTCCCCAGCTGGAGGTGATCCGCCGTGATGATCACCTCCCATGCAGGCTTTGCTTCCCTTGTAAGCGAGCAGCTGGCACGAGCACCAACCCGGAGGGCCAAATCCGTACGGATGGCTGGTGTTGGCACGGTGTCCCGCGTGCACGGAGGGACGGGAGCAAGATAGGAGCAAACGTCGATGTAGCCAGCAGAGTATTGACATGACAGGTTTATTGTGTGGGGTAATGAACGGCGTGGGTTTTTCTCCTTTAATAAGTGCTTCCTTTATCCTAAGGGCCCCAGTGAGTCACCAGCACCATTGAGATGTTCTTGACTGCAGCCTCTCCACCTGGAGATTAGTGTCAGGATAGGAGCTGCACCGGGAGACAGAGGGGGAGGGCAGAGAGCAGAGCCCAGTCAAACCAGTATGGGCAGGGGCAGCAGAAGCCCACTGGGGAGCTGGGAAATGGCTGTGGATGGAGAGAGGGTGGGGAGAGGAGCAGGAGAAGGTGAAAAAGGAGAAATGGCTGGGAGGGCACAGAGGGGCTGTGAGGGGAAGGGGCTGCTCTTGGAGGAGGAGGAGAGACAGCGGGACCCTCCAAGAGCAGCAAGGCCAGGGAGCACGTCTCAAACCCTCGGGGCAGCGCTGGGAAAGCAGCTGAAATGGGAGCAGTGGAGCTACTGCTTCACCTGAGCCCAGGTCCGGACCCCTCGGAGCAGCACAGGCACATTGCAGAGGGTTTGATCACTGGGATGAGGTGCTGCAAGGTGCCTTACTGCCACATGCTACGTGTCCCAAACCAGTCACCTTGAGGTGAAAAGAAAAAAAAACAAAAAGCCACCACAGCTTAGGTCACTTCGTCCTTCCCATGCCTGTTGAGGTTGAGTCCACCTGACACAGTCCCCAGAGGCTGGGGAGGCCCTGGGACAGAAACAGCCCAGTTTACCCCCATGACGTGCCCCGTTGTCCCCCCCAGCCTGTACCCTTCCTCCCCTGCCCCTCTGCAGCGGCTGCTCCCCAGCCTCCTGGGGAGGTGCTCCACAAAGCAGAGGGGGGAAGAGCCAGGATAAATTGGCTTGCAGTGAGCAAGGGGGAGAGTAGTGCAGGTAAAAAAGGGACAAAGTGTGCAGCTGGAAAAGCTCTGAGTGCTGCAGCGAGAGGCAAACGAGGAGAGAGATGTGGACTGTCAAAGGAAAGAAGGGGCTTGGGGGGGGGAAGAGAAGGGTTAGGGGGAAGACTTTGGGGAATTAAACAGAGAGAAAGAATTTCTTCCCTTGCAGAGAAAGGAGCAGGGAGCCTGAGCAGCAGGAAGCTCCGTGCCCTGCTCTCTGGGCATGGGCAGACCTGCTGGGGCTTCACACGCATGGCTCTGCCATCCCAAATCCACCAGAAAAAGCCCTCCCAACGCTGCCAAGCCCTGTGGACGGTTAATTATTGCCATTCTTGGTGGTTCACAGCTCAACAACAACACAACCCCAGGCCAGGCCCTTGTGGTGGAGATCATCCTCACCTTCCAGCTGGCTGCGTGCATCTTCGCGTCCACAGACAACCGCAGGAACGGCAACGTGGGCTCCCCAGCGCTGTCCATCGGCCTCTCTGTCGCTGTCGGCCACTTGGTGGGGGTGAGTGTCCAGGCAGGAGGACAGGGCAGGCACTGCCACCGGGATGGGGCTCCCCAGAATGGTCTCACACAGTCGGTCCCAGAGGGACCTACCTTAGAAGCAACAGGGGTTTGTCCGCGATGCGTGGCTCCCTGCCTCCCTGTGAGAGAAACGGCATCAAGGGCCACTTCAGCCATTCCAGGCCCCAGTTCTGCAAAGCTGCTCGTGTTTCCTAAGCAACATGACACCCGCTAACCCCGTCTCCTTTCCTCACCAACAGATCTACTTCACCGGCTGCTCCATGAACCCAGCCAGGTCCTTTGGGCCCGCAGTCATTGTGAGGAGGTTCAGCTCCGCACACTGGGTGAGCATCAGCTACGTGCTGGGACGGGCTGGCTGGGGAGACACCGGGGCCAGACACAGGCGACAAGGGGGAACAGGCAGTAATTCCCATGGGAATACGGCGCTGGGAGTTTCAGAGCCCATCCTGGACCTGCAAAGTCAACAGGAGGGAGGTTGTTCCCCCAAAACACAGGGAGGAGGGATCAGATTAGCCCCATGAGGTGCAAGGAGAAAAGGATGGAGAGCATTGAGCTAGGGCATCACCTGAGGTCAATAAAGCACACAGAAAAGCCCAGGCTAGGCTTTCTGCTCACCCAGCACCATCTGCAAGCTCATCCCCAGCCCTCCAGCACATCAGAGCTCTGCGCTCACAGAGCTTGGCCTCTTCACCAAGCAAAGGTGGAGGGGACTTCAACCCACGAAATCTAGTGGAAGGGGTATTCGCATCTCTCTGGGGGCTGGGAGACGTGGGGCAGCAGGGGGGTGCTGGTGTGATGGCTGCAGCTGGGGCACCAGCCTCTGAGACCTCCTCTCACCCTCTCCCCTGTTGCTTTCTAGGTGTTCTGGGTTGGGCCCATCCTTGGGGCTTGCTTGGCTGCTCTGCTGTACTTCTACATCCTCGTCCCCTACTGCATGAACATGTCAGACAGGGTTGCCATCGTCAAGGGCACCTACGAGTCAGAGGAGGAATGGGAAGAGCAGAGGGAGGAGAGGAAGAAGTCCATGGAGCTGACCCCACCGTAGGAGCAGATGGGGAAAACAAGCAGAAGGAGGGGAGGACACCCCACACGTGGTGTATGCACCAAAACCAGGAATGAACACATCCAGCTACAGTAGACTCTTAAGCAAAAGTCTTCTAACTCAAAGGCCATCCATGACTAAGAAAGAAGAGAACATTGCAGTGTGTGTATATAATCTCTCTACATGAGCACGAGTGCTAGAAGCTCTCCTACCCTAACTGCAGCCAGCTAAGCCCAGCGAAGGAGTCTCAGCCCAGGGCAGCCCTCCGTTGTGCTTTCACACCCACTCGGCTGCATCCATGCCCTTCTAGGTGTGATATTTGCACAATTCAGAGATGCCTAAGACCACACATTTGGCCCACGCAGGATTTCAGGCCTGCCTTTGGTGGCCCAAGGGATGGAAACACCACTTAGACACCAGCAAAGAAGAATGATCACTTTGGGCAGGTGGGTGCAGCAAAATCCCCCTTTTTCTCCCCACCCACTCTGCTCATAGATGCTCTTTCATGCATTAACTGGTGCTGGTGGGTCCTGTTTATTCACAGCTGCAGAAAGAATGCAATTTATTTTTTTTTTTTGATTTTGTGTGAGTTCTTTGTAATATAGTGTGTTATTTATTGTGAATAAAGGAAACTTAAAACACATCATGGGTGCAATCTCACTCAGGTATCAAATTTTTAGGAGCAAAAATGGATTTAACTGGACGCAAAGCCATCTCAATGATCCAGGGAAAGAGCAGGCAGCTGAACCCAAAATCCTGCAGCAGCGGATGGCTAGGGCCACATTTGCCACAGGGGAAGCAGGCATCAAGGGCTGCTTTCCCTTGAGGGCATCTCCCAAGGACTGGAGCTGAAGCAGAGGTTGCCAGGAGAGGTGACACCTTAAAATTAGTCCCACTGATCCTGCTGAAGAAAGCCAGTCCTGGGCAGGACCCGAAGGGGGAACTGTCAGTGCAGCCGACTTGGACACACAGACACTGAAAGCACGTCCCGAGGTCCGGTTTGGTTACGCTTATCTTGCTGTGGATAAAGGGGAGAAGAAGGCAGCTTGGAAGGTGATAAAGTCCTTAATCCTGAGAGAGAAGGAGGAACAGTCACCGGTGCTGGAGTGGGGAGAGAGCAGGGGGTGCCCAGGCGCAGGGCATTGTGAAGCCCATCTCCCGAGGAGGGTGCGAGCTGGGAGGAGCCCAGAGCAATCCTCCTTCGCCGGTTTGACTCAGGCACGGCTTTCTGCCATACCAGTTCTCCCACAAGGTTCCACAGGTGCCCTCAAAAACTGACCCGCAACGCTCCCCAGCCCCCTCGCCGGTGGCACCGATCCCAGGTGCCAAACCCACACCTTCACCCTGACCTTCTGCTGTGGCCCTGCTCTTCCAGTTCTGCCACCACCTTCTGCCAAAGCATCTCACCCAGGCTATCCTGGGCTCACTGCAACATGGGTGCACTGAGCTGGCACAGTCCTGGCCGTCCCTCCTGCCAGCTCCCTAAATCCCGTGCAGAGCTCCACCAGCACTGCCCCTCCTCGTGCTGCAGCAATGAGGTTTCCCCCAAGCACCGATGCCCAAGGTGATGCTTTCCTGCGTGCTCCCAAATACCAGATACAGCTCAAATGTGGTAAGACAGGTCACCTGTAGGTCAGTGCCAGCTGTCTGAGCATGCCAAAGCCATTTTGCAATCCAGGCGATGGCACCGGAGGAGCCTGGGTAGCAGCAGCCCCTTGTCTTCCTCTGCCACCCCAAAGTTCTCAAAAGAAGAGGCAGCTGACAAGCAGGAGCAGAGGAGGTGGAAGAGCTCTTAGCTGGGGTCACACAGATTGGTGGCAGAGCTAGGAAGCAAAACCGCAGTGACCCAGAGCTCAGCGTGGGGCTGGGGAAGCACCCAGTGCCCATGGAAGCAGGTTGGCATCCCCAAAAGCCACATCCCAGTCTCCTACAGATGCACCCCTGGACACTGAACACACAGGGGCTGTCCCTGGGCATCCCTCATTGCTTTTTTGACCCCATCCACCTTTATGCTGAGAAAGGGCCCACGGCTGCTCTGGCAGACCCCACACCCCTTCCCATGGTGGGAGGACAGGGGGGCCCAGCACCCACCAAGGGGCCCAGCCCCGGCAGTGTGATCAACAACAGGGAGAAGAAGCCCAGGCCTGGGTGTGAGCCCTCCATGGGGATGAATCAGAGGATTCTGAAGCAGCAGCTTTGCGTCACCACAAAAGTCAGCAAGGGCACGGCTAGAAAACACAAGCAGGATGGCCCCACACAGGGCTGGGGACAGCGGGAAGGGGGGTGCTGCCTGTTGAGACCCTTCCCCTGTTCGTAGGCAGGGGAGGGCTCTGATAAGCCAGGGATGAATTCATCCACTGGTGCCAGCACCATCCCATGCTGAGCACCAGCATCCTGCACTGCACAAGCCCCTCGCATGCCCGACTTCCCAATGGTCCCTGTTGCATTTAATGGGGCAGAGAGGTTGCATTTAATGCATCCTGCAAGCACCGTGACCTCACCTTCACCAGGATGGGAAACCCTGAGGTCCTCCTGCCTGCTCCCATGGATGGGAACAGAAATGCTGTAAAACAAAGAATGGGTATTTATTTTGATTTTTCCTCTCAACACTCACAGCTCTTCATCCCCATTTTTGATGGGCCTGTTACCACAGAACACGAGGTTTTCAACACCCCTTTGCAAAAATAGCCATTTTGTGGGAAACAACCTTATTTCAGCAGATGCAGAAAGGGCTGGTATTATCCCTGCACATTTGAAACTGGATATACCTACAGTGCCTAATACTGGGCTGTGGTACATACCCGAGGACACAGTCACAAGGTGACATGCTTGTTTTCCCAGGCCCTACTGAGAAACAAGAGTTTCAATTTCTGGAACAGCATCTCCACATACCTCCAACCTGAACACCTACACTACTGCCTGCGTTTCCTTGCAGCCATACAGATCCAACACCGTGGTAAAAAGCCAGCTATATCTGTGCTTCTTGTTTTTAAAAATATATATATGAGATATTTATTGCCAGGCAAAACTGTTACGCTAAGGCACCTCAGCATGCCATTCCTGCAGTGCCATTTGCTGTAATTAAAGATCAGGGGTGGGGGGAGTGGTGGTGGTGGAAGTGGATGCAGTTATTTCCTGAGTATACCCATAAGCAATTTCTTTGCACTAAGAAGATTACGCAGGCTGTTTCTCATCCTTAAGTCAAGTATCTCTTCCACTGGTAGGTAATTACCACAGAATTTTCAAGATTTCCGACTTTTTTCTGGCAGGGAGCAAAAACCCAGCTATTTTCACGTGTTGTGACAGCTCAGAAACCTTTTATGTTTATATGCATCAGAGGCCCTTCCGTCTATGCAAGGAAGGTCTCCAGCAGCTGTCTGTGAATCATTTTACACCCCTGAAACACAAGTTGCCAGGCTGTTGTAGAGGCAGGGGAGGGACCAGGTGCTTGAAGAAAGAGAGACCCAGAGGCAATATCTCAAACAGAATTCTTCAGTGGGTTGCAAAGAGGCACCTGCAAGGGGCCAGCCCCAGCTCTCTCCAACACATTGCCCAGGTGAAAAGGGATAAAATGTGGTGTTAATTGGGAGTGTATCCCTGCTGGACTGGTGGCAGGGTGGATTATTTTGCAATTCTAGATGCTTTGCTTAAAGCCACAGTTTCTGACTTCACAGTAGAAAGCACGAGGCTGTTTTTTCACTTGGAGAAAACAAAACAAACAACAACAAAAAAGAGAACAAGTGCCCAATCCTGCTTGTTGAAAAGAGGATGACAGATGAAAAATCCAGAATAACAACACACAGAATAGCACAGCAATGCAGCAGTATTGCAACAGACTGACACCAGCAGGTCCGTGTGGCAAGGGACGGCAGATGTCCCCTCCAGGAGGATTGCTACCACTTTGCTGCAGAGCACCAAGCATCCAGGAGCCAATTCAGGATCTGCGTGAGCCACCAAAAAGCCAGCACAGAGACATCCTCTCTCTGTGCATGACTCTGCCCAAGGCTTGCAAATAAATCAACAACAACAACAAAAAAAGTTCCCAGTGCATCGCATGCGGCTGATGTGCAGAAACACCACCGGGAAAGGTGAGCTCTCGGCACAGAGACGTGGCAAAGGCTGGCACGGGTGCTGGCATTAGTCATGGCACTGCCTGTGCCAGCACCCATCTCCTCTTAAACACAAGCTCCAAGTCCTCCCCCTCCTACTCAGCCTCTGCCCAGCCTACAGCCGCTGCAGCGCCATTTCGGTACGAGCCAGGAAACAGCTCACATGGACGTCAGGGGCAGACAGCCACCCTTCCTGTTGTCAACAGGCATCACCCTGGCTCGGTAAAGCAGCCTCCGCCTGAATACCGGGTGCCATAATTTGTATTTTGGTTTCTGGGCACTTATCAGGGATGGTTTGGGGTTGACCAGCACTGAATGAGCACGTTGGGTCAGGTTCATGTGAAGCCATCAGAGCCCTGCTTGGCCTTTGTTGCTCCCAGCAAGTCTGCAGCACACAAAATCCCAATGGGTGCATGGCTAGAACAGGGAAGATGCAGCGCTGACACTGGAAATACAGGAAAAGATGAGCACTGAGAAAGCATGCAGTTAAAGAAAAGATCAGGTGGAGACATCCAGAGACCAGGCAGGATCCAAAGAGAGCTTCATGGTGTCTCAGCTCCCTCCAGCACCCTCTTACAGCCCCAAACTGCCTCTGCAAAGCCCAGCAGAGCTCGAAACTATTCGGAGGTGCCCCAAGGCTGGGGACCTGAAGGGGATGGGGCTCAGCTCACCCCAGCACCAGGCACAGGTGCTCTGAAGCAGCACCCATGGGAGAGCAATGGGTGCCCAGGGCACCTCCTGCTGCCCTCTGCTGGGATGCACCAGGGAAAAGAGAAAGAGGACCTGGAAACCCTCCCCAAAACAGGTGCACCCCATACAAAAACCCTCTTGCTTCCACCCCAAAGCCCAGGCAGGGCACCCCATGTGAAAGCAAGGCTTCCTCACCCCGGCATGCGGAGAGCACAGGCTCAGTGCCGGCTGGATCAGGGCCGCCTTTCCACTGCCAAGCTTCCTCTTACTCAAACCTTTGGCCTCCGCTTTCCAGGATACAGCCCACCACTGCCCATTTGTTCCTAATCTCCCTCTTGCAAACAAGCAAAGTCCAGGCACGGTTCATATAATGGGTCCTTGTGTTTCTGGGTGGTGGTGACATTAAAAAAAGAGTAATAAAGTAAAGAAGGGAAAATAAAAAAGCCTGCAGCCCAGAGGGCTGCCTGACAAAGGCAGCTTTGTTGGGAAAGGTCAGCTCCGGAGCCAGAAGGGTTTCCCAGGCACAGCTGTTGAGAGCAACAAGGATGCGAGGACTTAGCAAATAAGAAGGGAATTAAACACATCTTTGTTAAACCACAGCCCCTTGGAGGCCTCTGCAGTGTCCAAGCTCCTGTCCAGGAGAGACGCACGCTCAGGATTTGGGCTGGTTTACTGCAAAGCAAAAGGTTGCCAACATCAGTGCCTGGTCTCAGCCTACAACCAGCACAGTGCTTTGGGGTGGTGCAGGAACAAGGGACGAGTCCTCAAGGACCCTTCTCATGCAGCAGAACTGCAGGGCTACATATGAGGGCTGGGAACCAGCTCAGCTCAGAAGCCACCCCAAAAAATAACCACTAACAAACCAAATAAAGCCTCTGGCATGTGTCCTCCAGCATACAGGCCCTTCTCTGCTGGCTTGACATTAATCCTATTTGGCAAGCCAGCCAGAGCTCTTTTGCCCACAAGCAAGGTGCAGCTGCAGGTTTGTATAATGCCCTCTTGTGCAGACTCAAGAAAAAAAAAAATAATGGACGAGAACAAACTCAAAACGTCCTACACAGTTTGCCTTTTAAAAAGGCCATAAACAAAACAAATAAATTCCCCTTCCCCAATAATTCTTTCAGTTTTTAACAGCCGGGAGTTTTCCCCCATCCCTAGAGCTGTATTAATTTGGTGCTGGGGCAGCCCTTTTCCTGCCAAAGCAATGTCAGCTGGAGCAAACCAGCCTTTTCTTGGCTGTTTTAGAAGTCATTACTTTTTAATCCAGTTATCCAAAGTGCCGATTGCTTTCCCACATCAACAGCCATTGCTCTCCCCGCGTAAAGCTCAGAGTTCATAGGAATTATGGTATCTTTAATCAGTGCTAATCGCCATTGGAGAGGAAAAGGATATAAATGCTATCAGCTCGCTTTGTTCCAAGGGCATAAAAAAATATTTGTCGGGTGTTTCATAAAGAAATCCTGTAAGAACAGTTAATCAGCAGTTAAAGGCTCCCTTTTAAGTGTGGTGTGTAAATATGCACCTATTAGCACTAGTGACATCAGCAGGCTTGTTTTCCATACGTCTTTGTCCTTGGTTTTGCCCCATTGTCTGTTTTATGATTTTGTTTGGATTTTGAGCTAAAAGCCACAGCTGAACCTCGCTAACAGCACAGCTCAGCTCTGCCTCTCTGCAGGCAGCATCCCTGTGCTCAAGTTTACTCCTCCCTTCTGTACCACCCAGCTCCCAAATACTCTTCTACGTGGAAAGAACAATGCATCTAAGATCGCATCTTGGCTCCAGCAACCACTGCATCTCAGCAAGGCAAACTCCGGTTCAAGCACAGCAACGTGGTTTGCTTTAATTAACAAGGCTCTTCCCCACCGCAGAGCTCACCAACCCACATCCAGGCGTGCTCAGGGACTGCCTGTGAATGAGACTTCCCTTGGCACCAGCATCGCCAGGAGCAACATCCAGCAGCCGATTAGCTGCTGGGCTTCAGCTTGTGTCACATTTATTTAGCACCAGCCCTGCTGTCTCCAACAGACCAAATTGGCCAGAAGAGGTACCCACGATTTCTAAGAAGGTTTCTACATAGGCATGGGAGCTGCAGGTCTGAAGGCTACCGCGGCATCCCTTCAGAGGGACTCAAATCCTCCTCTGCAAGGCTTGAGCATAGCAAGAATAAATTTTGCGCAAACATCGTGGAGAAAGGAGGGCTCAGCTGGGTTATTTGAGAACAGCATTGACACTTGGTGCAAGCAAGCAGACAAAACTTCAGTCTCTGGGGCAAGGAGCTGAGGCCAAAGGGTCTGAATTGTGCAGCTGGAGCAGGATGCAACTCCCGGAGTTTATCACTCTGCGTCCCCTGGGGTAGATTGAAAGACATAGCCAAACATCCCCGGCTGAGCAAACACAGCTTCCCTATCTAAACAAGCAAGTGAATCTTGAGGCATAATTTGTCATCTAATTGCACCTACACACCCAGAGTTAATTGTTGCATTTGAATGCGAAGGAGTTTTGATTTATGGCAAGATCAGGTTTCATCAGCTGGCCACCAGAGATGGCTGCCAAACTAAAAGCCACTGCAAGCAGCCAAAGGAGGTCTCTGGTAGGCAAGATTTTTGCAAATCTAAAGACACAAGGGTTATTTAATCTCACAGAAGCCTGTTAGGGGCCCATAGAGATCAAGAAGGTGAAATTAAAACCTCTGCCACATGTGTTCCAGACTCCACTGAGGACTTTTTAGCTAGTGCACAAAGGTAAACTTGTCTCGTTAGTTTATGCAAGATTTTGATAATGTTACAGGCACAACCAGAAAGCAGATAAGAAAAACCTGTCAAAGTTTTCCACATATCAAAGCCATTAACCACCATCTCTGTCTCAGATAATGAAGTGGAATTAAATAAGAATCCCCAGGCCTAAATTGGGATTTTGGCAGGCTGCAGACACATAACCACCGAGGCAGTGAGCCAAACCTTTTTACAGCCACAGGAGCACCCAGTCCCATGGGCACTTCCCAACACACTCACAGTTCTGCCTGCCCAGAACTGCCCCAGCTCAGCTCCCATGGGGCCCCAGAATGAAGCAGCAACCACTTGGTGCTGGGCCAGGGTGCCCTGAGGGACCAAGCCTGCTCACCACAACCTATTAGCACAGCTGACATCTCTTTCCTTCAAAAGCAAGAGGGAAGCACCCACCTGTCACTGCAGAGCATCGTTTCACTGCGGAGCATCATGCTGAGGGCCCGCAGAGAGCAGGGAAGCCACCAGGCTGGCAGGCTGAAGGCCTTGGAGGGGCTGAGCACCAGGATTTAGAGGCATCAAGGGCTCAGCCAAGTGTCCTGCATCTTGCCCCTCCTGCTGATTGCTGGGTTTTCAGCAAAAGCCTCTGACCTGGGCTTCACATGGTCCCCAGTAACCAGCACCTCCTGCTGATGAGAAGGATGCATGGAACGGGAAGTGTCAGCACTACGGGACGCCCACAGCGTGTCCCAGTCCCAAATGTCAGCTCCCCAATGGCCCTGATGTGTTTTGCCAGCAGTTCCCCACTAGTTTCCCATATGGGAAGTTTGCCCTGGATCTCACCCATTTTCCTTCCATTCTTTTAGCACTGAAGGGAGAACAGTGACAGATTCAGCCAAAACAGAGATCCACCACGGGGTAGATGCAGTCTGGACATGGTTTGGGGATGGGCTGCATGGCATTGACCACCGTTCCTAAGGGCTCATGGATCCAGGTGAGCTCATCACAGCCTGCACATCACCCAGCTCAGCCCCACCTCTGCTTCCCTGGCAGTGGAGGTCAGCCCCAAGGGGGAGGCTGAGGACCCTCAGCTCTGCAGCATCAAAGGCAGAGAGTGGTTTCTGCCTCAAAAAACATGCATAAAGGGGAAAAAAAGGCAGGAAAATCAGCCAGCATCCTTAGGAGTTGCCAAAAACCTCTCTGGGAACACAGAGTATCCTTTTTAATGGACCTCCTTTTACTGTTAAAGAATACCTGCGAAGGAAAACACAGGAAAAAATCCAAAAGAGGCTGAAACTGAAACCGTGCACTCAGCGTCACCCTGAAGGAGATGTTTCAGGCAAAACCACTGACCCAAGAAGGTCTTTCTTTGCTCAGTTATGCCTTGGCAGTAGCAAGCTCTGACACACAGGTATAAGATTGCATTTAATTGTGACCTGGGGAGGGAGGAGGCCACCAGCACCTGCAGCAATGGGGACAGTGAGAGCGTGGGGAGCTGATTCATGGGGCACTGGGCTCTGTGTCGTGGGGCTGGGAGGTGTGCACAGGGGGTTGGTTTCCCATCCCCTGCTCTCCGGAGCAGGGTGGGACCCGAAATGCACCCTGCGGAGCTGTGGGATATGACAGGGCTCTTTGCAGAGGATCCAGGAAGGTGAAGTCAAAGCCTTTATTCCTTCTTAATCACAGTAAATCCCTCCAAAATTAACCATCACCTGGTTTGATTGTGCCTGCGGCTACAGGGTGAGAATATCAGAGCAGTTTGTTGTGTCTAAGGTGGCCTTCAAGCTTGTGCAGGGGGGCAGCTGGGGATGCCATCGTGACCCCATTGCTCCAGGCAGGGAAACTGAGCCCCAGGGCAGGAGCTGGCTGGTGACAGCATGAGGCTCCACGGGTCTTTGCTGTATTTTAAGGACCAGTTTAAACCTCAATGCATCTTGTTTCCAGCCTGATTTTGGACAGCCCTGGATGGCCAAGTCACACTGTCACCATCGGATCAGCCTGGCAACTCTTACCTCTCCCGGTGCTTGCAGATACCAAAGCTGGAGGCAGGAGGGCAGACTGGCCACACACCTGGTCCCGGGGGGACCTAACGGGGAAATGTCCTTCATCAGAGGATGGATGGAGCATGGATGAATTTATCTAAACGCTGGTAAAACGGGAACATGGAGCATGGTCCAGGAGTTTTCCCATCACTTCAGTCCTTGCAGGGTAGGTGCACCAAGCAGGACAGACTGAGCGCTCTGGGATCCCCTAAGCCATGGGGAGGAAGCAGCGAGGCAGAGGAAGGACAGGCAAAGGGCAGGCAGACAAAGGCTGCCACCTGCTGCCCATAAAATCCTCTCCAAGCCCTAAACCAGGACAAAATCCAGATCTGTGCATTCATTTGAAAACAGGTTCAAGCTCTCACAGTGCCATCCCCCAGCACGGGAGAGCCACCAGCAGCTCAGCCCAGGTGCAAAGACACTTGGAAAGAGAAAACTGTCACAAAAGGCCCAAAAAAGTCACCAAAGGGACAGTGAAAATCACCCCGGGTAGCAGAGAAGGAGTCTGATATGACACTTCCCCATCCCACTCTGACACTGGGAGCCACTATTAAGAAAAGTGAGAAGCAGCACAGGAGCATTGCCCTGGCTGAGCTGAATTTCTCTCCTCCCGAACCCTGCGCTGCTGCAGAGAGTTCGTGTGCCTTCCAGGCCGGGGGGGACATTGCAAACAGTGTCACCAGGAGCTAATTTGGTAGCGTTAATAAATATTCCGTTCCAGTGATGGGTGGGAGATCTGGACCTCTCCTCTGAAGGTTGAGCTAATTAATCTCCTACCTTCCTCCTCTGATGTCAGGCTTTCTCATGAGGCCATTGCTGGCCCTAATTAAAAGGCTCTTCAAGATGAGTGTCCCCGAACACCAGCCGCATTTTGGAAGTGACAATAATTACAGAAATTTCTTTGGTAGAATAATAATAATTACCCAACCACGACAAGAAAGGTCCCAGGCAGAGAGAACAGCAAATGGTGGAGAAATCATGGATTAGAGCCCTCGTCTCTTCTGGTGGCTGGTGCTGGGCGAGGGAGACGCACAGCCCCGCTTCCTTAAGGCTTTCTGTTCTCTGCCCATTGACTCTAAACCTGTTAGAAGTGCATATTTGGCCCCCCAAGCACTGAACTGCAGAGTTCTTTATGCTAAGAGCTCCCCCAGTGTCTCCAAACCATGCAGAATTGCAGTCTGCCATCAATCCTCCAGCCAAGCAGCCCTAAAAACCTCGTCCAACCTCCCGGCATCCCCAGGGAGCTCAGGGCTTTGCTCTGTGTCCATAGGGAGCTGTCAGCACCAAGCACACCTCTCCTCTGGGACCAGCTCCAGTTCTTTGGGGTTTCCATCGCTTCTGCTGTTTTCCAGCCTTTTTTCTATGGCTGGAATTGGGGATTTAAAAAGGACGAGCCCAGTTCCCAGGAGACGCCCCTGCAAAACTATTGTCCTTGGCCTGACGAGTTGCAGATGTTCCCCGTTTCTGGTCTGAGCCTGGATGTCCCATGGGATAAAACGCTGACCCAGATCCACAGCTGCCCATAGTGCTTCCAGTCACCCCCAAACTGATGAAATGACACTGATCACCAATTCAGATTTGGTCCCAGGGGGCAAAACTAGGCTTGGTTGGAAAGTGGTGTCTGTCCATCTTATAAGCTGAGCTGTAAGCCTGAGTTTTACCCTGCAGAAGACAGCAGCAAGTGCTTCTGTGCTTTTTTTTTTTCCTTTTTTTTTTTTTTTTTTTTATGTTTTTAACTCATACCAAAGGTGTTTGGAAGGGCAGCCCTGCAGGCACAGAAATCATCTCTCCGTGCAAGATGTGCTGTGGCAGTGAGGGGGGCAGCTCACCTGAAAGGAGGAAACCAACGGGTCACTCCTGTGGTCCAAGCAGTGAAAAAAATAAAAGATAAGAGAAAGAGCAATGACAAAAAAATCCACCTCCTCCCTAAAGGCGTAAGCTGAAAAATATGGCAACAACTATATTTTTTGCAACAGCCCCTCTTAAAAAATCCTGTAATGATTCATAATGACCCATCCAACTAAAAAGAGGAGTACCGGTGACCTACCTGTCAGCTTTTAGCATCCTGCTAACAAGCTTAAAAGCACCGGTAAGGAGTAGAGTTTAGCCACAACCAGCTTGAAGGAGGAAAATAGGATCTTGCTTTTAGGGGAACGGTTGTCCCTGCGGAAGGTAAGTGCCTTTCCCTCCCTTCTTTTCTACCAATCTACAAAGAAATTAAAGCAGAGTAACGAAAGTGCTTGATGATAAACCAAAAGCCTAATTTTCTGCAAACAAGGGTTGGGGTGGGGGGGTAGCATTTTACTCCCTTAACTGCTAAGCCATCCAGCCGAGATAGGAAATGTAAAACTCTAATTAGCCAACTCTTCTGAAAGCAGCTTTTCTGAGCAGATAATGGCCAGGAAAGTTCTGCAGTATTGCGGTGATACGCGTGAGATAGAAATATTGCTGCTGGATGGAAAGGGGAGGCTCACGGTAAAGTTTATTGCAATGAAGGATGTCGTTGGGTTACTCAAACCCAGTCCTGTGGCTGTGTGCCTATGACTGGGTAACACCGTACGGATAGATAACGATGGGATTTTCCACATGCACCCACCAAAACGCTGCCAACGCACCTGGAAAGGAGGCTGTGTCGTGCTGCACCCTCCTGCTATGCTGCAAGGATCTGGGGGGGGATCAACGGTAATTGCAACCCAAGACTTTTCCATCTTGACTTCCAGGAAGGCAAATGAAGATCATCCGCTGGCTGTACCTCTCCGGGCTGGTGTTTGCCGTGCTGATTCCGGCAGGGTGGCAGATGGGTCTCAAGGACCTGGCCAACGCATCCAGGTACGGGTGTCAGCAGAGGTGGCCGAGGGCGCAGACAGCGGCTGTCGGAGCAGCTCAGCTCTGCTGCCGGCTGAGATGTGAGCGTTCCCGGCTCAGGGGCAGCCTTGCAATTAAAATGTGCCTGATTCTTTCATATTAGTCTGGACAAGCTCCCTCCTAGCACTCTGCCAGCCCACGCAGGGACATTGCCATGTCCCCCGGGGATTTCACGGTGCCCAGACCTGGGGGTTGCGTCAGCAGCACAGGGAGCAAGCCTGACTGCTGCTTTCCTCCCCACTTATAGGGGGCACTGGGCCCCCGAAGGCCAAAGACAGCTTGTGTCAGGAGCTATTAGCTAAGGCAGATTTGCTGGACATTGCAAGGAGCAGAGACCCAGGACGCGGCGATGCTGTGGGCACGGTGCTGAGCCCACCTCCACCCTGGGTTCCTCTGTTTCCTGCTATGGTATTTTGCAGCCCCTGCACAAAGAGGGCACAGGACCCCACCTATTTTATATGCATCAAACCCTGTGTTTTCACCCATCTTTCCCCCCATCCTTCCCTCCCGAGCAGATGGCACTCGTACAAACCCCAGAGTGCCCACAGCTTCCCGTCCAACACCAAGCGGCACTCAGAAGGCACCTTCACCAGCGACTTCACTCGCTACCTGGACAAGATGAAGGCCAAGGACTTCGTGCACTGGCTCATCAACACCAAGCGCTACAGGTAGAGGGGCCGGGAGAGTGGGATGGTGCTGGGAAATACCCTCCCTGATGCAAACTGATGCACAGTTTTAGATGTTTTCTACATTTTCTCTTGCCATTCCTGCAGAGGCCCATATTTTAAATTTGGGTTTCTGGCTATATACCCTCATTCATCATATATCCAAAGGAAAAAAAGCACATTATGAAATCATCCCCGGCTCATTCTTATTTAAAACATCCTTGTTGGCTTTGGCCAAGTGCCATGGGGCAGGCGAGGCGCTGACCACAGCTCTGCCTACCCTTGAGCCCATGCAGGGCTGCGTAGGGCAATGTCTGCAGCGGGTACCACGGCAGTGTCTTATTTTCGGCAGCTCCACGAAGAGGTACCTGAAAGAAGAGCCCCACAGCATCCCCTTCCCGGCCACTGTCCTGCCAGCAGCGTAAGTCATCTCAAACTGCATAAAGAGAGTAATTTCAGACTACATAGACCAGATGGGGTTGGGGCAAAGGCAGCAAAGTGCCGCTTCCTGAACCTACCTTTCCTTTTTGCTGTCTCACGTGGATTTTCCAGCATTTCCACGCAATGAAGTAAGGAAAGTGAAGCCGTTTTGGGGCAGGGTCTTAAAAAGTTTATGACAGACAGAGGCAGTGTTGTTCTCATGGTGCTCTGTTCTGACATTTTTGCTTCATTTCTGATTTAACATGGGGGGGATCTGCATTTGCAGGGGATATTATAAACGCTTCACCAGAGCAAAGTGGTCCTTTGCCAAATGAGAAAATTGCCGATGCTTTTTCAGCGTTCATAAACTTATTTCTGTTCTGTGAAGGTCTTCAGTGTTCATTGCTTCTTTCCCCTTTTTTAAAGGTACAATTAAGCAGCAAACCAAGGCTTCCCAGCAGCATCACCCTGTGCTTCGTTTCCCAGCCACCTCCCAGGAGCCTGCACCCTCCACCACTGCCGCTCAGCTTTCCCTTCCAACCTCTTCCCCACCTGTGTTTTTTCTGTACCTCTTTCTGCAGCGCTGCAGGTCCTGCAGCTTTCCCCAGCTTGCAATAAAACCCTTGCTAAAACTGTTTTCTGATGTCTCCAGCCCGTTCAAGCACCCCATGGGGATCCCACGTACTGCTGGCTGGGGGGCTTTGAGGCAACCAGGCTCCGAGTTCCAGTTCAGCTCAGGTTTTCCCATTTTTCTCCAAATTCTTTGAGATTTAGGTAAAAGAGCAAACAGGATACACCTGCCTGACCCCATGAGGAGCCCATCCTGCACAGACCTGTGCCAGATGGGGTGTTGTAGGACACAATTAAAAATAAATGAATGACTATACAAAAGACAACTAGAACCATTCTGCTCCATTTCTATGGAAAATGGTACCAAAAAATCCTCCCAGGGAGGAGAAACTGCTTGTTTTTTTGTTTTTGTTTGTTTGTTTTTTGCTACAGATCAAGGGATATAAGTGACATTGCTCAAAAAAAAAAATATATATATATATTCAAATCTTTCCCCAATCAGCTGGTTCATGACCAAGCTCCAAGGGACACAAATTTCCCTAAAATCAGCACTGCTCACTCCCCCATCACCTCCAAGACACCTGTAAAAATCTCCAAAAAACACCTGCAATTCCTCTGTCAGCAACACAGCCCTTCAAAAGACACGGGAGTGGCACAGTGAGACAAACGAGACTTTTATTGGATTATTTTCCCATTATGTTCAATGAGCAACAGAAAAACCAAGGCAAACAGCGCTGTGACGGGTGAAAGACGTCAATCGACAGCCACGATTTGCAGACAGGAACCACGAGACAGCGACACAGATTGATGGTGTTCAAGTTTCACAGAATAAGCCATATGTAAATCAAATTCTTAACAAAAAAAAAAAAAATCAAAACTTTGAACTGGCAAATAACACAGATTTGGTCAGATATTTTCTTTTCCTCCCCATTTTATTTACAACACTGAGCATTTCCAAACTAGATCATCTCTTACAAGAAAATAAATATATTATATTTCAGTTTCTCTGAAACAAAAATAATTTCTCTATTTCTACATGTAGCATGCCAGGAGGAAAAAAAAAAAAAAAAAAAAAAGGAAAAAAAAAAGTCAGCATCTTATTTATTACCTTTATTCTCCCCCCTTTCCCCCCAAGAGCTTTCCGTGCATTTTATTTTGGGGAATTTTTTCACAAGGGCCCACGGGAGGTCAGAGCTTTGCTTTTTACATTGCTGGCTTGGCAAACCTTCCTCCTCCTCCTTGCACCCCTGGGTGCTTTTAAAGCATCATCCTGTAAAGAAGCAGCTCTCGCACCTCACACATTGCCCCGGGGAGCTGTTTTAAGGCACCAAAGATGAGGATAACACCCAGCACCCTTTCTGCATCAAGGGGAATGGGGTTTGCTGCCAACCAAAACATCATGGGTCATGTTAAGGAGTTTTTTTTTAATCCTAAAGCAACTCCTGGAATACCTTTGGGAGGGTTCTCCCCACCCCCTGCAATTTTTCTCTGCACAAATCCTCTCAAAATATGGAGTAATCCACAGATTGATGGCGCATAGATGGGAGAGGCAGAAGCAGTGCTAGGACATGCAGTGGGCCCCAGGGGTGATTGCAATTTCATTATTAATGAGGCCTCATCTTTTATTTTAAATATATATATATATATATATAAAATAAAAAGAAAGAAAAAGACTAACCCTGTAAATAGGAGAAAAGAAAAAAAAAAGGTTGAAATCCAGAAGATGATCGTGCGCCCCGTGCGAGGGCACGCTGAGGAAGCCTGGCTTGCTTTTTAAATAAGGAACCAGCAGAATTTTCCAGCAGCCCCGAGGCCGTTGGCAATGCAGACCCGAGTGAGCCCGCTCTCGCGGAACAGCGGCCACGCTCGCCTTCGGGCTGGTTTCTTTCTTGCTCTGCGAGGGAGCGCTGCCAGCTGCAGGAAACCGAGCGCGTGCAGAAAACAATCCCAGCCTCTGGCCCCGGTCCCTGGACCACAGGAGGGAACGGCTCTCTTCTCTTTAAATAGAGGCAGACAGAAAGAAAGCCATTGTCCCAAAACTCGAGGGGCAACAATTCCTTGTTGGGGGCTGCTGGCGAGCAGCAAGCGGAGCCCAAGGGGTGCAGGAAGGCAGCGGGGCCGGGATGTGCATGGGTATTGCAGAGGAGCAGGCACCAGCTTTCATGCAAGCAGCTCGGTGAGAAGCCAGGCATTGCACCTTTTCCTTCCTCCAAGCTAATTTTATTTTCCCCTTCGAGAACTAAAGCAGATCTCTCCCTCTGTCAACCACCACGCCATGCTGGCAGCCATCAGAGCACAGCCTGCAAAACCAAATCCACGCTTTTTTGCCCCACTTGCAGATGTACCGCTGGCATCCTTGGAGAGGAATTCTTTCCTCCGAGGAGCACCATTGTGTCGTTGGCCCTTGGGATTTGTGCAATGCACAGAAAGACCCCACGGAGCCATCCCATCAGATAAGATGGTGGCAGCAGCGCTCGTGCACCCATCCCAGCTGCGCTCATGGCACCAAGAGCCTGGAGCCAGTTTGGACAGGGATGGGACCACTCTATTTTTCTTTTTTTCCTCCTGGGTTCTCCTCTCTTTCCAGGCTCTGTGGCCCCCACAAAGGACCTTGACTTGAGCACACATGCCTGGGGTGTCACCCAGCCAAAAAGACAAAAAGAGCACGGTCACCATCCCTGCTCAACAGCGTTTTCCTGCAAGGCAGCAGGGAGAGCAAAAAGGAAAAGGCATCTTCCCACTTTCCTCCTGCTTCGTCCTGCCCTGTGGAGGAAAAGGCTCTTTGCAAAGAATGGGGCAAAAAAGAGAGCCCTGGGGATGTAAAAGGGAGGAAAGCAGATGAAGCTGGCTGCTCCCACAACCATACAGTGGATCTGAAGTCCTGGGTTTTAAGAGCTCCCTTATCTGAATTTACAGCCAGGGGACAAGAAGGTGGCATTTCTGCTGTTTGCTGGGTGGGTGCTGCAGCCTCCAGGCTGATGACAGAACCAAAGCAAAAATAAAAAAATAAAAATGCAAAACTGGAGCAAATCCTTTTCCTAAGCCATAGCCCAGCTGCTCAGGTGATTTCCATGCTCCCTGCCATGGAGGGCATCCCTCTTGTACCAATAACAGACATAAGAGTGAATCAAGGACCCCAAACCAGACCAAAAACCTGGCAGTGACGAAGAAGAAAGTGGAGAATGCGTCAAAAATAACAGAAAAAAATTTCGTACATTCAGAGTTTATATTTGGAAAAAAAGGGAAAGGGGAGGGGGGGGATTAGATATAAAAAAAATAGCACTGAATGATGAAGCGGTAGCCGTCCCTCTACCACTACAAAACCGCAACAACACACGCACGTACACACGGAGGCTGAACAACACCGAACTCCCACGGACTGCGATGTGCACCTCAGTTTGCTGGTCTAGAGATACTGAATGCCTGAAGCACACCAAGGATAACAGGAAATGTCTTGAAAATGGCTTTAATGGGAATCCTGCTACTCGGAGGAGAAAACCAGGGAGGGCTTGTGCTCACTTGTTTCCTTTCCTCCATGTGAAACAGCATTTTGTCCTCGCTTCTGCGCTGGCTCATCCCTGAGTCACGTTCTCACTCCTCTCCTTCAAAGCCAAGATCCCTAAAGAGGAAAACTGGGGAAAAAAAAAAAAAAAGAGACCATCCCCAAGGAGAGGACCAGTCAGCATGCATAGACTCACAGAATAGAATCACAGAATTGTCTAGGCTGGAAAAGACCTGCAGGATCACCACGTACAACCATCACCCTGTCCTACCAAGTCCCATCACTAAAACACATCCCTCAGTGCTGCGTCCACACCTCTGAAATATTCCTTCACATGCACCGTGCAATCCTTTTACCTCTTTCCTCCTCGGATTCAGAGTTTTTCTGTGTTCATGGTAAGAGCCTTCCATACGGTTGTTTTCGACATTTCATCTGAGATGTTAATCTCAGAGGGATCAGTCCTGCAATAAATATTTTAGATAGCAATCACTGTGCTAACAGGAACCAAAGCCACCAACTACATCAGCAAGGAGAATGGGGTGACCCAAAGCACCGAAGACCAGCACAAGCATGGGAGGTTTCACTGGTGATGAGTCTGGGGAAGCAAGCCTGAATGCTGTAGAGCAACAGCTCTGTGCAATTCTCTTGCAAGTGTTTAGCCCTGGCCTGGCCTCCCACTGCTGGCACAGGTCATGCCTGCAACAATTCATTTTGAAGCACGAGGATCTCCAGCTGCTGCAGACACACTGATGATGCAAGTTTTTGGGGTCAAGCATGAGTCGTGCAGTCACTCTGCTCAGAGCCCTGCTATCCCTTCCTGCAGCTCTGCCCAGAAGCCTGATTTTCACACCAAGCTGACTGTTGTTTCTAAGGGATGCTCAGCAAGGTGCAAGCAGAGCAAGTTGTGCCAAACCCCTACAAACTACTCTTGCTGGGGGTCCTGGCACTTGGTGGGGCTTTACCTGTCACTGTTGTTCTGCTTTGGGACATCCAGGTAGCTGGTCTTCACCAGGTTCAGCTGGACTGAATTTGCAGCAGCAGCTTCCATCATCTTCTGAGACTCCTGGCATCACAGGGACAAATCACCTGTTCTGCCTTTGAGCAAAGGGCAGATAAACTAAAACCCCGTACAGCCATCATGTGCTGCCCCCTCCTTCTGATTCCTGCCAGTTTTAGCTGTTGGTGGAGCAGGATAAAAAACTTCCACTGCAAACATTTTGGGAGGTTAAACACCCACCGTGAGAAACTATTTGAAATACATAATAATAACAACAACAAATAACAACTTTCTTTGAAAAGACATTTTAAAATTATATGTCTGTTCTAGTGGTAAGCTCACTGCTAACTTGGGGAAAAAAAAGTGGTTGCGATGTGGGGTCCAGGCTACTGGGATCTCCTTCTGTTTAGTTCTGATCTTTCCCAACTTTTAACAAATGGCTGCGCTAGAAATGGGCAACCTCACAACCCCAGGGATACGTCCAACCCCAAGCACATAGTAAATGTTACCTCTTCTTCTTTGGCTTCATTTTTGGCATCATCCAACTTCTTCTTCTTGCTTTCTGGCATAAGGTCATCCAGCCAGCTGAGCTCTCGCTTTGAGAAGCAGAAATCCATGACTTTCCGGACAAAAACGAGAGCCAAAACCTTCCCAAAAAAATAAAAAAAGGAAGATGCAGTGAGGCCAGAGGCAGTGCTACACCCCGCTGCAAACATCCCACTGAGAAGCACCTCCTACCATCATGGGAAAGACGATGGCAGCCCGGGACACCTTGATGACCCAGAGCAGGACGAGGCAGGTCAGCTGGATCAGGGTGAAGAGATGAACCTTCCGCAGGGGCACGTGCCGCAGGTAGATGAAATCTGGCTGGTGTTTCGCCGGCATCCCGAACAGCTTCAAGCGATCGAAGAACTGCAGAATAACAGGGAGAAGTTGCCACCTTGGGGCTGCAGAATGGTGCTGGCCTGGCTGAAATCTGTAGGGATTTTTCGGGCTCTCAGTTGCAATGAGGAAGCGTTGATCCCACCACCTTCCTCCTGGGAGCTGCACCCGTTTTCCCTTAGCTCTGTCTGTAAACCAGCTTGCCCACCAGCAGAGCTGTCCACCAAATTGCAGTTATTCCTAATTATTCTATAATTATAATTTCTTCGCTCCCCCAGCAAGGATTTCCAGCAGTGGGAGAAATTTCCTCCCATTTGCACTAAATTCCCCCATTTTCACATCGCTGAACGCTGACCTGCCCTAACACCATGAAACAGCGCTGAACCCGCCTGGTCCTCCTAGCCCCACAGACCTCTTGTGCCTCCACCAATTTCTTTGTTATACAAAATATTTTCATTGCTTGCTTTTGAAGAGGCTTTTCCCAAGCCACTGACTATCAGATTTTTTTTTTTTCTGCTTCTATTAAGAGGAAATAGCAGGGAGCAGACATGCTGCATGCTTTGAAAGTCCACACCTGGATTCCTCTGAGCGATGATACACCCATGTAGAGAAAGACACCGTACAGCACAGGCATTGGTATAAACTGCAAAGAGAAGACAGTAATTCTAAATAAAATAATTGCATTTTCAATTACATTTAAGTTTAATTTAATTTAAATTTCAAATTTAATTGCATTTTCATTACCACTTCATTCTACAGGCACTACAGAAAGTTTCCTAAAGCTTTCCAGTTTCCACAGGGTTGCAGATGCTTTAAATTTTATCCATTAGACATTTTGTGTATTTGCCTGTGAGTTAATGCTCTGCTTTAGGCTGAACTTTTGAGCTACATTTCATCGAAATAATCCTATTTTCCAGAAAGGTTGGAGGAAAATAGGTGATTTCACCCATGCTACCATATGCTGCGTTCTGAGATGTCAGAAAAACAGTTCTACATATTCCTGTGGCAACACACAAATGCAACGTGTCTCCTTTTAGCCTAGAGATGAGATTACTTTGTGGGAGGAACGTGCAAAGGATGACTGCAGCATGTTTAGCTATGGGAATGGCAGTTCTGAGGCATTTGGGGTGCAAACTGCAATCAATTAGCTTGCTGCCTGACTGAAAGAGAGCAGATGTAGTGGTCTGGATAGGCTAGATTGTAGCCCATAAACACAGGCAAGCCCAAAAAAATAAAGCAGTGATGCGGCTTGATGCCCTCAAGCACAGCAGACCAAGGTCTGCAGGGCTGGAAAGCCTAATGGGAGCTGGTTCCCACCATGGGGCATGCCCCAAGGTTTAGGATCAGCTCCTCCTGTACCCCACAGCTACCCAGGCCTAGAGAGAAAGGACTGGTTTTGGTTTTGTATAATCTCCAAAAAATACAAATAAAAAATCAAGGCTGTTGGGTGTTTTGCATTTTCCTCCTACCTTTAATACAGTGGTCAAGAAGACGGAGCAGCCCATGAGCACAAAGATCATCAAGCCAGTGACTCTCTGCTCTCGTATCCCCAAAAACCTGGGTTGTTCTCCTGGAGCTGAGCAGCCAGACTCAAGTTTGAGGCTATTCACGTGGGTGATGGACAGGACGGTCGCAGCCACAAACCACGGCAGGCCCATGACAGAGCACACCCCGAGCATCACAGCCACCATGAAAAGGTCCAGGTGGTACCCGCATCCTTTCTGCGGGAGTGAAACAAGAATCAGAGCACCCCACGGCACAAGAGCAAGGACAGTGTGGACAGCCCAAACCCTGCTGGCTCAAGTCAACTTTTTGAAAATTAAAAAAAAAGAATCGGAAATAACTAAGGATGTATCCAGTCTTTGAACAAGCACCCTGCATGAAAATCTGGCCAGACAAAGTAATTTGTGGCTTTTTTTTTTTTTTTTACAACTCCTACCTCTATCAAGAAATACTGACTTTTTTTTTCCATTCATAAAAAAGTCACACTTGCAAGCAAGATGTGACTCTGAGTTATCCCTGGCAGCGCGTCAAAACGATTCATTCCCCCAAGCATCTGCTGACATTTTAAAACAAAAAAGCTCTTCTGTATTGCTCTAAGGTTAATTTGCTGCTCTGAAAGATTCCTTGTCCAACTGCCCCTGTCTTTTGCTCCCTGTGTCGTCACCAATGCAGGAGAGCAGCCGTCAAGCAGAGCTCCATTGTCCCAAGCCAATTTGCAAATTTGCTTCTGCAAAGCACTTGGAAAAGGAGCTTCTCCCCACACCTGCAGCCCAGAGTGGGTTGGGGATGGAGTCACCTCTTGCAGCCCCTTACCTTCAGCCTGTGCTCCTTCCTGTTCACGATAACAGCGGTGATCTGCTGGTCCATGAAGATCAAGATGGTGCAGAGCAGGGCTGGGATGAGCGCAGCCAGCACCGTCCACCAAGGGTTGGGTCCTATGGGGCTGATGAGCCACCCACGGTCATCTCTGGTGGGCTGTGACAAAGCAGGGACGTCAGCTTCATCTCCCAGCCCAGACACTTCGCTGGCTTTTGTTTTCCCCTCCATCACCTCAAGGTGTCCCCAGGGGCACAAGGTGAGGCCAGCTGTGCCAAGACACCCCATTACCTTGAACATATGGGGGACGTGGAGCTTCGGTGAGGGGATCCCAATCAGGAAGTCAATGAGCACCATGACGACGATGGTGAGGAAAACAGCAAAGTCGCTTATGGTGGACCGTACCTGCGGCAAGAAAGCAGAGCAGAAAGGGTCATGGCACGAGACAGACAAATTAGGGACATCAGCAGCATCACAGCTGGTTAACAAAATCCCACCACTCTGAGGACATGCAGCCAAACCCCTTGGTTAGAAACTGTTGCTGTGTTTGTCCCTGTGAGATCCGGTGTCAGACTTAAAAGAAAACAGTTTAATTAGGGGGAAAGGTTTGTTTTTGTTTTTTTTTTTTAACTGCCTTTTTTTTTAAATTAAAATATTTGGAAACAGACACCTGCCACTACAGCCACTCTCACAGCTGCAATGGGAATAAGGCACTGAGGCATATTTGTTCCCTGTAAGGAGGAAATAATCTCTTTCTACAGCAGCTTCCCATTGGAATCAGCTTTTCCCTAATGCAAAGATGGTGAGGGGAGGAAAAAAAATACAAACAAACAAACCAAACACAAACAATCTCTGGAGGACCTGATTTCCCACTGCCTGAGTGCAAATTTGCTCCGGGACAGGTCATAAGGTAGGTGGGATCACTGTTCCACCATCTTCTACCTACTCTGGTTGGGAAATAGCGGCTGGTTTTAAACATCTTCAAGGAGCTTGACAGGACAAAGGTGGAGAAGAAGAGGATGCAGGACCAGAAGAGGACATTGGGTGTGTAGGGGCCGTTGTGTCCACAGGCAGGTCCGTGAAATTCTCCGTGCAAATGCCGACATTCCTGGAGAAACAGAGCATCAGGACACAACGGCAGTGCACATGCAGCAGGGAAACCTTGAAAACTGGGGGAAGGGTTAAGGATTTGGGTCCAAGATCCACGATTTTGTACCTACTGCTGCCAAGGGAGATTTGTATTTAATGAGCAGCAGCAGCTTAATGAGTGACACTGTCACACTACACGGAGGGGAAATGCAGAGATGTGATGGGACACCACATCACAGGCCCATGGCACATCCTCCACCTGAACAGGAGGTGACTGTGGCTGAAAAAGACACCACAGGGGAAGGACACATCCAGAAGAGGACGCTGGAAACTCTTGGGGACAGAGAAAGAGGGAGCAGGGAAGGAGGGCTATGACCACCGTGGTAGGAAGGAAGACACAAATTGTCCCTTCCCAGGGGAGGACTCACAGAATCTGGCCAAAAGGGGCTGAAGATGTCCATGAGAGCCTCCATCCTATGCCTGGGCTCTGCTTCCAGCACCAGCAGCCCGGGAGGCTGCTCAGACATGCAAATTTATGCACGTACTTACAGACAGCGCTGAATAAGAAACCGGGGCCTGGAGTTATTAAGGACCAATTAAAGAACCAATTACTACCTTCAAGCATGAACTTAAGTCCTCCAGCACCTACAACGTTCAAACCACCCACTTAACCTCGCTCCCAGCCAGAAGTACTGTCCTGCAGAGGGCTGAGGACGATAGTTATCACCCGCGATGCTGGTAACAAGGCGGACTCCCCTTCCCAGGACAGACCACACGTCTTGCACTTAAGGACTGATTTTTCAGAGCAGCCCCGGCACTGTTTGAAGCATGCCATCACCCGGAGGGCGCTGATTTTCGCACCACATCAGCGCCCACAGGAGGGTGCTTGCAGAGACGCGCACACCCCGCGGCACAAGGAAGCGGCAGCCAGGGACTTACGGTCACCGTGAGGTTTCCCCAGGCGATGGCAGACACGTTGATCTTGTTGCTCTCCCAAAAGCGCAGGGTCTCGTTGCTGGGATGGGTCGGCGCCTCACACTTACAGCTGGGAGGAGAAAAGCCAAGGGCAGGGGTAAGGCGGCGGAGGTGCAGCCCTAAGCTCCTGCCGAGGAGCGTTTTAGGCCAAAAAACCCACTAGTAGATGGTGAGGAAGTCAAGCTTGCTGTGCATGTGCACAGGGTAGGTCTCTCCCAGGCAGATCAGCTTCTCCAGAGCCTCGTAGATGAAGATGATGCAGATGAGGGCAGCGAAGGCTTCTTCGGTGAAGCGGGTGATGTAGCACACCAAGCAGCTGGCATCCGTGGCCACCAGCACCACGCAGAGGAAGGCGGTCCACAGCCCTATGCACGTCCTCAGGGAGAGGTAGGAGAGTGCATAGTCCCTGGGAAAACAAAATAAAGCAAAGGGTGGGAAGCCCAGCAGGAAGCTCCAAGACGTGCCATCCTTCGGGGAAAATCCGGAGCTGTTTCGGAACGTGTCGAGCCTGTGGATGGTGAACGCGGTTTCGTTGTACTACTACAGACAGCCTCGGGGCTGCAGTGCAGGGTGTGGGCCCACGAGAGGAGAGGCCCATTAGATAATTATCATTATTTAGCAATTATGCTGTGTTAACGCCTTGGAGGCTAATTGAGGTCAGGTGCTTACTGGGGAAGGCGCTGTTCTCACCCATCACCCCATGCCCGAGCACAGAAACCAGCTGGCTTGGCACCCAGGCACTTGCTGCCAGCACGGTGGGGCTTAATAATAGAAGTGACTAATTACAGCGAGGGTGGTTAATCAAAGTCATCACAACAAAGGGCTGTCATGGAAAATATGCATTTCACATGAAAAGCTCCTACTTTCTCAATAATATCATCAAAACTCAAAATATTTCAGCAAAAAGGAAAACTATTTGGATATTTGGGCAACATATATTTATTCCCACTTCCAGCAAAAAGCAGGCTAAAAAGTGCTTAGCTTTGTGCTGGGAGCAAAGCAAATCTTCCTACTCCCAAACCAGTGTGATTTGTCTCCTTTCCCTCATGCATCCCATCTTGGGCATCCTCATTCCTGTGGTTTCTCCTCCTCGTGCTTCGATTTAACTCTGCAAACCCTTTAGTCCTCCAGAGGCCAATTGCTCTTGCACCATCACTAACAAAAGCAGGAGCACACAATGTGCACAACACAGAAATTAACTTCAATCTTACAACTACCTCTATGAAAAATAACCAGAAAAAAACAACACATCTTTTTGCCATCACTGCCCCTCCTTACTTGCAGAACTTGTAGAGGATCTTCTCAAACACGAGGACGGGGCCGGTGCTGCCGAGGATGGTGAGAGGTTGGCCGGCAAAGAGCGAATAGACCACACCAGTCATGGATGCGCCCAGTAGCGACTCCATGGCACTCTGGCCAGGGAAAAGAGGAGCAAATAAATCATGTGAGCAGAGCTGCAGCAAAGACTTTTTCATAGAACAGGTTGGAAAAAGACTTTCAAGATCATCAAGTCCAACCATGAGTGTGACCTGACAAGTCCCATCACTAACCCACGTCCCTCAGTGCCACATCCATGCACATTTCTTAAATACCCCTCCGTGCCACCCCACGGAGGAGAGGCACTCACTATGTGGCCATCGGTCGCCTCCCCCAGCAGCCCCCCGAAGGTGATGACGGGGGACATGCAGGCACAGTAGAGGAAGAGGAAGGATGCCAGACACTGCAGGCTCAGAGCATCCCGAAAGTCGCTCCAGAACCATGGGACTTTTCGCTTCACATCCAGGATCAGACCTCCAAAGAGCCTGGAGGAAGGACAAAGAAATAGGCTGTTGTCCTGGCAGACCACAGTGAATTTTCTTTGCTGCAGAAGGGCAATCACGAGCACAGAGTATTGCTAAAAACCAGTGTCTTTCTCCCAGTTTACACCCAGTAGGAACTGAGACACACACAAAAAACACCCTCCAACAACAAAAAGGAGCTAACCTGACACCCCATCCTCTGTTATTGCAACAGCCCCACACATGCAATGATGCAGTGGCTCAGCCCAGCTGCCCCAGGCCCCCCAGCTGCCTGGCCCAGGGACCCAAGCAGGTAACATGGAGCCCCTTTGCTGCAGCAACTAACCCCAAAAAAACACTAGAAGGGAAGGTGCATGCTCAGTTTTTAGAGGCAAAAAAAATGATAACATTAAAGCTCACACCTTCCCGTTCGCTCTAGTTCAGGGCCACTGTGTTTTTCTGGCTTTCTGTGAGAAGCGCTGTCATCAAGAAGTCCTGGCGTCTTCCTTTTTTTCTGTCAAAAAGGAAACAGAGATACGTATTTCTTTGCAAGCCTCCTGCCCGTCCCCCTCACACCTCCCTCCACCACGGCACCCACCTGTGAAGGGAGATTTTTGGGGGGCTCGATTCGGATCGATGGATCCCACTCTCCCGGCGGCAAGACCGTGACCTGATCCAGGAACTCGTCGATGCCAGCCACGAGGTCTGCCCGGTTCTTGGCTTTATAGGCAACGTCATGGAAAACCTGCCGACAGGAGACAACAGCTCGGATGTCCTAACCAGTGCAATAAGCTCTTAGCTAAACACAAGATAATTTCCCCCAAATTTCGTCAAAAGGAACAATCTGATGCATTTGTGGCCATCTCCTCCACAGGGATCCCGTCCCTCACAGCACTCCACAGCTTTTTGCTTAAAAAGGAGAGGTTTTGCTGGCCCTGGCAATGCCTGGACAGCATGTTGGGGATCCCAGGGAGAAGGAGAAGGATGAGGTGCAGGTCCCGGGTGGGATTTCAGGCTCTGGGACATGGGGTGATGTAGATCCAAGTGTTTGCTTTGGATGCAAACAAGGGGTGGGTTATCTGGAGAGCTGTGGACGGCTGGGAAAGCAAATGTGCTTCTTCACCACAGTGCAGAAGGGGAGAGAGGAAGATAACTAAAAAAGACCCAGAGATCTCTCTTATCTCATCACACCTCATCCGTCATGAGAGTAGCCATGGACCTGCCAATCTCGTGGTACTGATGGGCTTTTCCTTCTGGTCCCAGCAAAATAAACAGGAACCTGGGCGAGAAAAACAGGAGAGAGAAGAACATGCCCTTGCTTAGAGAGTGCCCAGAGAAACTGCCAGGAGCACCCAGCCCAGAATGCAGCTTGAGATGGGGAACGCACGCTCACCGCCTCCGGCAATGAATCTGAAATTCATCAAAACTTGCTAACTGGATTTTTGGGCTGACTCTCATTAAAGATAGCCAATGCATTTTTTTTAATGTTTGGGTTGATGTTCATTAAAATTGAGGAATGCATTTAAAAGCTGCGGTAGGGAAGGGAGAAGCAAAGGTGAGGAGTGACAGAGGTGGGAAATGTGCTTGTGGAGTCGCTCCTGCTGGCCCCATTTCCTTGGGATGAAATTTGATTTTTTTTTTATTATTTTTTTTTGTTATTTCTAAATAAAAACCTTGGGCATTCGGACCTGGTTGGGATGGGAACTTCTGTCATGCCTGAGAGGAGGACTGCCGGGGTCAGGCGGGCAAATGCCATGATGGGCTGGTGAAGGAAATCCAGCTCTCCTACGAGCACGTTTGCTGCTTCAGCCCCAATAGGAATTTTCTTCATGAAGTGCAGCTCAGCCTGGACACAACAAGCGATTTTCAGGCAATTACCTCAAAATGAAAGCCCACAGCACTCTGCTGCACGTTCTGCAGCCAAGTTTGCAAGAGCAAAGCCAGCCCTAAAGGCATAAGAAAGCTCCAGGTATCTCACCTTGCTTAAATCCATTGGGCTGGTGTCATGGTTCACCCCATTTTTAGCTTCTATGGTGGTGGGAGGAGTGTGGGGGGTGAGTGTTTGGGCTGGCAGGAAAAAGAAAAACAATCAGAAAGACAGACAAGGAGCAACTGGGACGCTCAGTCAGGGCAAGTGTAACGGGGCCAAAGCCCTGCAGAAACCTTCACCTGGTGCCAAAGCCCCGCAGAAGCTTTCACCTGGTGCCAGACCCTGCAGAAACCCTCTCCCGGTGCCAAAGCCCTGCAGGAGCCCTCACCTGGCTTGTCGAGGGGGTGCAGGTCTGGCTGCCTCTTGCTCACGTCGGCAAACGAGCGGACGATGGGGAGGAGGTTGTTTCTCTTCTTCTCGTTCTGATGGTGGTGCTTCTTCAGGAGGACTTCTCGGACTTTCTCCCGCATGCTCTCGTCAAATTCGCTGGACTGGTTTTGCTGGTCCAGGATCATATCTGAGGGTGGAAAGGGAAATGAAGCCACCAGAGGAGAAACCCCCAAATCCCGGGGGGAATGCAGGAGAGCCCAGCATAGGCCCAGCCCTGCTTAGTGAGACATTTTAATACAGTTGAGCCTTTGCAATGAAAGCAAGAATTTTCTTTTGCTAAAACCCATCATCAAAGTGCTTATTCATCACTCAGCTAAGATCATTATTTCTCATTCTAAATAATGCAATTTCCTTGCCCGATCTGGCCTTTCTGTATTACTCCACACATTTAACCAAATTATAAGCAATCTATAGCGCAGACTTTCCCTGAGTTCCCCCGGCCAATTGACTGTAATTTGCTGAGCCCAGGGAGAAATGTGCTAAGAATGGCGCTGACTTCACCAGCTTTTGAAAAGGTTGAATGGAGACCTGCCAGTCAAGGATAATTTCTCCAAAGCTGTTTTTTCAATTAACTTCAATTATCTTCCCCACAGAAACACACTGCTTGGTCATCTGCCAGATAAACTCTGCCTTTAAAGCTCCTAAATCCTGGATGTTAAGGCAAAAGAAAAAAAGAAAAAAAAAAGAATGAGAGGAAATGGCTTGTAATATATAGTTTATTTAAAGAGGTTCAGCTCTTAGACAGACTCTGTATTTCTAAGAGCAGACTGCTAAGCCCTGGTGCACACTCCCTTTTTGGCTCGAGAACATTCTCTAATTGTTTCTCTAACCCCACAGATTGCTTTCAAAAGGATCCCCTATCAGAAGGAAAAGCTGGTGTGACTGCCACACACTCAGGCTGCAGCCGGGCCGAGGCAGCACAGTCCTGCACCCAAAAAAATCCTTCCTGACTTAAAAAAGCAATGGGATTTCTGGAAGAGAGGACTTGCCACTGGGTGAGGTTTGGGTCAGAGGCAGGCGGGTGCTACCTGCAATCTCCTCGGTGCTGTTGGCGCACATGTCCAGCAGCACCGTGCCTTTGATGATGCAGTTCCTCAGCTCGAAGAGGCTGTGCAAGGAGAGCGTGGCCACGTAGGGCTTGCTCCAGCGCTCGCCGCCGTCTTCCACATCCTCCTCAAACTTCAGCCACCTGCGGACATCACCCAGCATCAGCCCCATTGCAAGAAAATAGCCCCGCTCGGCAAGCCCTGCCTTAACAGAGCTGAGGGGTGGCAGGAGGAGGAAGTTCCTCGCATCGGCACCCCAAGCTGCAAGCTTCGTGCCCTGGCAGGCAGAGCCCGTGCGTGCTGCCAGCACGGGGACTGCTCTCCCAGCTGCAGGACGGGATTTACCTCGCCGTTTCCTTCCACTCTGCATCTTCACGCTCCTTCACGCAGATCTCATCCAGCTCAGTAAATAAGTCGTGGGGGACGTGCTGCTCATCCTCCTCGGTGCTGAGGATGAACTGCACCCGCTGGGACGGGGTGTCTGGCAGAAGACAAAGCCGCATTCCATTACTGGGCCTGAACTGTGCAGTGAGCATTGGACCAGCACCAGTTCAGCCCTGAACACTGGGGCTGGTCCCTGTCCCCTGTGTCTGCCCAGGCTGGGCATGCACACAGCCGTGGGGAAGCATCTCTTCCACCTCCCCATAAGGAGGGGCTGCCTGACTTCCCCACATTTCCATTTTTAAAGCCAGAATCACTAAGGAAGGCGAGCCTAAATTTGCTATGCATTTAACTGCCTAAACAAACAAACAAATCCTGGGAGAAGTTTGGAATAAGAGGGCCTTGCTAAATAAAAGTTTTCCCTCAAAATAGCAGCTAGCCACTCAAAGCAGCCACGCTCGCCCAGGAGACATTTAGCAAATGTGGGACTTACAGTGGTAGCCCTGGTCCTCGGGGGCTGCCCCCTTGGCCCGCTCCCGTTTCCGATGCTTCTGGCTGCGGGGCCGGTGGTGCCGGTGGCTCTGCCTCACCAGGGGCATCTGCACACCCACGTACAGGGTCCGGTGGCCTGCAGGAAAGCAGCAGTGGCATCATTTTTGGCAGCATGATGACAGTCAATGCTCGTTCTTTCTTCAGAGACCGTTTTACTTCGGCTTTGTAACAACAGACCAAACAAAGCGACGGCTCCAGGTTATCTAAAATGCCCCCGAAGCATTGAACCTTTTCCCAAACTCCTGCTTCACCTGGACAGCACTCAGACTTGCTCATTAAGCGGCGACCAAATGTAATTATTTTTAAAATCTCTGTATGGCGCAAGGCGGCGGGAGGAGATCAGATCAACCCCATGATAATGAGCTCCGGAACAATAAGGGAAAAAAAAACTGCAGCCCTGTGTCTGCAGCCGTCAAATTATTCTCCTGACCTCGCCAAGCCAGGAGCAGCCTCGGCGAGAAAACGAGCCGTGAATCATCTCACCCCGTGGCTGCAGCTCACGCCGTGGCCTCTGCGGGGTTTTTTTCCCTCTGTTTTAAAAGTTACATGAAAATCATGAAAAACAACCGTGCTCCTTGATGAAGAGGCACGGCAGGTTTTGCTGCACGCAACACAACACCGAGCAAGGGATGGTTTAGGGGCTACAGGCAATGGGAAAATGACCTGGGCTGGGGGTCAGCAGGGTCTCACCTTCCAGCTCCTCCTTCTCATAGTGAATATTGACTACGTTGCTTGTTCCCCCCTGGTCGACCACCGCCTCTTCATCAGGTCTCTGTTGGGCAAGGAGAAGAAGGTCAGTGGGGCTGGGGACACGGAGCTCCCGTACATCCTCCCAGCTGATCTAACGTGGGCTTGCAGGAGGCAGCCCCGGAGCCAGAGGCCAAATAAAACAGCTCACAGGACTGCTTATTTTTTGTAAGAATTGAAGCTGGAAGAATTTGCTGCAGGGAGAGAGGGCAGAGCATTTCAGACCCACACCCCCCCAAAAAAACAACAAACAACACCTCTCCCGCCTTGTTTGTGCAGCTCCTTTGCAACTTTCAAGAATAAATAAATAAACAGAATTTTCCAAATCGGAAAAAAAAAAAAAAAAGCACTTTGCACGGCCGTGAGTTTCAGTCTGAAAATACCAGTTGGCTACGTGCTGCTGTGCTGGAGATACCTGCACGACTCACTAGATGGCAGCTGGCCACAGGACATCACCTCCACCAACCTCCAAAAGCAGCAACCTGCAAGGGCAGCTCCATCTTCCGCCCAAGGAGGCTCGGGCTTCCTTTGGTGCAAGCATGCTTTCCACGGAAAACGCAATTTTATTCCTTGCAAAAGCCAACGGCTTAGAGCTAACGCCTTCCTAGGCTGAAACATCAGGCCTCGGACAGAGTCTGTGCCTTGAAAGCTGAGCAAGAGCTGCAGGACCAACTGCTCGCTGCGAGCAGCGACGGAAACAAACCCCTCTTGCTTCTCTTTTCTCCTTGCCACAGGGACGGGGAAGGGGATTGCCAGCCTCCACTCAAGGAACTAAAAACCCGGCCGCGTCTCATGCTCAAGATGCCACTGCAGCTTGGTGAAGGGCTCTGGGTCAAACTCAGCAACTTTTTTCCCCTCTTCGGGGTGTATTTGGTCTTCTAATTTCTGTGCATCTCTTAAAGATGTCTCCTTCCTTGGACAGTGCTGCCATCCACATCCTCTCATGGACAGGAATTAATTGAAGACCAAAACACGGTCACCAGTGCAAAGAAAACTCTGCATTGCCCAAATGAGTGCCCTTGAGTTTTCGCTGGTTTCCAAATTACTCTGTTATTAAAGGCACAAGGGGGCCATCAAAGGCTGGGGAGTTTTGAATTGCCAAGGTTCACATTCACAAGCCCCCTGCTGACATCACAGCAACCAAAAGCTTTTTGTCTGTTCAAACCCCAAAATAAATATCTGTGGTGGTTTTTTGTTTGTTTTTTTTTGTTTGTTTGTTTTTTAGGTTTTTTTTGGGGGGGAGGAGGGTATTTGTTTGTTTGTGTGTTTGTTTTGATTTTGAGCACCCAGTTGCTTGGTTCCTGAAAGTCTGAACAAGAGACTGGGGACTGAACTGGGGAAACCGGCTGAGCTGTTTTATGAAACTCAAGAAGCAAGAGGTTCACCATCCACTCAGATACAGCCCGAACCAGCCCAAATTCTGCAATGTTCAAGCAAAACTCGAAATGCCACATGCGCCTGTGCTGCCCGTTGTAGCAATAATGACACAGCAACCTCGAGGGCTTGTTCAATAAATAAGGAAATGATAAATAAATAAATAAATCGCTCCTTATCGCTTAAGCTGCTGACACTAATCTGAAATCTGCCCTTTTTCCCCCAGAACAGTGTTCCCTCCTGGCCAAAGCAGCACGCTGGTGGCGCCCACGCACCCCGGTGGCCGCGTTATCACGCGCTGGTGGCTTTGCCATCCTCCACCCGGTGACAGCCTCTGCCACCCTCCGTCCCCTCTTAGCAACGCGTCCGGCTTCCCCCGGTCCGGGTTGCAGAAAAACAACCACGGGAGAGGCGTGGGGTGAAAGGCCTTCGGGAAATCACCTCAAATTTGCAAGCCTGAGTGCGTCTGGTGGGCGCTGCCGGGAGGCAGAACAAACAGAGCGACCTGCAGGCCGCAGAAAGCTGCCTGCTCCCTCACAAAGCCTTTTGCCCCCCAGGACCCAACAGGTGATGCCAAACCTACCCCCGGACCTCTCACCCCGGTGCCAACCATCTCCCCCTGGCACGCCGGCTCTGGTTTTTGGGGAGTTTTCACGTTTTTGGGTGGGAGGCGCCTCTCGGCCGAGGCCTCGCCATCCTACCTGCAGCTCATCCAGAAGAGTCACGTCCAGCCTGTCGCGCTCCCGTTCGGCCTCGCGTTGGTCACCGGCTTTCCATGGAGCCTTTGGGCCATGCATGGGGCCCGACTGCCCCGGGACATCCGAGCGGATCCCGCGCCTCCTCGCCAGGAGGGCCCCAGCGCCACGGGCGTCACCGGAGGCACAAACACCAACGGCCCTTCCAGAACCAGAACCCCCAGGCAGATCCCAGCAGCAATTTAAACCCTCACATCCCGAGACTGGGAGATGCCAACAAAACTCCTGTTCCCACCAATGCTCACACCGCTACCACACCACCAGCCCCTGGGGCTGCTGCGAAATTCAGCTCTCGCATCCTACATGGCCGGAGATATCTCAGCCAAGCGGCTGCCGAAATTCCCTCGGGGGTTAGGATTTGACTGAGCCAAGGGCATCCGTGCCCAAAGCGCTCCCGGTTGAAGCCCATCTGTTAACACGTCTGGAAAAAGGAGCAGCAAGTTTGTGGACGTGCTGAAGGTCATCGGAGAGCGTTTGCCCATTGTCAGCACAGCCAAAGCTCGTGCTGAAATCAAGGGACAGGACAAACCCGGCTCCTCTTTGAGCAAAAACTGTTCCCGATGGAGTAAACAGAGTAAATGCTTTGTCCTGCTGGGCCAAGAGGCGTGTAATGTGCTTGGGTGTACGTAAAAGCATGAGCTGCTGAAATGCAAGTGAGGTGCAAACTGGTGGGAAAATAAATGCTGTGGGACAGTACTGATTTTTGTCAGCGTTTCCTTCAAAAACCACAGCATTTCAAGAAGGTCTCGCTTTGGCGTGGCCTCCTTTCAGGTTTCTATTAGTTAAAAATCCTTGTTAGTCAAAGCAAGTCCCAGCATGGCACTGAAACACAGAGCTTCGAAATGGCTCTTGGAGTACATGAAAGAAAAAAAACCACAACTGTTCCAAATTTTAAAATAAAGTCTATCTCCAACAGTAGGATTTCCTACCAAGCAAGGACACAGCAAGGCAGAGCCCCTTGCAAAGCGCACCCTTCCCTCCCCATGCTCCTGCTGGTTTCTTCTCCCCAGCACTTGCTGCCTTCCCGAGGGGTGAAATCATTTCCCGAGAAACCCTCACAAAGCGCGGGGCTGGGAGACGCATCCAGATAAGCAACGTTTTTACTCGTCTCGCTTCCCCTGCTCACATTGGCCAGCTGTCTCCAGCCCCACTTTATTTTCTGATCGGAGCTAATCCATCATTTCTATGATGCAAATTCGCTTGCTCCGATGAACTTCCTCCCCGGCGCCGCTCGGCACAAAGGTTAAGTGCCCGGCTTGCCCTGAAAGGTGACACGGGGTGTAAAATAACACGGAGAAGGAAGCTGACACCGAGGTCTAATCAGTTAAAATCTCATCATGACCCAAGCTCGAATCCCCGCTGCTTTTTTATTATTTAGTGTTAATGCTTAAAGAGCAAATACAAGCACAAACTGGACAAGCGGGCACCTCCCTCTGCCAAAAAGTCCCAGGTTCTGCTGGGTCTGTGGCAGGATGCTCTGAGCATCCCATCGCCCTTCCCTGCCCACTGCAGCATCCCCAAAATCACTGCAAGCCTTGCACAGAGATGCTATCAAAGCCAATGGCCCTAATCAAAACTCTCTGGGACCCAGTTAGGGCACCTGAATGGGCCCCGAGGGGTTATCTCACTGGGGACACTGGAGGATTTAATGGTTTAGGAGAGCCATGGCAGTGTGGAGCCATGGGATGGGACCGTGGGATGGGGCAGGGCAGGAAGGAGAGGACCCGGGACGGGCACCAGCCCTTGCAGACGCTTCGCCCTCCCTCTCTGTCCTTCTCCACCACTGACAGGCGCCTGGAAAACATCAAATCATCGAAAATGAGCCGGGAAAGGGGACGCTGAGCTTTGCAGGGCATGTCTGTGGGCTTCGGAGCAGCCAGAGTTGTTCCACTTCACTATTTTCTAAGCGAAAAGCTCCGTCTGGCTGCTTCCTAGCTGGTTTTGTCGGGAAGCAATTAGTGCTTGTAAAAATGAAATCAGAAATCACTGGAGCAAAGGAGGAAGGCTCGTTTTGACACAACTGCAGTGAACCCCTTAGTGCTGTGAGTTCAGCGCACGCCTCTCCCCGCACCCATCTCAAGAAAACTTCTCTAAATTATTGTTTTGCAGTGATTTTTTTTTTTGACCCAGCAGGAGAGAGAGGGATTTTGGAGTGCCCTGCCTCAGTTTACCTGCCCCAGGGCAACTCCTCTGGTTGAGAAAGAAAAGTCTTTCCCCAGGGAAACTCTGGTGTAATTGAGGACTGGAAAAAGCTCAAAGAGGAGGGTCAGGTCTAGCTTGGAGCCCTCCTGGTGTGGGGGAGCACCAAAAACACTGTGTGAGCAGGCAAAGCTCGCGTCCCGTCCCCCTGGTCCCACCACGTGCCAGCAGCCATGGGAGGGATGGGGTCCCTGCAGCTCCATGAGCCAAGCCAGCTGAATGGACTTAATGATGCCCCAGATGTAATTAACGAGGCTGATCCCTGTGTTACTGCGGGATGAGGATGCTGCCTGCATGGAGCCGAAGCAGGGAGGGAGCTGGGGGATGCTCCGGTTGCTTTCCCTTCGCCGCCTCCATCCCACTGTCCCCGTCTCCCCGGGGGTGAGGGAAGGTGAATTAATTCCCTCCCCCCCCCTTGTCTGCCACCCAGAGCTCCCCCAGCGGGGCCAGGCCCTGCAGGAGGACTCGGGGCCACCACTCATGGGGCACAGGGTCCCTGGGGTGCTCAGCAGCGAGGGGACGGGCGCTGCAGGGGGGGCAGGAGGCGCTTCCCAGGGACCTCCTGGCCAGGATGATGCTAAAAGGGGGGTGGGAGGGGTGGGGGCCACCTCCCCGCTGCTCCCTGCCTGCACCCCAACACCAGGCACTTGGGGGGGACAATGGCAGAGCCCCCCCTTGGCTGCGTGGCACGGGGACAGTGGCCTTTGTCCCCCTCCGACAGGCTGCGGCCTCAAAGGGGGGGTCACAGCCAGGTGTGGTGGGGGGGGACAAGGCATGTGGGAGATGCTGCCGGCTGGGGCACCCCCTCACTAAACACCTTGTGCCCCCCCAGCCCCCCAGCTGCCTCACACCCCCCTCGCACCCACCTTGAGCACCCACTTGTGCCCCCCCGCCCCCCCCTTTCGGCCTTGCAGATGCTTTGCAGCCTCCCCTCGCACCCCTTCAGCAGCCTGCCCCCCCCCAGCCCCATTTTCCAGATGCCCCCCCCCCCATTTACGGACTCCTCCTTTGCAGCCTGCTCCCCCCCCCCCTCCTTGCAGACGCCCTCCCTCCCCCAAACCCCCCCCCCCGAGCCCCCCCCCTTTTTCCCTCCGCCGGCAATGCCGCAGTGAGCAGCCACCGAGCATCCTCCGGCCGCACCGGGGGGGGGGGGATGATGTGTGCCCCCCCCCCCAGGGCCGCTGCCCCCCACCTGGTAGCTGAGGATCCCATCGGGCTCGTTGCTGCCGGCGGGCATGGCTGGGCCGGGGTCGGGGCTGGAGGACGGGGGGGGATGGAAAAGGAAAGGGGGGGGTCCCGGGCTCCCCCCGCGGCTCGGGGGCCAGGGGGGGCCGCAGCCGGCTGCAGCCCCGGTGCCGCTCACACCGGCTCCACCATCTCCCAGAGCCGGGGCCAAACCCCGCCCAGGGCCGGGAGGAGGAGGAGGAGGAGGAGGAGGAAGGAGGAGGCAGGGCCGGGGCTGGGGGGGTCCCAGGGGGTGGGGGGCAGCGCCCGGTGAGGGACCTCGCGGCCTCGATCCGGGCACAGCCCCCCCCGGTGCCCCCCAGCACGGCCCCGGCCCCAGCCCCAGGAGCCCCTTCGGGGTCTTCGAGGTTTCCCTCCAGCCCCCCCCCAGCATCAGCCCCCCAGCACCACCAGCAAGCCTCCTCCAGCATCACCCCCAGTCCTTCTCCATCACCCCCCCCAGCATCACCCCTGTTCCCCCTCCAGCATCATCCCCCAGTCTCTCCCAGCATCATCCTCCCCCAGCGGCACCCCCAATCCTCCTCCATCACCCCCCAGCATCGCCCCCCCCCCCCCCCAAGCATCACATCCAGCATCACCCCCCCCAAGCCCTCCAACAGGCATTTTGCAAAGTGCCAGCGAACACTAAAATGCTGCTTTTCCCCCAGCCTTTTGGGGCTCAGCTGCTAGAACTTCACATCCTCTACAACCCCAAAAGCATTTCGTATTTTCAAGGGAAACCAAGCACTAAAATACCCTCAAATCCTGCTGACGAGGGACCGGCCGCGAGGCTCGCCCTGCTGCAGGGATTGCCTCTCTTTCCCTTCCCATTAGCCCCATGTTTTTCCCCAGGAAAGGCCTGTGGCAAATCTCGCATTAAAGGCAAAAGCCCCCCCCAAATTCAGCAGCCCAAGACATTGCTCTGTTTTCATACAGAAAACGCTCCAAATGACCGTGTTGTAAAGTTCTTTCATTGACTGGAAATGTACGTCCTGTGCTCCGTGTGCCAGTTTCAGACTCCCCGAGTCCATGGCCAAACGAGACGGGATAAGGAAGCATTTCTCTTCCATTAGTGGGAGATGACAACAGAGGGCTGGTCATTAATTAACAGCCGGTAACGATTTCCCATTCCTGCTGGTGGCACAGGGGGGTCCTGCTGCAGGTTGTGGGGCGATGATCCCCCTTCCCCTTATTGCTGATGGCAATTCCGGGAACGAGGGAGAGGCTGGGGACAGCCACAGTCATCACAGAGCTTCTTTCCTTCAAGAATATGTGTTATCACTTTAGGAAATATAAATATTTCGTAACATTTGTGGGTGTTCGTACAGAGTTCGGGGTGCATGTGCACGCACGTGTGTGTGTGTGTGTGCACGTGCATGGGTGCATGCACATTGCCCCAGGCTCTCAGCCCCCTCTCCCTTCCCACATCCCAGGCTCCTCGAGGAGAAAACTCAACAAGTGAACATTTTCCACCCAAATCTGGTGTTCAGCTGCTTTTGGGCTGGCTTGGTTCTCACTGGGAAGCACTGGGGTCTCCTTCTTCAGCTGCTTTAAGCCTTGAAAACAAGAGCCGTGGGAGGATGCGCATATTCCTGTGCTTGCCCGACGCACACGCCCAGCAGCCAGAATTACAGCAGGTTTAATCCGGCGCATCAAGCCTTGATTTTCCAATTTCTCCTTACTGGAAACTGCCATCATTCTGCTCCTGCCTTTTCAGAAATGACACCCACTGGAGCCCTGGTGAGCCGAACCTGGGGAAAAACAATAACACGCCGCCCACTCTCTGCAGCTAAAACAAACACCCTATACTTAAGGTTATTTAGGAAGCAGAGGCATGCTCATGCCAATGGAAAGTGTTGGATTAAAAAAAGAAGCTCCTGTGTCACCGTGGACCATCTGGCTGGGAGGGGGGTGACTAATTGCACCGCACAACGCGACATCTAAAAATATAACGAAGCGCGTCGAAGTCCACGCGGTGAAGTTAGTTGGTCGAATTTGGACAGCTCAAACGGCCTGAGTCACCAGGGATGGAGCGCAGGCGGAGCATCACGCTGAAATTTGGGGATGGGTGACCCCAAATGCGCCCGGTGTGATTTTTTTGTGTCATTTCGTGCAATGCCACGCACAGACACACGCGTGGCTCATTTCAGAGCACAGCTCATGGAAACCAGTGTGCCACGACTGCTTTTACTCTTGAGAAAAGCCATCTGTGCCTGGGATTTTTAAATTAAATTTACTGGACTTGCTCTTAGAGCAGGAGGAACTGGGATGGTTTTCTTCCTTCCGGCAAGTTTTGGATGGCTGTTACAATTTTATACCAAATAAATTTATGGCCCTTCTTGCTCTGGCTCTCTGTTTGAGCTGGTGCTTCCAGTAACTTAGCATGTTGGAAACAGATATATTCTTCCAGGTTCTAAACAAGAGCACAAAACACTATAAAGTCATGCCACAATCTAATTAATTTGAGGAGCCATGGGATAAAACTTGGAGCTGGAGATGCAAACGGGGAGGTTGCACCATGATGGGAGAAAACCCACTTTGACCTCCAGCCAAACAAGGGCCTGATCCTGCTCATGGAGCCACCCAAGCATCCGCATGAAGATGAACTGTGCTCCGAGCTGAGACTTCTCATAAAAAGCCAAAGCTTTTCAAATGTCTCTATTTACAGAAAAAGTATTTCAACCTTTGTGGTTATGGAGAATTTTGAAAAATGTTCATTTCCCGTTGAGTTACAGCTCCCCACATCCCCCACACACCTCCAGCCTCTGGCACAGAAGCTGCTTTGATATCCACAAAGCTCAAAAAGCCAAAACACACCCCGAGCCCCCAGCCGGCCCATCCAGCAGGGCACAAGGGACGGGAGCACCAGTTTGGGAGCACGCCGGATTACTCGGAACAGGATTGCTGCCTGAGCTGATCCAGCAGCAGGATCTCATGAAGGTCCAGAGCCCATCGTGGTCGCGGTGCAAATACGCAGGTTTACGAGTGGAAAGTCCTACTTCATATGGGTTAAGACTTCCTTTAAATAGTCTGCTTGGGCTGCCGCATCCGAGGGGAAAATCGCCTGGCAAATGTCATAAGTCTGAGCGGCCTCGGAGGTGAGGACGTCACCTTGCCCGAGCGGAGCATCCTCCAGCATCCAGCCTGGTGTCCAGGACGTCTGCAGGGATGGGAAGGGAGAAGTGGTCAGTGGGAAGGGCAGAGGCAGCCTCTCTCAAGCCCCTAATTGTGTCTCAACCTCCACATCCCAGGGCTGACCATGCTGAAGCAGAGCCTTTCAAACCACCAGCAGGTTCTGTGCCCACAGGAGGGCTGGGCGAAGGGCTGCTGCCCTGGGCTGGAGTCTGGGGGAGCTCAAGTCTCGCCTCGCTCCATCCTCGCCCAAATCTGCCAGAGGATGCTGTCTCCTGAGCCTCCCCCATCACCCAACGCTTTCCCCTGAGTGCTACAATCACTACCCAAGCAAGAACATGAGAAAAGTGCTTTTGTAAGAAGCAAACTTGAGAGCATTTGTAATTTCCTTTTGTGCCATTATCATTTAAGTGCTGATAAGGCACATTAGGACTTTACCAGACAGACACCGCTTCCTCTTATTTCTTTCTTCTCCTCCTTCTTCTTAAAAAGAAACTAGCTTCTAAATAAAGCCCAGGCTGAAAATCAATAGCTTTCCCCATGAATGTATAGCCACAGCAGTCACGAAATAATTTTAAGGGCCTCATATGGGAAAAGAAATTAAAGGAAATGGGCTTGGCATTATGGGGACACTCACTGCCATTCCAGCATTGGTGTCCCGCCTATAGCACACTGCGAAGCCTTACCAGAACCTGATAAATCGGAGAATAAAGGAAATATTTAAGAACTCATTTAATTTGCAGATCCCAAGGAGGTCGATACAGGCCTTCCCAGACTGAATCAATCACCTCAAGGTTTCCCCAATGCCTCAGACAGGAGCAGGAAGGACCACGGGAAAGGTTTCACTCATCAGGTGCTTGGCAGCCAGATCCCAGGGACTTTCATGGACCTAATTCCCCTCAAAACTGGATAAGTGGGTGCCTAGAAGCCTTTTCAGGACATAACCATAAACCTCTGCTCTGCCAGAGCTCCCCACGTTACCCCCGGGTTGATGGAGAGGATGATGAAAATTGGCAGATGCTGTTGCACTGGGAAGAGCGGGCAAAACCCCCAGACAAAAATCCCTGCCAGCCTCAGCATTTACCTTCATGGGTCCTCGGATCTCTACTGGCACCTTTTCCTCAGCAGCCGGAGCACTTTCACTGGGAGCATCTTCCTTCTGAAGGGCTTCTGGGCCTTTGTAAAGGTCCAAGAGAGTCAGGAAGGAGTCCACAGCCTCGGCATTTGGTGCCACGAACTCCTGCGGGCTGCAGCAAGCTCTCACTCCTTCCTCGGGGCTATTCACGACAGGAGGCATCCTGCAGTTCTTCAGCCACGTGTCTAGATCCATCTTCTCACTTCTCTCTGCCTTGTTGCTGCCAAAAGCCACAGCAAGAGCTGCTCTGCCAGCCCCGCCGTCGAAGACGCTGCCGTTTGGGGCACTCGGTGGGTAGCTGCTGTCGAAGCCGGGCACGTCGGCAGCGTGCGGCTGCACCAGGGGGTGGGCAGAGCCCTCCGGGGCCTCGGAGCACTTCTGTGGGCTGCCCGGTGGCCTTTCCCCTTCCTCCGTGGCCATGTCCTCCGTGCACTGGACCGGCAGCGACATGGGGATATCTTTGAAAGGAATCAGGTCATTTCTGGGGGATTGTGGCATTTGTGTTTTCCCTTCCCCGTGTTTCATTCTCCTTTTGTGCTGCAGTGAAACTACCAGGTATTATCTCCTCAGGGGGGGAGTGGGCAAGCAAAGCTCACTGCCCCTCAGCTAGGGGGTGGCAGCAAACACAAGGCTGGAGCAGCAAAGAAACAGCATCTGAGGAGAGCCAGAAAGGGAGGCGAGTTGGAGGAAGAGCAGCAGCTGTCCTAGGAGGGGAAATGCTGCGATATCTGCGTCCCTGCATAATGACGTTGGTCTGGGCACTGTTTGGAGCTGCTTATCTGCGTGCCAGCCCCGAGGGAAGGACGTGCAGATGGTGATGCTGCAGGCTCGCCCCCTTCCTCATGGGGGAAACGAGGCTACCGCAGGGCTGGGGAGCACGCGGGGCTGCCCGGCTGCAAAATCAGCACATGGCAGCCCTTCGTCTGGGCAAATCCCTCCTGACCACAGAAAACAGCCTGTAAGGTCAGGAAAAACTTGCAAAACCCTGCAAGATTAATGTGACTGTGGGGGACAGGGGGAAGCAGATGAGCACATGGGCCATGGTGGGGGACCAGGAGATTTCTTGGAAAACCAGGCAGGCTGCTGGGCAAGAACATTCACCCAGGCAAACCGCAGTCCAAGGAGGCTCCACCACCACCCCTGCCTTCCAAAAACGCTCTAGGCAATGAGTACCATCTGCCCCAGCTCCTCCCCACTCTCCCCAGGGGAGACACATGTAAATAGCAGCCTGTGGTGGTTTTAACACGCCTCGAAGCAGACACACACATGTTACTCCTGGTTTGGTGGTGAAGGCGAAGCCAAAAAGCTAGGACAGCCAGCACAGGGAGTGGAGCACGCGTGCCTTAAGCCTGCTTTAATGTTACCCCCACTTTTGGCAGCAAAGCTCTTGCCAGCATGAGGATGAAGGTTCAAATCACTCCCATCAGCGTAGATCTGCTCTTTTTAGCGAAAGAGCAATTTCAGCACGCCCTCCCCAGCCCTGCTGCTTACCGAGGACAGGGCCCTTCCTGGCAGTCAGCTTCTGGAGGAGCTTGCCCTGCTTCGCACACAGATCCTGCAGCCTGGTAACCTCCTCACACAGCTGGAGGAATATTTTGTCCATCTCCATTGTGCCTAATCAGGAAAAAAAAAAAAAGAAAAAAAAAACGAGAGGAAATGACCCACTGGGTGTTTTTCAAAGGCAGCAAGGAGCCGCAGAGGTTCCCCAGAGCTGGGGAGGACTGTGCTCAGTCATGGTGCAAGACCTCCAGAGATCTCAGCTTGTGCGTATGGGACTGTGCAGAAAGAAGCGTTGCCAGTTCCAGTTCTCTTGCTATTTACATAGAAAATAGAAAAACTGAAAAGGGAAGTGATTCTGTCCGAATCAGGAGATAACTCAACAGCCAAGTTGGGCTCTTCCATCTTGCAGCCCGCAGCTGAGCTCCAAAACACCAAAAAGTCCCATTTATGTAAAAATCTACTTGGAAACTTGCATTTCACATTCATTTAGTACCAAAGGCTGTGTATTCAGGGGATTTATTTTTCTTGTGCAGTGGTGTGAGAGCAAACAAACTCCTGGCAACGAACACCAGCAGGGAAGGAGGTCCAAGCACAGGGGCTCAATTCCCTTTTCTTGAGATGCTCAGCCCTGAGCTGCCCCTTCTGCTCCTGAAAATACTCTGCAAATGAAAATCCAGCTCATGCCCACATGGTATGCTTTAACCAAATATTGTTACTACAAAGAAAATTCTTCCTGCGTTGTGTTCAGTACATTTCTCACTGCTTTAACAGCTGTATTGTGGATTAGACTTTCCAGTTTTACCATATTGCACCAATTATTACCAGTCTGAAAGATAATAAATAAAACCAAAGTGTGGTATAAATCTGCAAGCCATCTGCAAAGTACATTTTGATTTGAAAGATTTGTGCAATCTCGATAATCACAGACATGCAAATCAGCTTTGCTTCCTGTCATGTTTTCCAGGTTCGCTGCTGCTTAGCTGCTGTGAATTTAAGCTCCGGCTCTGTAATTAGAGGCTCAGCTGATGGGTTTGATGAAACCTCCTCTGGCACCCGGAGTGTTGTGGATTCCCCAGTAGGGGCGAAGGGCAGAAATCCCAGCCGACGTGAAGGAAACGCACCGAGCGCAAAGAAAACTTCAGACCAAATGGTAAGGTCCGCTTCCAGAGCAGGGTATTTCTGCGCTTCTTAGCCCACAAACAAGCCGTGATGATAGCTGGATTGTATTTTCAGCTGTTTGGGTCCCACTGATTCCTAAAAGCCAAGGATATAAACTTCGCAACCTCCAAAGCAGCTAACGCCATTGGTAACATATCAAATTAAAGATTAAGGGGATATATTTTGCCTAGGAGTTATATATAACCATGCCAATTAATTATTAAGAAGTGTGTGATTTGGAGCTGTCATTCCCAAGTAAGCCTGTATTGATTTTTTAAGATTCCTGCTGTTTTTTCAGTCGCTCAACGCTTCTTAATTTCCCCCAAATTACTACTGTGCATTAGGAGGGCAGGAGATTTTAATCTCCTGTGTAACCTTGAAAAGCGTTTTTCAAATCGCAATTAAAGAAAGCAATCCAAGAACAAAAACAAAAACTCGGGGACCCGGTCGCTCACCGAGTGACTCGGAGGGGAAGGACGTGCCGTCAGCCGCGTTCCCCCATGGCACTGGGGATTGGGGCTGCTTTAATGAGGAGAAAAACCCATTCCCACCCTGTTCCCCGCGACACAGACCTGTGTGGACCCCGCGAAGCCCCAAAGCTCCCTTCTCCGCAGGACCACACTTACTCTTGGGGGGGGCCCTCCTTCCCCCAGCCGGGTAGCTGCGGCGTGACATCGGGCTCGGCGCGTCGCAACTGAAAAAGATCAGTAACAGAAAAAATTGGGGCAGGGAATTTCCCTTCAGTTTTTTTGTGTTAAGAGCGAAACCTCTGCACAGCAGCGAGACAGGAAATAAAGCAGCAGTGAATTACAGGCGACTGCTGTGCAAACCCTGGGTTTAAAATTAGCTCTGAAAAGCACAGGAGACTATTATGGAGGCCATGGGTGGCCTTGTGGCGGGTGAGTTTTGGCTCTTCTCTGCACCATGCCAGGTAAGACACTCGTCTTTTCTGTTACTTAGCCTTCCCCTGCCCTTCTCGAGCAATTTGTTGCTGCTTTAATGCGGAGGCTGCCGGGTAGTTGTGCATCTACGAAACTGACCGCCACAAAGCTTATCCTCTGTAAGGCAGCTAATATTCAAGCTAATATCCCAATAATCCAAATTAATACTCGCTCCACCCCAGCTCAAATCCCCAAATCCTCGGTACAGCACAGGAGCCAACGAAAAGGCTCTGGCGGGTGTTAAAATCCTCCCAGCACTCGTCCCTTCTGCCTTTGGGAGCCCGGAGAAAGCCGCTGGGGTTTCCCCGGTGCCTCCAGCACCTCCCTCGTGCTCCTCTGCCCTTCTGGATGTCGCGACAGAGATGCTCGGGGAGGCTGGGGGCTGCTTGTGCCCTTCCTTCGGTGTGCAGAAAGCCCCTGCAGAAAGGGCTGCCCGTGCCTGTAGCTGCCACATTGTCCCCAGCCACGTCCTTCCCCCACCCACGCTCTCCGGAGGGTCTCTCTCCCACCACCGCTGTCTCACCTGGCTTTTCCAGGGACTTTTCCTGCCCCAGCAGTGTCGGGCAGCCAGCAGCGCTCAGCCCGCAGCTCCAGGAGGACACCACCACCTAGCGTTAAGCACGGGGCTTGAGGACGAGGGGGACGGGGTGCGCGGAGCGGGGCTCAGGGCTCGGGGCTGCTGCCGTGGGGACGCGTCCCCGGCCCGGCCCGACCCCTCCGCGCTGCTGGCGAGCAGCAAACTGGTGCCATCAGCAGGTCAGTGAGGAGATAAAGGCTGAACAGGGCCGGCAGAGAGGTGGGAATCATCAGCGAGTGCCGGTGTCCGTGCTCTGTTGACCCACTCGCACGCGGAAACACGAGCGGCAATTACCGCAGCCCGATAAAAGGACCGTAAATATCCAAGCTGCAGCCAAACGCTGCCGCCGGGCTGGGAGCTCCGCTGCCGCCACGGAATAATTAACAAAGAAGAATAATTAACGCACCGCGAAGCAAGGGGAGCACCAGCGGGGAGGGCACCGCGGCGGGCCCGTGCCGCTCCCCCAGTGCCCAGCCCCGGCAGCCCCCGGCCGCTGGGTGCTGCGGGACACAGAGCACTGGGACCCGGGGCCTTTACTGGCGCCCACAACCCCGGGATCAGGCCCCTGGAGCCCCCTATGGCCCCGTGGCTCCCAGCACCCTACAGACCCCGCCACCCCCAGACCCCCGGCTCAAGCCCCTCTGCGTCCCCCCCGCTCCCAGGACCCCCGGTGCCAGGTCCCTGCAGCCCCTACAGGTCCCCGTGGCTCTCAGGACCCCCAGCTCCATGCCCCGGTGTCCCCGACGAGCCCCGCCGTGGCCGGTACCGGGGTGTCAGACCCTTACCGCCCCCCCGTCCCGTCCCGTCCCGTTCCCCCGGCCGGGCTATCCAGCGGGCGGCGCTAGGACCGCGGCTGCGCTCCCTGGCGGGCGGCGCTAGGACCGCGGCGCGGGCGCCGTGCACCTGTGCCCCGGGGCGGCGGCAGGTGGCGGCGGTGGCCACGCCCCCCGGCCACGCCCCCCCCGGCCACGCCCCGGTCCCGGTCCGGCACCTGCGGCCCCGCGCCCGCCGCCGCCACGGAGCCAGGTGAGGGGGGGCGGGGGCTGGGGAGGGGGTGGGTCCCGGTCCCGGTCCCGGTCCCGGTCCCGGTCCCGGTCCCGGTCCCGGTCCCGGTCCCGGTCCCGGTCCCGGTCCCGGTCCCGGTCCCGGTCCCGGTCCCGGTCCCGGTCGGTGCCCGGGGGAAGGTGCTGGGGACCGGGACGGAGCCGGTTCGGTGCCGGTGCCGCAGGCTCGGGGCCGGCACGGAGCCCCCCGGTGTAACCCAGCGGGTCCCGGTGCTGCGGGGCTCGGGGCGCTGAGGTGGGCAGGATCCGTCCCTCAGCCGGCCGGGGGTCCCGGTTCCTTTTTCAGCCCCCGGTAGGCAGAGCCCACGCCACGCTCCTGGCCCCGGTGTCCCGGCTGCGGAGGGACCGGAGCCCTGCCCGGAGCCCCCATCCCGGCCAGGGGACGGCGGGGGCCCTCCCACCCCCTAGGGCCACCCGGGTCCGTCCCGTAGCACCGAGCCGCGCTCACGTTCCCTTTCCCACCCCATTTTCGCTGTTTTTTACCAATCTGCTTAAAACTAAAGCCGCGCCGCGATGCTCCGGGGAGAAGCGGAGGCTCCGATAGGGGGACCGGGACCGGGTTTCCCCCGGTGTGCACGGAGCGGGGTCTCACCGGGGGGCTGCATCCCCCCGGCGTGGTCCCAGGGGGCCGTCGGCACCCGGAGCCCGCCGGGGCCGTGACTCGGGGCGCGGCGTCGAGGTCCCTCAGCTCTGCCTTGGTTTGTTCCCCCCCGCGGGGCTTCCTTCCCCGGAGGAAGGTCCCGATTTGGGCTCCGAGAGCTTCCCCCCCCGCCCCGATTCCTCCCTCGGGCGTCAAAGAGGAAGCGTTGGGTGTCGCAGCTGCGTGGGAGCCCCGGCCACTCGGGCTCCGTCCCGCTGCCACCCCCGGCCTGACCGTGCTGGTGATTATTTCAACCCACTCTCCTTTTTTTTTCCTCTCTTTTTTCCTTTTTTTTAACCTCTTCTGAACGCAACAGGCCCCGCTGGGGACCGACTGCCACGCAGCTGCGACGCGCTCGCTCCGCCGTTGGTTTTGCTGGGTGTTGGGCGAGCCCTGTCCCAGGGGGGAATTTTGGGGTGCTGTGGCCAGGAGGGAGCTCGGGGGACGATGCCCAGCGGGGTCGGTGGTGGCTCTGCCCCGTGGGAATGGGTTTGTGGTGGAGGACTGGGAGCAGAAAGCAGCGCACGGGAGTTCCTGCTGCAGCTCGTTGCAGAAGTCACCCCGGGGACCCATCCTGCACCGTGACTCAGTGCCTGCACTGCTGCGGGGGTGTCACTCGGTGGTTTGGGGGAGGAAACGTCCCATGGCTCATGTTTGTCCTCTCGATGCCATGTCCACAAACCCCACGAGCTCCGCTCTTCATGGCTCGCTTACAACACCTGCCAGGAGGTTAAAGCAGGGAGAGAGCCCTCTGAGAAAGGCTGGCCTGAGATTTCAGCGTGTCGAGGGGTCGTTTTGCTGCTTGTCGGGGGTTTTTGTTGCTTTTGGGGCAGGGGATGGGGCCTGCGGTTTGAGGTAGGAGCCCCCCCGGGATGGACCCTTGGGGGCTGCAGCCGCTGTTGTGCGCTAAGCAGTGCCCTGGCCCTGGATGCCGTGCTGGGGCTTATTAGCGGGTAACGAGCGCTTCATTAGTGTGGTCACAGCAACGTGGCAGGCAGGGGATTATTGGAGAGATGTGGGGATGGTGGAAATAGGCATTTCTCCCCAAAACAGGTCACTCCTCACTGCCTGATGCTGCCTTGCCACACGAGGCTTTGAGAACCTCCAGACCCAGGGGTTCAAGTGAGGCGGGAGCTCAGCTCTCCAACAAGTGAAATGGGGAGAATTGGGGTTTTTTCCTTACTCCTGCTTTTTGTTTTCCCCCCTGTGCATTGAGTGGTTCTCAGCATCCTCCTCGGGAGCCGGGACCCCTCGCTGCAGGCGCACTTGGCAGTGAAGCGTGCTCTGGCTGCCGGCTTTGATCCCGCAGCCCTTCGGCACTAAAAGCGGTGACCTCGGGTGCAGGGACCGGGCTGTCCCCCTCCCTCCTCCTCCTCCTCCTCCTCCTTTACAAGCCCGCTGCTTTATTCCCCCAGCCCATAAAGCCTCGCATGGCCACAGAAGAATAAGGAGCCCCGAGCTGAGCTTCCTCGCCCTTGAAGTTGATGGCAGGTGCCCTTTTCCACTCCAGGGCGCTGTGGGGGGCTTCGCAATTTTCAAAGCATCAAAAAAAAAAAAAAAAAGGAGGGGGAGATTCTGAAGAGGAGGAGGGGAGATGCCGGTGAATGGCTCCCACGGAGCTTGTCCATGCTCTGGTGGCAGCAGCTCACAAAGAGCGGCGGGAGGCAGAGCTCGGCGGTCCCGGCGGCATCGCGGAGCGCTCAGCCAGGCTCTGGACCTGCTGCTCCCCTTCAGCAAAAAGCAAAGCTCTGGGGGGGACTCGCACGTCTTCTCCTTCCCAGCAATGCTGCAGGCAGGAAAAGTATCTGGGAAAGGCTTTTTCTGCATATCTGGGGATATTAGAGGGAAGTTAGCGGCTCTTTTAGCTCCGTTGCGTGGCTCCTTCCCCGCGCGCAGGGTTGCGGGGTGATGCTGCAGCAGCCGGCACAGCTCGCAGCCTCCCTCAAGCCCCGCTTTTTGTGTGGGGTTTTATTTTCAGCGTGGGTTTGTGGGCTGGAGGCACTGGGAGGTGCCACGTGGGAGAGGCTCCGCTCGCTGGCAGCGATGCCAAGAGCCAGGCTCATTCGCTGCCCCGCCGAGAGTGAACTTTATATATCGCAGCCAAAGTGCATCCTGCTGACTGCGGTCTGGGCATTAACCTGCGGGTGTTTTTCCTCCTCCCCAGGCTAGCAGAGCGCAGCACGTCACCATGAAGCGCCTGGAGACCCCGTGTCCCTAAACGCACGTCGCTGACACGTGGGGAGGACGGCGCGGCCGCCCCGTGGAGGATGAAGCTCCTGCGGCGCCGCTACAGCCCGCTGAAGGTGGCTCTGGTGGGCGCCATCTTCGTCCTCTTCCTCTTCATCCTGCAGAGGGACGTCGGGGACAGAGACCCGAGCGAGGAGCCCTGGCTGAAAAACATCGTCCACGGGAAGGACCAGGTCATCGACCTGATGCTGGGGGCGGTCAACAACATTCGGGACTCGATGCCCAAGCTGCAGATCGGGGCTCCGGTGCAGCCGGAGGAGCCGCCCCGCAGCGCCCGCTCCTGCCTGCCCGGCTTCTACACGGCAGCGGAGCTGCGCCCGCTGATGGAGCGGCCCCCCCAGGACCCCAACAGCCCGGGAGCTGATGGCAAAGCCTTCAAGAAGGACCAGTGGACGCCGGAGGAGACCAAGGAGAAGGAGCGGGGCTACGAGAAGCATTGCTTCAACGCCTTCGCCAGCGACCGCATCTCCCTCCAGCGAGCGCTGGGACCCGACAGCCGCCCACCGGAGTAAGAGCCCCCTCCACTGCCCTGGGCTCGTTTTAATCTTCATTTGCTCCTTCCAGGGCAGGTTTAAGGGGAAATAAAAGCGAGGCTCACTGCCTCCTGCTATCAGTGGGGTAGCAGTCCGGCACAGGAGGCAGAAATTCACTGTTTTGGGGCCGGCGGGCTGGGGAGCCAGAATTTCCCCTAATTTCTGTCTGCCTCATGCTTGGTTTTTAATTGCAAGGGGTGAAAGCGTGCGGCGGCTCTTTGTGTCCCCAAGTACCTGCTCCTGGCCCCACGGCCGGCTGGCTCCAGCATCTCCCCCAGCTCCTCCCTTCCCTCTTTTATTTCGGCCAGCTCTGCCGTAATCTGACTTTTTCTTTTCTTAGCCGAGTGGAACAGCCTCAGAGCCGGCCAGGCAGGGGGGCGAAGGAAGCGGCCTCAGCTCCAGAGACTGCACCGCCTGCCCTCCGGCGCTGGGCCGCCGGATTAGAGCGTGCCCCCAGCCCCTGCCTGGTCGGGGGTGGGTCTGGGGGGGCTCCTGGAGAAAAAAGGCTTGAATAGGAGGTAGAAACCCAGCCCTGGTGCGCAGACCGGCCCCCCAGCCCCAAGCCGGCAGGCGATTATCTGTGCCTAGCAGGTGTAGCGGTGACAATGGGGGGACACCGGGTCTGGGGTGGGACGGGAATGTTATTCACTCAACCGGAGGTGGCGGCGACAGGGCTGGGGGGGAAGAGGTAGAAACCAAGAGAAATCAAAGCGATGGCAAGCCGAGAGCCGCGGGGGCTGCCGGTGCTGCTGCCTCGCCATGCAGAACGCCCCAGCAGGGGGACGAGGGGTATTTTGTTTTGGCATCCCTGCCCCGCTGGTTCTTCATGTCCCATCCATGCTGTGCTTAAATTCTGCTTTATTTATTTTTTTTCCAACCCCCACCCACCCCCCCCCTTAGGTGCATCGACCAGAAATTCAAGCGCTGCCCGCCCCTGCCCACCACCAGCGTGGTCATCGTCTTCCATAACGAAGCGTGGTCCACGCTGCTGCGCACGGTGTACAGCGTCCTGCACGCCTCCCCGGCCGTGCTGCTGAAGGAGATCATCCTGGTGGACGACGCCAGCACGGACGGTGGGTTGGGGCTGGCAGCGGGGGGACACGGGACGTTGCGGGACGGGGGGCGAGGAGCATCGCTGCCACCCCGTGAGCAGCTGGGAGCGGCGCTGAGCAGCTCTGAGGAAGAGCAGAAAGCTCTGATGGGTGGCTCAGGGCACGGACGGGTGTTTTTCCATCTTGTTTCACACCTGCTGTGAGTGCTGTTGGGTTTTTTTCCTTCCACGCTGCTGGTTCCTTTTAACAAAGCCCCCGGATAAACCCGGGCACTCCTCCCACCTCCTGCAAACACCTTGCCACCTCAGCAAACAGCTCGCTCACCCGCTACACCGCAATTTGGCAATCTTAATTAGTTACACCCAAAGCAAACTAATGACATGTTTCAATGTCAGGAGAGGAGCAGACTTTACCCTTGCCCTGTCCCGGAGATAAACGCTCCGTTTCCGCCCGTGGCAGCTGTGTGAGCTTCCAGGGCGCAGAAACCTGTGTGTGCCACGACAGCACCTTGGCATAAAGGGGTTTCTGCACCCAAAACATCCCCCGGGGCACGCGGACATCCTATGGGGCAAGAGCAACATCTTGCTCAGCAGGCAGCATCCCCGGGAAAAGCACTTTGGGGCTTTCTCACGCAGCAGCTATTCTTTCCTGGGTTTTCTTGCCCCAAGCACAGGTCGTCCTCTCCATGCTCTCTGCGCGGGGTGACACTGGGTGACACTGGGTGCAGCTGGGTGCAGCTGCCTTTCCGCCCCAGCGAGCTCTCGGCCGGTCCTTGGCCAAGAGGTTGTGGCCTGGCTGCATGAACGCGGGCAGCAGGTGTAAGCTGAGGGCAGGGCGGGCGCAGCCTCTCCCCGGGCTGCCGGGAAAAGACCTTGGGAAAGGCAAGGCGTGGGTCTGGGAGCTCGTTTCCTCGGGTCAGGGCAGCGTGGGGGTTTATCACCCACCTAGTTTTTAGTAACTAAAACCTCTTGGGCCGGGGGAATGGGGATTTGGGTTTCCCCAAGCTCGCAGTTGGACCCCAACCCGAGTGCAGGGTCCAAGCAGGACCGGGGAAGCCCCTACCCCAATTCCAAGGGGCAGGGACCCAGTGGGATGAACACCCCCGCTCACCTGGAGCCCGTGGCTCTCCTCCCTCCCTGACTCCCCCAGACTACCTGAAGGATGAGCTGGAGCACTACGTGAAGCAGCTGCAGATCGTGCGGGTGGTGCGGCAGGAGGAGAGGAAGGGGCTGATAACGGCCCGGCTGCTGGGGGCCAGCGTGGCCAGCGGGGAGGTGCTGACCTTCCTGGACGCCCACTGTGAGTACCCCCCTCCCTGTCCCACTGGCGGGTGCCCCCGGGTCCCCGAGGAGAGGGGAAGGGGACGGTGGTGCCCGCGAGGTCGGTTCACCCTTCCCCGTGCCCCCAGGCGAGTGCTTCCACGGCTGGCTGGAGCCCCTCCTGTCCCGCATCGCCGAAGAGCCCACGGCCGTCGTCAGCCCCGACATCACCACCATCGACCTCAACACCTTCGAGTTCTCCAAGCCGGTGCAGTACGGCAAGCAGCACAGCCGGGGCAACTTCGACTGGAGCCTGACCTTCGGCTGGGAGGTCATCCCGCCCCGGGAGAGGCAGAGGAGGAAGGACGAGACCTACCCCATCAAGTAAGCCTTGGCAGGGGGCGTTGGCGTCCTCTCCGGACCCAAAATCTGCAAAGTTTGCTGGCCGAGCAGGCGATGCTCAGGCGAGGTGGCAGAGCTGGGTGCGAGCCCCGGCTGCCCAGTGCCAGGAAGCTGCCGGCTCCTCCGGTCGCTTTTCCTCCTTTCCCAGCACGCTGGGGTTTTCCCCGGTGTTTTTCTCTCTGCAAGCCACAGCTTTGAGGCCCGGCGGGTGAAGCTGTGTGTTCCCAGGGGATCCCCCCCATGGGATGCTCGGGTCAGGGCCTCTCGGGCAGCTTTCCCCCAGCAGAGGATGCTCAGGGAAGGTCAGGGCCATGGAGGTAGCAGAGGGGAAACCTCAGGGAAGCTTTGGTGAGTGCAGAGCCACAAACATCTATGAAAAGAGCTTTTAAATCACCTCCAGCTGTATCTCGGTTCTTGCACAGTCTCTCATTAAGCGCTTAATTGCTGCCTTTTATCTTCTTGCACTTGGAAATCCTGGGCACCGGTGGCTGCCTGCGTTGGCGCAGCACCCAGGGGATGTTACCTGTGGGTCGGGCTGTGCACAGACACCTCGGGTTTTCTTTCTTCCCACCCCATCATACATGCAGAGAACCCCCCCAGCGCCCAGGCACGCTGCTTTGCTCGCAGGCTGCAGCCTGCGGGCCACTTCCATGGGGTTTTCTTCTCCCCGTGGGGTTAAACAGCAGGAGAAAAATCCTCCCCTCGGGGAGCTGGGGCTGTCTGCAGGCAGAGACCCCATGTGGGTTGGAAATAATGCAGAAAGGATGCCCGACGGGTCAGTGTAACCCCCTAAAGCAGGTCCCTGTTCATCCCGGCTGTTCAAAGCAGCCGGGGGGATTTTGGCAGAGCTGCAAGACCACAGGGGTGTTAGAGGGGGGGAGATTTCCCTCTGCATCTCCGGCCGGTGCCCCCAGCAGCCCCGCCGGGAGACACCCGACACTGTTTGGCCGTGGCCGCATCCTGCCCGCAGCAGGGCTGGCTTTGTGCACAGGTCACCCGGGCGACGTCCCTGCCCCAATAAAGGTCCCTTTTTCCGACGGTTTGGCTCCCAGCAGCGTCTAATCTCTCTCTGCTCCTCTCGGCAGGAACGCAGCCACTCAACAAGCCCCCCCTTTTTTTTCCCCCTCCTTTTTCCTGAATAAAAGCAAGTTTCTATTCCAGCCTCCCTCTTGTAAAGATCAGATGGAGCAGATTAGAAAAGCCGGAGGAGTGAATAGGGTGCCCGGTCACTGAGCTAATCTCTGCCTTTCTTTTCTGCGATAGGTTTTCGGTAATAAAATCCTCCTCTCGCTTTGGCTCGCAGACCAGCAGCGAGGCCCCTCGGAGTCATGCTGCCACCGCGTTCCTGCTGTCCCCTCCTGGCAGCGGCTCTGTCCTGGCCGTGTCCCCCCTGCCAGAGCTGTGGGAGCTGCAGCTGCTCTGTGGTGTCCCCAAAATTCAGACCTCTGCTATTTTTTTTTTATTTTTTTTAACCCATTTTGTGGGTGGAGGCGCAGGGGGGTGCAGGCAGCCTCCCTCCAGCCCCCGTTTTCTCTCTCTCTCTCTCAGATCTCCGACCTTTGCCGGCGGCCTCTTCGCCATCTCCAGGTCCTATTTCGAGCACATCGGCTCCTACGACGATCAGATGGAGATCTGGGGGGGCGAGAACGTGGAAATGTCCTTCAGGGTGAGGGCCAGGCACCTCCTTTAAGACACGGCTCTGGGGAATGCCCTTTATCCGGGGGCACCGATGCCCTCGGGGGGTGCTGGAGCCCCGCGTCTCATCCCCGCAGGTCTGGCAGTGCGGGGGCCAGCTGGAGATCATCCCCTGCTCCGTCGTGGGCCACGTCTTCCGCTCCAAGAGCCCCCACACCTTCCCCAAGGGCACGCAGGTGATCTCCAGGAACCAGGTCCGCCTGGCCGAGGTCTGGATGGACAGCTACAAGGAGATCTTCTACAGGAGGAACCAGCAGGCTGCGCAGATGGCCAGAGAGGTACCGTGCACGCCGGCGGGGCTTTCGCTGTCCTGGGGGCCGGATCCTGCACGGAGCTCAGGGCTGAGCAGAGGGAGATGCAAGGGATCTGCGTGCTCAGCCCGGAGCTGGGCAAACAAATGCGGGTGGAAGGATATAGCCCAAAAAAAGCCCTTTTTTGCCATACCCGTTTCCAGCAGAAAAATACACATTCTTTTACAACACCAAAGGGTTTTTGGCAGCTCGGCTTTGCTCTGACACCAGAACATCCCAGGTGTGAGCAGCCAAATCCTGCCTGGGACCAGCGGTGTCTCGTGGGACCCCAGAGCCTGTCTCGGTCCCGGCTGCTGCGGGACTCGGGGGCGATGTGACAGACGGTGGCAGAGCTGGGAGGACAAAGCTCTGTGCTGGCTCGGGGGGGGTTTCCTGGCTGGCTTCGGAGGTTAGTTTAATTTTCTCACGTGACTTTGTCGATAGAAGACGTATGGTGACATTACAGAACGGCGCAAGCTGAGGGAGCAGCTTCACTGCAAGAACTTCACCTGGTACCTGCAGACCATCTACCCCGAGATGTTCGTCCCCGACCTGACTCCCACCTTCTATGGGGCGGTAAGTAGGGGGGGTGTGGAGCTCCTGCCACCCCCTGGGCTGCTCCCTCTGTTAGAGTGGTGGCAGCAACGTCCCCAGCAGGCTGGGCTTTGCTTTCTGCATTTAGGGCAGCCCGGAGCAGGGTGCTGGAGGGGCCCCTGCCTGTCTGGTTCAGCTGATGGGGCTGCTTCAGGCTCCGGCTGACAGCGGAGAGGTGAAGCTGGGAGCTGGAATCCAGCAGAGCTGGTTTCGGGGCCCTGGAGGGGCCGTGGCATGGGTTAAATCAGGCAAAACAGCTGAAAATTTCCCCAGCTGAAAGTTTTCCTAACCCATGCCATCAGCTCTGGGCATTGACAGGCGGACCCCAAAAAAATAAATGAGCTGTGCCAAGAGACGAGGCAGAGGGGGACGGGCAGGACGTGAGGCACTGGCCCTGCCTGCGGGGAGGGAGCTGCCAAAAATCCCCTACCCCAAGCTGGCACCCGATGGTCTGTGTGTGTGTGTAATTCCTCGGGCTCGTGGGACCGGCTGCAGGGAAGCTGAGCGTGGTTACGTGTCCGCCGAGGGCTCGGCGCTGGCTCCCACCCGGGTTTAAATCCGCTTCTATTTCCTGAAACTTTGGCCGGGCGGCTCTCGCCCTGAGCCGCGGGGAGGAGGCGCTGCCGCGGGCGTTCCTGGTGTCCTGGAAAGGACGAGGGACCCGGACCTGGCACCGGTGCCAGCACCGTGTTTGCACGGCGATATTTAGGTGCCCTGCGACCCCAGCACCGAGCGTGGCTCCATCCGCTCTCCCTGGTCTTCTTCTTATTATTATTTTTTCTCCCTGCAGATTAAAAATGAGGGCACCAAAAGCTGCCTGGATGTCGGTGAGAACAACCACGGTGGGAAACCGCTCATCATGTACCCGTGCCACGGGATGGGGGGCAACCAGGTAGGCACCTGCATGACCCCAAGGAGCACTGCCCCTCTCGCAGCCCCTCCATGCTTCCCCCAGGGGTTGTTTTATCGGGGTGCAGCTGGCGAGGGGCTGACATTCCCCCTCCCTCACCCTGCTCTTGCCCCCCACAGTATTTTGAGTACACAACGCAGCGGGACCTGCGGCACAACATCGGCAAGCAGCTGTGCCTGCGGGCCGGCTCGGGGCTGGCCGAGCTGGGCGAGTGCCAGTACCGGGGGAAGCCCACGCGGGTGCCCCCCAACGAGGAGTGGGAGCTGGCGCAGGTGAGCAGCCCCCTCCAGCCCCGTCCCCGGGGAGCGCCGCGGGATGCGGGTGCTTCACCCCTCACTCCTGTCCTTTGGGGTGAGCTGAGCCAGGCACTGTCTTTTGTTTTTGGCCAGGACCGGCTGATTAAGAACCCAGCCTCCCGCATGTGTTTGACGGCACGAGGCAAGCACCCGTCGATGGTCCCCTGCAACCCCTCGGACCCCCACCAGCTCTGGTCCTTCACCTAGTGGGCGAGTGGATCGAGCCCCGGCCAGCCCCGACTGCGCTCAGGAAACCAGGATCCAAAACTTCCCCCTGTTTATTTTTATTTTTATTATTTTAATTTAAAAGAAGCAAAAGCCTTAAATATGCTGCATTTCACATCTGCCTTGAACTCAGTCCTGTGCCTTTTGACCGCTCCCGTTTGCGAATTTCGGGGGCACGGCAATAACGCAAGGAGCCTGGAAGGGGGTTGTGGAGGAGCCCAAAGGCGTTTTGGTGCCCAGATGTGGAAGGAAGGCGCTGGACTCATGCCAGGGCCCCTGGACTCCTTGGAGAGACTCCGAGCTTCACGTCGGGCATTCGAGAAGCTGCGTGTGGAAGCCGCTGGGAAGCTCCTGCAGCCAGGAGGAGGGCAATGACCGACGGCCACGCAACCCAAAAGGGCCGTGGGGTCAATCCTGCAGCGGGGCTGAACCAGGGGCTCAACCCAGGTGGAGAGGAGCCGGGTGCGTGGTGCCGGGACGCGCCTGTCGGCCGCCAGGATCCAGCCCTGCCTTGCTGCCAGCACCGGGCATCCCTGCTCCTGGGAAGGGAGAGGGATCTCGGGCTGCTCCTCGGGCTGTCTGCGTTAGATACCAGGCTTGATTTTGGGGGGGGGAAAGCATTAGATGATTTTTTTTTAATTATGATTTCATGATTGTTATTTCTTGGTGAGGTTCTGCTCGTGCTGAGCAGGAGGAAGGGTCCCTGCCCGGGCTGCTCGCACCCCCAGTGAGGGTCTCAAAGGTGAGGTCTGGCTGGGAGCGATGCCCCCGGCGCTGCCCGGAGCCCCTCTTGTCCTACGTAGCTGCCAGAACTTTGTCACCATTCAGTTTACGGGAGAGAAACCCTTCCTGGAAGTAGAGAGGGAGAACTCGTCTTTGGATACACAACCTGAAATAAAGAGATGATTTATTTTACAGACAGCCCGTCTCTGCCTGTGCTTCCTCACACATTGCGGCAACAGAACCACCAAAACCCCGTGGGCTGCCCCAAAGCTCTGCCCCCACGCTCCCGCCCCTGCTCTCATTCCCTCCACAGCTCCCCCTGGGAACTTCCTTTAGCCAAAGCATCCGTCTCTAATTCCACCTGTGCAATAAGGTGTTGAACTGGGGGGGGATTCAGCTTTATTGTGGGAAGGGGAGGGTTTGGGGCAGGGCTGGGGGGTGTCCATCAGTGACACCAGTGACACTTCTGCACCAATAAAAATAGTAAGTGATTATTCAGAAACAATTTTCCGAACAAAATCTTTTTTCTTTTTTTATCCTGTAGAGATAAGAGCAGGTGCATTTTTTTCTTTCCTTTTTCTTTTTTTATTCTTTTCCCCTTCAAAACTGTCAAACCTGGGACAGGTGTTGGCTGCTATCTCCAATGCTGTTTTCCATCACCTGCTCCATTTGTGGAGGAAAACCCCAGCACTGCTGGTTTCATCAGATGGAGGATGCCCGAAGAGCAGCGTGCGATTGCCAACATGCCCCAGAACAGTCTCCTTTTTAAAGGGAATAAATAAATATGTACATGGGGGGTTGTTTGTTTGTTTGTTTGTTTTCTTTATTTGCCAGAATTCAGATTTTTACTACGCCCTGAAGCCATGCTGACATTTCATTTAACCTCAAACTGTCCCGTGTAGTTGTCTGGTTCCAGCCCCATTGCTGGCTGTGCTCAGTGGCATTTTTTTTTTATTATTTTTATTTTTTCTTGTAGGGGGTGAAGGTCTTGCATGGCATTTGTCTCCATTTTCCCACCCTGGGGTGTTGCAAGTGCTGCTGTTGTGCTGGGTAAAACAATCAGAGACACCCCCCAGAGAAATCTGATGCAAGAGCTTTGGGTTGGGCACCCACAGGGCTCAGGACTGGGATGAACGTGGGCTTTAGAGAGCAGAAGGTGAGAGCCCGTCCTTGTCTCCCCGTGGATTTCTGACGCCCGTACAAAGTCGGTGGAGGCTTGGGGTCAGGGCTCTGCATCCCGCTTTGCTGATGCCTTGGAAAGCTGCTGGAGAAGTGTGGCAGGGCAGCTGTGCCAAGCTGCTGCTGGCAGGAGCCAGGTGAACGCATCCTGCCTCGGTTGTGTAAATTGGGACAAAACCCACGTTTATAATTAGTAACTTGCCTAGAGGTTGTTTTTTTGTCCCTGGCACCTCTAGAGCTCCAGTCTGACCTTCGTGGCCCCGTATCTTTCGGAAAAAGGACAAAGGCTGCTCGATAGGGCCGAGCCACCTGCTTTCCTTCCCGTCCCTCCTTCTCTATCCCCTATAAAACCAGCTCTGGGCAAGGGTTTGGTCACACAACGGGTCCAGCTCCGAGGTGATCACCACGATGCTGCAGCTCCTGCTCCTCGCCACCCTCGCCCTCTGCGGTAAGTCCCAGCTCCCGGGCCCCTTGGGCTCGTTAGCGGCTGACGATCCCTCATTACAATTAACCCCCACTTGCTCTCGGAACCGGGGGGCTGCTGCCAACACCACCCCTTTGCCCGCAGGATGCCGCGCCGAGCCGGTGCCGGATGGGTCGGAGCGGGTGGTCGGAGGGAGCGAAGCGCGCTCGCACGCCTGGCCCTCGCAGGTGGGTCCTCGTGGGGAGCAGTCGGGGGTCCCGGTCCCCTCGTGGCCGCTTGGGGAGACCCCCACGCCTCACCCCACACCATGTCCCCCCCCCAGATCTCCCTGCAGTATTACTACAGCGGCGGCTGGCACCACACCTGCGGAGGGTCCCTGATCCAGAGGAACTGGGTGATGACAGCAGCTCACTGCGTGGACAGGTGAGCGGGCACGGGGGCCCGAACACCTCTAAAAACTGCCATTTTCCACCAAAAACCTTGCCGAGGGGAAGCGTAGGTTGACCCCACTCAAAGAGCAGCAGTTCTTGGGTGTCTTTGCTGACCTTTCTGTTAAGGAGGGCTGTCCCTGGGGAAACCTCCTTGTGTTGGTGATTCTCATTGTGTTAATTCTCCAAATAATAATAATTTGGAACCCAACCCTGTGCTGCCTTCCCTTCCTGGCAGTGACAAGACCTATCGCGTGGTTGCTGGTGACCACAACATCTACCAGAGCGAGGGCACCGAGCAGGTCTTCAGCGTCAGCAAGATCATCATCCACCCCTACTGGAACAGCAACAACGTCGCTGCAGGGTAACGCACCCGGGGAGGGATTTGCTGGGGGGGAGGCAGCACAGATGGAAATGTTTTTTTTCCCCCGTGCACCCCTCGTTTCCCTATCCTGGGGGGTCTCTGCAGTGCAATTTGCATCTTCTCCGCAGCTACGACATCGCCCTGCTCCGCCTGTCCAGCTCTGCCACCCTGAACAGCTACGTGCAGCTGGCGGTGCTGCCCCAGGAGGGAGCCATCCTGGCCAACAACTACCCCTGCTACATCACCGGCTGGGGACTCACCCGCAGTGAGTGCCACCACCATGGGATGGGATGCCCAGGGGCACATCTGCCCCCAAATCCCACAAAAAAAAAAAAAAAATGCAAAAAGAGGGGGGGTAACCTTTTTTTTTGAAGTCAGTTGAGGTCCCAGGGCGCAGAACCTGGGGTTATGCTCCAGGTATGGGGCTCCCTGGGGCTGGATGCAGTTGTGCAAAAATTTGGGGGCATTTTGTGGGATAAGAGGTGCTCATTCACTGCCTTGCAGCTAACGGGCAGCTGTCGAGCGTGCTGCAGCAGGCCTACCTGCCCGTCGTGAGCTACCAGATCTGCTCCACCGCATCCTACTGGGGCTCCACCGTCAAGAGCACCATGGTCTGCGCTGGCGGGGACGGCGTGCGCTCCGGCTGCCAGGTAGGGCCCCAGCACCCGGTTCTCCCACCCGGCACCCCACCAGCACCCCCTCTCTGACGGTTCCTCGGTCTGGCAGGGTGATTCGGGCGGCCCCCTGCACTGCGCCGTGAACGGGGAGTACCAGGTCCACGGCGTCACCAGCTTCGTCTCCAGCTTGGGCTGCAACTACAAGGGCAAGCCCACGGTCTTCACACGCGTCTCTGCCTACAGGACCTGGATATCCAATGTAAGAGCAAATTCTCAAATTTGTCGCACGTCACACTGCCTTTTCTGCACCCTCTGGGGCGATGCTAGCGAGGCACTGGGAGAAGAAGTAGATTTTGGGGGGTTTTGTGGCGGTGACCCCAGCCCCGTGGTGCTTCTCCTCCCAGGTGATCGCCCAGAACTGAGCGGCCGCGGGAGGAGGACCCGAACCCCAGCCCAGGTGATGGACGAGGAGCGTTTCAGTCGGAGGTGTTTAACTCTTGGAGCTGGTGTCAATAAATTCTGTTCTTCATCAAGAGTTCTGGCTGTTGTCTCTGTCCTTCAAGGCTGAGGGTGCTTTGCCCCACTCCTCCCGCATTTTTCCCAAACACACCGCGTCCTTCACCCTCCCGTCTTTGGGAGCATCCCTTTGGCCAGGTCCCTCTCCTGCCTTGCACAGAGGCTCAGAAGAGATCCGCAGGGAAGAAGCAACCAGCCCCGGGCAGCTGGAACGCCCCTGGGCCAAAGGGAAAAACCCTGAGCCACTCTGGAGCAGCGATGCTGTGGGGGGACAGGGCCAGGATTTCTCCCCGGCCCCAAGCTTTTTGTCTTCCAAAACTTTTTTGCACTGAGAGGGGACGGATGCGGTGTCTGCCTTCGCCTCGCCTAGGGCTGCAGGGCCAAAGCCCATTTACGTGCTGTTAGCACCAGGCTCACGGCGTCACGCCCCAGCCTGGCTTGGGGTGGGGAAAAAAAAAAAAAAAAAATCAAGAGAATTGCAGAACTGACTCCAAAAGCAAAATTAAAACCCCAAACAGAAACTCGTGCCGGGGTTGCCGTGGCTCAGCTGTGCCCGTGCCCCCTGCTTCGTCCCACCCTCATTTTTCGTGTTTTTTTCGGGGTGGCTCGCAGCGGGGGGTGCCCGGGTGCTCGGCGGATGCCTCGTTTCGAACTTCCGCAGCAAACACTCGACCACAAGTTGATGCCGAAAGCAGAAACCGCGCGGCAAAGCTGCAGCCATGGCAGAGGGCAAGAGCGGGGGAGCCGGGCTCTTCGCCAAGCAGGTCCAGAAGCGCTTCAGCCGGGCACAGGAGAAGGTACGGCCCAGCCCCCCCCCCCACCCCCCCATCCCTTATTTCATCTTCCCATTGAGCTTCTCCCAGGGTGAGGGTAAGGGTGGCACCGAGGGGCTGCTCCTGCTGAGCACGGCACAGCACCCATGGGTGCTCTTGGGGCGTTATTTGGGGCACCTCTGCGCGCTCGCACGCATCCCTGGGCAGACTTCACCCTTGCTGCAAGGCTCCGGGTGTGCAAACTTTTCTCCAAAGCCCCTCAGGGTGATTTGGTAGCCTCCAAAAGCAGTTTTATTCCAAAAAAAAAACAACATCTTCCTGTGCAGGCTGCCAGGCGGTGGGCACAGGTGGCAGCGGGGTCCCTTGTGCTGGGGCCGTGTCCCCCTGTGCTTGGCAGCGCCGGTGACAGCAGGGACCTGGCACCAGGGTGGCCCCCCCAGCGCTGCAATAGTGGCAGGAAGCAGGGGGAAGGGCTGCGGAAGCAGGTCAAAACGGGGCGATTTGATGCTCTTTCGAGACCATCCCTTCTATTGTGTTTTTTGTTTTTCCCCCCAAAAAAAGCAAGGAGCAGCTCTGCGGTTCCTGGCGGGGGGTCAGGGCTAAATTCAGCCCTTCCGCAGCCGTATCAGCCCGGGCCAGGCCCCGGTCGCTTCCAGGGACCAGCCTCTTCCTGGCCTCCCCTCGCACTGCGCTGCGGGGATGGGGAAGCTGAGGGTGGCCTTCATCCACGGCTCCTCCTCCTCCTCGCAGCAGCGTCACCGGTTCCCAGTGGGGCAGCGCCCGGGGGCTTTGCCTGCGCCTGGATCCACCTGCAGGGATGTTTTGGGGAGCGCAGACCTGTCGGGTGTCATAAATGAGGGTGGTGAGGGCGCTGCGTTGGCCGGGCTCCCCAAAAGCCACTCTTTTCCCCCCAAAATAAAAACCACCACGTTGTTTTGTGCAGAGGTTTTGCAGCCCTAAGGCAAACCCCCAGCCCAGGTGGGCTCCAAGCTGGGGCCGTCAGGTCCTCAGGAGGGGCCCCCCCGGCCGGCAGAGCTCAGCCACGCTCCGTGCCAACGCGTCCCCCTCTCCCCATCGCAGGTTTTGCAGAAATTGGGCAAAACCGTCGAGACCAAGGACGAGCAGTTCGAGCAAAGCGCCTACAACTTCCAGCTGCAGCAGGTTGCACCGGGGAGCGGAGGGGACCTTGGGGGGGATGGGGGACAGGGCCACCCCGTGCTGTCCCCGTGCCCACAGCCTCTTGAACTTGTCCCCAGTGGGCTTTTGGCCCCCACCGCCCCTGCCCATGGGGTGCTGAGGTTCTGTTCCCCCCCCCCCCCAATGCATTTGATTTGCAGAATGAAGGCAACAAACTCTACAAAGACCTCAAGGCTTTTGTCAGCGCGGTGAAAGGTAGGGTGCAAGCCCCCCGCCCGCACCCCCCAACCCCAGGAAATGCAGCTCAGTGGAATCGGGGGGGGGCCCGAGCCCCGCTGCCTTTCCACGCTCTGAATTTTTGCAACCCCACTGCAGTGATGCACGAAAGCTCCCGGAAAGTGGCCGAAACCCTGCAGGAGATTTACAGCGCCGACTGGGACGGCCACGCGGAGCTGAAAGCCATAGCAGATGTGAGCCCCCCCCCAGGGACAGCCCCCGCGGGTCGGGGGGCGCAGAGCCAGCTCCCAGGGGAGCCAGCCCGGCACGTCCAGCCGGCGGGGGGGGGGGACCAGGGGCTCTGCCCCCACCCATCCCCGTCCCCTTTTCGTCCCTGCAGAGCAATGACCTCCTGTGGGACGACTACGAGGCGAAGCTGGCCGACCAGGCGCTGCGGCTGATGGAGAACTACCTGGCACAGTTCGGGGACATTAAGGTACCCCCCGGGGGGGTGGCACGGCGCGGCACACAGCGGGTGGTGGCTGAGCCCCCAGTGTCCCCCCCCTCCACAACCCCTCAGGAGCGCATCGCCAAGCGGGGCCGCAAGCTGGTGGACTACGACAGCGCCCGGCACCACCTCGAAGCCCTGCAGAACGCCAAGAAGAAGGACGAGGCCAAAATCGCCAAGGTTGGAGCCCTGCCCGGGGGGGGCGGGGGGGTCGTGCATCGCGCTGGGACCCCCACGGCCCCCTCCTCGCCTCCCCGCAGGCTGAGGAGGAGTTCAACAAAGCCCAGGCGGTGTTCGAGGACCTGAACAGGGAGCTGCGGGAGGAGCTGCCCGTCCTCTACAGCAGGTATCAGCAGGGATGAGCCTGCTCTGCTCTGCCCAAATTCACCTTCTTGGGGGGGGACGGGACAGGGCAGGAAATGAAGCCCCCACCCCAAAACCCAAGCAGACCCCTGGGCATGGCGTGGTGGGAGCGAGAGCCTTGCAAATTCCCGTGTGGCAGCTCCCAGACCTTGGCCGATAACCAGCAGCAGTTTGTCCACTGCTGGGGAGAACCGGGGGGGGTCTCCCCCGAGCCCCCATGGGTGCTGCCGGCGGTGCAGTGGTTTGGGGACGTGGGGCTGTCACAGCCGGGAGATGGCAGCACTGCCCCCACCGCGGGGACAGCCCGGGACAGGCACCCAGGTCCCTCTGGTCCCCCCCCCTGAGGATGGGTGCTCGTGGCTGGGGGGGCTCCGCACCCCCTCCCCACCGCCCTCCTCCCTCCGCCTCCACCCCGGTTTGTGTCCCGCAGCCGCATTGCCTGCTACGTGACCATCTTCCAGAACATCTCCAACCTCCGGGACATCTTCTACAAGGAGATGAGCAAGGTGAGGCCCCCCCAGATTCCTCCCCCCTTCTGCTGGCGTCGCGCTGCTCGCTGGTGTCGGTGTTGGGGGGTGACGAGTGCTGGTGCCTCTCCCCCAGCCTCACCTGAGAGCAGTCCTGGGGCTAGGAAAAAAAAAGCTTTTTTATCAATTGATTCGGTGGTGGATAAATAGAGGGAGGGTGTGGGGGGGTGGGGGGGCTGCTTGCTTCGCGTTGATGTCAGCCCTGGGAAGTTGCACTGGGGTAAAAGTTTTTCCTGACTGCTGCCTCGAGAGCCGGGGAGAGGAAGGATGGGAGACGTGACTTCCTCGGCTGCTTTCCGGTCCCAAACCAGCCGCTTTTTAACTGAGATTTGCCCGGGGGCATGGCTGCGGGCTCCGAGCCCACGCGGGGTTCCCAGGGGGGCTCTGAGTTTTCTCTCCCGCCCGTGCAGCTCAACCGCGACCTCTACGAGGTGATGGGCAAACTGGACAAGCAGCACTCCAGCAAAGTCTTCATCATCAAAGGCGTCTCCAGGTACCGGGGGAGGCTCACGCGGCTGAACCGCCCCCTCCCCACGGGAGCAGATGGGTGCTGCACCCCCCAGGCTCTGCCCGGGGTCCCTGGGGATGGACGAGCCCCTCCCGGTGCAGGGCGCTGCGGTGCTGCTGCACGCACCCAAGGGGGACCAGGCTGCGTTCGGGGGCTCACAGGGACTTAAAATCCCCTCTGCCCTCCCTCCGTGCAGCAACCGGCGCTCCCTGGTCATCTCCTCACCCGTGAGCCCCCCAGCCATGTACCCATGCCCAGGGAAGGCACCGGGAGAGCCACTCAGCTCGCCAGCCCCGCGCCCGGACTGGGAGCCCGTGCTGGAAGCGGAGGCGGCCGCAGCATCCCCCGAGGACAGCAGCGACACCGCCGAAAGCATCTCCAACGGCCCTGCCGAGATGGGCGCTGCCGAGCTGGGTGCTCCCGTCCCTGGTCCTCCCCCAGCCTCCCCCGCGAGCATGGGGTCTGCGTCAGAAACCGCATCGGTGTCCAGCGAGGAGTCCCAGGAGCCCGCCCTCAGCCCCGAAGCTCCGTCCCCTGAAACGGGGGTGTCCAAGGGCACTGGGGCCCCTGGGCTCCCCAAAATCCAGGCTGAGAGCCCCGTGTCTGCTGGTCCGGAGGCTTCAGGGGCTGACGGGGGGGTGCAGGCAGGAGCCGAGGGCATCGCCGCCTCCCTGGCCTCACTGATTTTATCCGAGGCGATTGCCACGGCCACCGGCACCGCGCCAGAGGGGCCAAAAAGTGCCACAGAGGAGCCGGACGGCGCCGACAGCGAGGGTCACGCACGTCCTGAGAGCACCGGGGACAGCTCGGGGGGGGACCCGCCGTCCCCAGCCAGCACCCACGGTGCCACCGGGCCCACGGCAGAGGCAGGAGGGTGCCAGCTGGCTGGGGCCGAGGCGGAGCACAGCGACTCGGAGGAGAGCGTGGAGGTGGTGGACGTGTCGCCAAAGGTGGCCAAAACGCAGGTGAGAGCAGCGAGGGGGGGGACGTGCCATGAGCTGGTGTCCCGAGGGGGCAGGGGGGGCCAGGACGCCATGCTGGGGGCTGCTCCCAGCGGTTCCAGCCCCATCGCAGGGATTTGGGGCTGGGGGCGTGGAGGGGGGTGCATGGGGGTGAGTCCCAGCCCGGTGCGTTGCTCATCCGGCTGCAGATGGGGCTGGAGCTGACCCCCGAGGAGGGATCAAGAGGCTGCATCCAGGACAGCGCCGCCCCCCCCGGCCCCCAGCCTGAGGTGGGTGCAGCGAGGGCTCTGCTTCATCCCCACCGCCCGAAGCACGAGGTCTCCAGCCCGGCGTCACCCCGCTCTCTGTGTCCCCAGGAGCAGGGGACACCCGGGGCGCTGGAGCAGGACCCGAGCCAGGACCCCCCCCAGGACCCCAGCGAAAACCTCACGGCCCTGTGAGCCCAGCGCCTGCGGGCAGGAGGGAGGGGAAGGAGCTTTTATGGGGCTGCCTGCAGATAACTTTGTTTAACCGAAACGCGCTTTACAACCCCCCCGTCACGTCTGAAATAAAGGCAGAGGGCAGACACCGGTGCCTGAAAACGCAGCAAGAAGAGGTGGAATTTTCTGGAAAGGCGACCGAGGGCCGAATGTCAGCGCCGGGCATCTCGTCTCCATCCTCAGAGGCAGCTCGGGGGGGGGCTGCAATGCGGCACAGCTGGGGCAGCCCACCCAAAATTGCCAAAAAGCAGAGCCTGGGGATGCCCAGGCATCGTCTCCGGCTCACGTGGGGGCTCCCTGCCCGCGGGTTTAGGGCCGGATCCAGGTGGGATTTGTTTCCCCCTTCTGCCCCGGCACCGCCGGGCTGCCGCTGCGGTTTTGGGGTGACTCACAAGGAAGGCGTCGGGCTGGTTGCTTCACGCCAGGCTGGCTGCTCCTCTCCCCCAAACCTTCTGCCATGCAGAAAAAGAGCCCCAATTAGCTCTGAAATCCCACAAATTGAAGCGGACCCCTCTGGCCGAGCCCCGTGCGATGCGTGGCCGCTCTGGGGCGCACCCAAAGCGCTCGGGTGGCCACGGGGCTGCTGCGGGATCCCCGCTCCCTCGGCAGCAAGGGGTTAAGCAGGGAGGATTTGCAGCCTTTATCATCGGGGCAGTGGAACTGGAAAGGTGAGGCAGGAAGGGGAAACGCCTGGGCTGCGCCCTGCGAGGCTGCACAGGCAGCGGCGAGCGCACATGGTGCCGGCAGCCCCTCGCCGCGGCGCAGCGGGCACAGGTACGGGGAAACGTGGGGAGATTTGGGGTCCCAGGGGTGTTTCTGCACGCGTGGGTTTGCAACGCAAATGGGCACTCGACGAGGCACGAGGTCCTGCATCGGTGGCTCTCCCGTGGGGCTGCTGGGTGGTGAAATCGGCTCGGCCCCACTGCAAGGGGGCCCGGCTGCCGTGCCAAAGCATCGCCGCCTCGGTGGGTGTGCGGCCGCGGGATTTCAGCTGGGGAGCAAACGGGAAGCGGAACGGCCTCAGCCCACCGCGGCGAGAGGCGGGAGAAGCTGAAACTGAGCTTCAATCAGCAGAAACCCGAGCAGAAGCCCAGCAGGGCGCTGGGAGAGCACGAGGCGCCGTTCCCAGGATGTAGCGCGGTGAGACGGGGCAGGGATCGGGGTCACCCGGCGGGTGCGCTTCCCCCAGCCTCTGGGTTTGGGGTCTGGGGGCTGCGAAGGTGCCGCCGAGCATCCCCTGCACCCGCCTGCTCCCGAGCTTTTTGGGAGCTGCGGGACGGGGAGGGCTCCGCTGTGGGAACCGCTCTTGAGCAACGTGGAGGATTTGGCCAGCACGCAAGAATGAGGAAGATTCGGGTTGGGTTTTTTGGTAGCTTTTTTTTTTTTTTTTTTTTTTCCCCAAGTCCCGCTTTAAAAGCCCATGGAGCTCTGTAGGGATCCGGTGCGCTGCGGGAGCTGGGTCAGCCTGGCTGCAGCACAGCTCCCTGCGTGCCCCCGACCCCACACCAGCTCGTGGCTGCATCCTGCTCCCCCCCAAGGTACCCCCCGTGCCGCGATCCCCGCCCTGTTGGGCCCCCCCATGCCGAGCACGGGGGCTCCATCCTGCGGTGCCGGTGCAGTGGGGAGGGATACGGGAGGGGTACGGGAGCGATGTGGGGTGGCCAGGCTCCTGCTGGGATGCGGCACGGGGTGGGCTTTGCTGTAATGGTTGAGTGATGGTGTTTGTTTTCCTGCCGGGGTCTCTTCCCACTTTTTCAGCTTTGGCTAAACACCTCACAGGGACCCCTCTCCTCAAAGCACCCAGCTCCCTGTGCAGTCAGCAGCGGTTTTTTCCTCCTTTCCTTGAAATCCCAGCAGTAGGCTCTTACGGAAATCTTATCCATCCCTCGCCCCAAAGCAGCCCAAGCTGCTGCTGCTCCACGGCCTTCGAGGCTGTGCGCTCGCAGGTTGTGCCCAGGCAAGGCAGGTTGAGCCCCAGAGATGGGCTCGTTCCCAGCCCCTCCGCCCAGACACCGCTGTCGGCAGAGCTTTAAAGCAAATTTCCTGCTTTAAATGCCATGCAAGCCTCTGCGCTGGGCTTTGAAACTTTGTCCCACATCGCTGGGCTCAGACGGGTTTTTTTGCAAGGCTGGATTGCAGCGGCGCTGCCAGCGGGGCCGTCTGGTCTGCATCGCACTGGAGAAACTGGTTCTGAGCTCTCCAGCCCGGCCGGGGCTCGCCTGAGCCCGGGGCAAAGTTGTCGAGGTTGGGGCACAGTTGTGGAGCTGGGGGTCCCGGCATCTCGGGGGTCCCGGGCCACCAAGCGGGCACGGAGCGAGCACCGCCGCACGGTGCCGGGCAGGGGGCTGGGTTCCCAAATTCACCCCGCTGGCGGCTGGGCGCAAACCCTGCTGCTGTCAGGGCTGCTGTGCACGCTCAGGCTGAACAAGCCCCGGCCCGGCAGCGCTTTGAGTCACACGGGCACACGGCAGGACGAGCAGAGAGCAGCTCCCGGGGGCCGCCGGAGCCTCGCCTGGCGTCTCCAACCCTCCCGGCATCCCCATCGTGCCGGGGGGGCCACATCCAGCAGCTCCCACTTTGGGCACGCGGCCAGCGCTCGGCTCGCTCCTGTGGTTCAATTTGCTTCTTTTTTTGTGTTTTTTTTTTTTGGGGGGGGGGGTGATTTATTTGCTCCTGACATCTAGCGGTGTCTCTCCGCAGAGCCGCTGAGTCACTTGTGCCCGAGCGCAGGAGCCGCTGCCCTGGGCCTGCCAGCAGCAGCAGCGACCACTTAATTTTGGGGGCTGCCAAGGTTGTTGCTCGTCCCCCGGCACGCTCAGGAGGGAGCTTTGCAGGGGCAGAGTTTGGGCTGCAGCAGCTCCGGGTGCCAGAGCCGCGAGGTTTTGCAAGGCTTTACAGGCACAGGCAATTCGGCTCCGCAAAACTTTAAACTTCTGAGAGCAAATTGCCAAACCTGCAGCCCCTTTCCTCAACGCACACCCATGGGCTGGGATTCACGGCCCCAGCACAGCTCCCTCCAACCCTCAGCACCAATTCCTGCCCCAGCCAAGCCCCCGCAGGGTTTCCCAGCTGTCCGGCACCACCAGTGCTGCCCCAGCACCGAGCCCCTCGCAGCCCCGCGCTGTGCCAGCCCCCGCCCCGCTCACTCACCGCTTTTCTTCCTTTTCTTGGTAGTCGTGCAGGAGCCCAGACCCTCGCCTGGAAGGAGCCGGCAGCGCCAGGGCCGATGCCATGGAAGGAGCTCAGCCCCCGCTAGCTGCAGGTAAGACCCCGGGACCCCCTTTTGTGCCCCCAAACCCCCCAGGAGCCCTCGCCCGGGGCCGCTGCGTGCCCAGCGCGGCTCAGGGACGGCCTCGCTCACTTTCCCCTCTCCCTCCCCGTGTCTGCAGAGGAGCTGACAACCCCAGGGCTGAAGAAGGCGCACACCCCCCCTCTGCATGAGGACGCCAACACGGCCGTCATCGCAGGTAGGGGCTCCCCACCACGGCCACCCCACCGAGACCGGGCGGCAGCAGCTCCGTACGGACCCCCCCGGGGCTAAACCCTGCTCCTCTCCGCCTTTCCCCCCCCCGGCAGTTGTCATCACGCTGGTGTTCATCACCCTGCTGACGGTCCTGGTGGTGATCATCATCTACCTGTACAGAAACAAAGGCAGCTACCTCACCTACGAGCAGCCGGCGGCCGAGACCGAGGTGTCGGTGCAGATGGAGGACGCCCCCTCCAAGGAGAAGGAGGAGTATTTCATCTGAGCCCCCCCCGGGGCCAGCGCGCACCCCTCTCTTGCACTCAGGTCTGATGCCATGTGGCCTAAAACTCTCAGAGTCTGGGATCTAGAAGCTTTTTTTTTTCTTTTTTTTTTTTCCCCTTAATTTATTAAGCAAACCTTTAAGATAAAGCCAGGCGTGGCAGAGCGCAGCCCGGCTCCGGCTGCTCGCAGCCTGTCCTCCTCCCTTTGGTGCTTTCTAATACAGCCCAGTGACAAATGCCTGAAGAATTGCTCTTGTTTGTTTTTTTCCTTATCTCCCAAAACAATTAAGTTATTCTGCTCTGGGTTGAGGGTTGGGGTAATCGGCATGGCTCATTTCGAGGCTAAGGGGGAGAACGCTTGTAAAGCAGCCCAATCGATCACCCAAGTCACGAGGGGCTGCTGGCAGGGGCAGTTCCTCCTTTAAATCAACCCCCCCCCCAAAAAAAAATAAAAAAACAACACAAACACAGAAGGAGGAAGTTTGCAAAACAGCAGCAAAGAGGAAACAAGTGAAGAAACCCTAAGGCGTGGGACGGGCAGGAGCCACGGGGGTTTATTGGAAGTCGAACAGCCAGTCTGCCACTTCATTCAAATTTTCAAAATAGTCTTTATTCTACTTTTTTTTAGTATAAAAAAATCCACAAGTTAAGTGCACCACAGTGTATACAGAGAGATACGTAATGCTGAACTTCCATAACAGTCAGTTGGATGGTTAAACACAACATATACAGGACACAGATTTAGATTAAACTGAAACCTCGAGATAAAATATATTTGAATCTGATATTTTTCTTCATAAAACAAAAACAAAAAAAAAAAAGAGAAAAAACACTGAGGATCCCTGAAATATTCTTCTTAACCCTACTAAGACTTCATTACACCCAAGTCATTTCTGAAGTATGCATTCGTAAAACAACCGATTAACCAAGCTAATTTGTGTGTTGATTGACAGTTGCTACACACCCCTGTGCAGATGGTGACCAGCCTCTGTTTGAACAACAGCCTTAAGGAGTTTTGGTGTCAGGACACCAGGTTGAGTTCAAAAAAAAAGAGGAAAAAAAGAGTTGGTTTATTAAGCGTCGTCCTAAAAGCCTAGTTAGCATTAATGAAATGTTCAAACATGAGTTGCATTGTGTTTCTGGCACCAAAGCATGGCTTTGATTAGATCTAATGTGCAAAGAAATCCAAGATTACTTGGAGTGTACAAAAGAAACCCCATGACACACGCCAGCTGCGCCTTCCTGGAGGGGAGCGAAGGGCGACGGTGAGCACAGAGCGCCCCGAGGGATCCGCTCTGCAGTGAGGTCGGGCAGGAAGCAGCGCCGAGGTGCCCCCGGCGTGGGGGGGGGAAGGTCGCCTCGCCCCCCACACAGCACCTCGGCTTCTCTGGAGGGGAAACCCCAAGGTTTTCGGGGCTGGCTCAGAAGGATCGCGAGGGGAAGGGGTCGCGCCCTGCCTCCAGCTCGCCCCCCTCGCCCTCCCCAAAGCAGCCGATCAGTAAAGCTCAGCGGCAGCGCTGCGAAACGCCAGGGAGAGGCTGAGGGCTGCCGTGGTTTGGGGAACCCGCCTCTCCCCCCCCCAAATCAGCAGAGGCCCCGCTCAGCATGGGGGTCCTGGCCAGGAGGAGCCCTGGCGTTGTGTCTGCGCTGCAACCTCGGGTTAATATGGACTAAAGCAGTTACATGGTGAGAAGTGCTGACGGGATGTGATGTCTTCCCTTACACAAACGTAGCCCCCCCACCCCTTCCCGCTCCCCCCCCCGGCCCCTTTCCTTCTTCACCAGATGGTGTAGCCGCCGTCCGAGCCTCCCAGGAAGAAGTTCCCCTTCCGCTGCGTCACCAAGACGTTGGCTCCCTGCATGACGGCCAGCTGGGCGGCGTTGGGGGGGCACCCGGGAGGGGGGGGCTGCAAAAAAAAGAGAGGAGCAGGGGGCTGGAGGAGCGCCGCAGCTCCTCCTGGCACCCATCTGCAGCGGGGTGCGGGCACCCGGCACCTGCTGCTGGTGGCTGCCAGGCAGGGATCGAGGCCAGGGGGGAATCGCTGGGCTTCCACGCCCTCCCTCTGCTTTTTAGGGGTTAGGGTTTTTAGGGGTTTTAGGGGTTAGGAGGCTTTTTGTGTGCGCAGAGGAGCAAAACCCTGGCGTGGTTGTGAGTCTGAGGAGCTGCAGGGCAGCGGGGAGTGAGGCTGAGCTGCAGGCAGGTCACTCAGCTGCTGCCTTGCCCCCCTCCGGGGCACCTTATAGCGGGGTCCCTGGGCTGGACTGGGGTCTGCGAGCAGACGGAGCCCCGGAGCCACCCGTTGGCAGCTCTCAGCTGAGCTCGGGGACAGCAAAACCCCCCCGCACGAAGGCAGGAGGCTCCTCGGCTCCCCAAAACGCGATGAATTCGCTCTGCTCACAAACCCAGGCTCGTCTCCGCGCGCCCCCACAGCCGAAGCAGCCGGGTTGTGGCCGTACTCACCGGGATGCTGGCCGTGCCGCCGGCCCCAAACCTGGCTCCAGCATCGAAGCCGCCTTCCACCAGCACCGTGGAGCCGGGGGGGTACACGGGGCCCACGGGGTAATAGGCCATGGGGACGGAGGAGCCGATGGGACCCACGGCCACGGACTGGGCCACGGGCAGGAAGACCGAAGCGCCCGGGTACGCCGCGGACATGGTGGGGACGGTGGCGGCCCCCAGAGGCACGAAGCTGGGCCGGTAAAGCTGCAAAAAAATAAAATAATAATTAAAAAAAAATAAAAAAGCCACGCAGGCAGGTTCAGAGCTGGAGGACTCCCCACACCCACTGCGTACTCAGAGCCAGCCCTGAGCTCGACTTTCACCCTCCCGCCCGGCCAGGGGAGCGCTGCCCCGGGGGATTACCTGTGGGAGTCCCGGGGGGGGGGCAATTTCCCACTGCTGCTGCTCGGGGCCAGGTCCCCACACCCCCAGGAGCCCACCCAGGACGTTTCCACAGACGGGTTCTCGGCTGGGGATCCCCTGGGCTCCAAGGGAGGCTCCGAGCAACGCCCGGGGCTTCGATTCAATTCGAGTTGGGGCCAGGGGTAGGAGCAGCAAACCAGCCCCCCCGGTTAAAAATAATAATAATAATAATGATAATAATAATAATTAATAATAATAATAATTTAGCCCGGGATTGCTTTTTTGGGAGGAATCTCCCCCACCTACCTCGGAGTACGCGGGCGGGGCGTCCGTGTAGGGCGGCGGCTGGGGCAGCGGCAGGGTCTGCGGGTACACGGGGGGGTTGGCGGGGGGCTGCACGGGGTAGGCGGGCTGGGGGGGGAACTGCCCTGCGGGGAAAAAAAACAGAATTTAAACCCGAGTCAGAAACGCGAGAATTCACCCCAAAACTGAAACGCGCGGCAGAGCGGCACCGGGGGGGCACCGAGACCCCCCCCGGGACACCGGGACCCCCCCCAGGGTCACTGAGACCCCCCCCCCCCCAGCATCCCCCCCCCGGGGGTCCTCGGGGCTGCCCGGGGGGGTCCCAGGCTCTGGGGGCGGGGGGGGGGGGGGGGCAGGACACGGAGCCCTCCCCCCGCCCCTTTTATTTTTGGGGGGCCTCAGCTGCCCCCCCCGCCGCCCCCCGGGTCCCCAAATCACCCCGGGGGGGTTTCCCCGTGCCCCCCCCCACGTGACGTCATCCCGACGCCCCCCCCTTGCCCCCTTCCCTGCGAAGCGGATCCCCGATGACGTCACCCGGGGGGGTTCCCTGACGTCACCGGGGGGGTCCCCACTCCCTGCCCCCCCCCCCCTTTAGGCTTCCCCCCCCCCGTCCTGCGGGGTCGTCCCAGGGACCCCCCCGTTACCTCACTCGCCCCCCGTGACGTCATGCGGAGATCCAGTGACGTCACCCGAGGGCTCCCCCCCCCACCCCAGCGCTTAACGCCCCCCCCCCCGCCCCTTACGTCACCGGGCTTCACCCCCCCCCCCCCCACCGCCCGGCACACACAGGGTTAACGGCCCGGCCGAGCCGCTCGGCGCCATGGCAACCGCGAGCCCGCCCCCCCGCCCGCCCCGCTCCCATTGGTCCGCCCGGCCCCGGCCCGGCCGCGCGGTCACGCGCTGCGGCGAGGCCCTTAAAGGGGCCGCGGCCCCCGGTAGGGGGGGCGCCGGGTGGGGCCGGGGGGGGGGTCGCGGCGCGGCCCGGTCCTTGCCTTTGCCGTTCATGGCGGCGGCGGCGGCGGCGGCCCGGTCCCGGTGCCGGTCCCGCTGTGCCCGCGCCGCGCGCGCTCCCGCCTGCCTGTCACTGCGGCCCGCGGGGGCGCGGGGGGGGGGGGGGGGAAGGGGCGGGGGCAGGAAGCGGCCGCTCCACGCCCGCTGTGGCGTCACCGCGCGCGGGGGCGGGGCCGAGCGCTCTTAAAGGGGCCGCGCCCCCAATTTACAACCAGACCTGGGGGGGGGGGGCTCAGGTTGGGGGAGGGGACCTGAGGTGGGGGGGGGGCTCTGGAGAGAGCCCGGGGGTAAAAGGAACCGGGGGGGGGGGCAGAGTTGGTCTGGGGGGGTCTTGTATGGCCTGGGGGGAATTTTGGGGGGGGGGGCACCCTGTGTGGCCCATTTGGTTTGGGGGGGGTCACCCAGCATGGCCCAGGGTCATTGGGGGGGGGGGGCACCCTGTATGGGCCAGAGGTGATTTTGGGGGGGGGGGTCACGCTGTATGGCCCATTTGTTTTTGGGGGGGGTCACCCAGCATGGCCCAGGGTTTTTTTTGGGGGGGGTCACTGTGTATGGGCCAGGGGGATTCGGGGGGGTATAACCCTGTATAGCCCGGTGTGATGTGGGGGGGGGGGGTCACCCTGTATGGGTACGGCCTGGGGTGATTTGGGGGTGCCCCAACCCAAGGAGGCTGCTCCAAAACGTGTCCCACGAGACACGGCGACGTTTGGGAGCCTCACGCGAGTGCCTCAGGAGTTCCCGGTGTCCCAGTTCCCCGCTGACACCTTCCACCGCCGTGTGGAGGTGTCCGGGCCCATTTATTCAATACCAGCCCCATTCAGCAAAACCCCGGCACCCGCCTCTGATCCCAAACTGGGTTAGGGAACGAGAGTGAGGCTTCCTGTGAAAACACTTAAATTTGGTGGGAGTTTAGGGCTGATTGCCACTCCAAAAACCTGTTGGAAGCAATAAACTGCTGAAGATCCAGGAGCAGAAGGTTCAGCCAGGGGGCTGGAGCTGCGCTTCAAGTGTGGTGCAGTTTGTGTGTGAAGTCTTCCTTTAAAAAAAAAAAAAAAAAAATTTAAATATATATATATAGTAATTTGTATGGGTGGCAATAAAAGAGCACAAAAAAAAAAGCCCTTTCCATTCCTTTTGTGATTTTGATGAACTTTCTGGCTGCGTTTTGCCCAGCGTTTGAGGGCACAGCCGCCTTTTTCAAGCCCAGTCCCAGGCATCTCAATCACCAACATCATTGTTCTCTCCCAATTTCAGCGAGCCTCTCATGAATAATGTACCGGCTGCCTGATGAATATGCACGCTGGCTGCTGTGCCTGGGAGGGCTTCATAAATAATTCATGCCCAGAAAATGTTCTTCACCTTGTAACAGCACAGGAACTGTAAAAAAATATTTACCCTTTAAAGTGGGAGAGAAGATGGCTTGGAACTTGCCCGTGGAAATGCAGAGCGAGGGGGGTGAAAGCAAGGGAAGGGGAAGGAGCTGCACAGGGAAGATTTCCGAGGGACCAAACCCTGATGTTTTCTCCCCAAACCCAACCCTGCAAAGCCCTGGAACCTGCTGGAGCAGCCGGGGGTTAAGGCTGTTCAGCAGCTCCTGATTTATTCTCAGAAATGTGCCTTTTTCTGCTCCCCTGATGCCGTTATAAGGAAAACTTCCTTGCAGAGGACAAGTGGAAATGCTCTGCGAGGTGTGAAAGGCGAGGAGAAAGCGTCTCCAGCCAGCAGAGCCGGGCTCCTCTGCAAGCACCAGCCTTCAGACGCGCTGGGATTGTTTCAGTTGTGGTTTTATCACCCATTGCCTTCGTTAAGGGTCTCTTGTGACTCCAAGAGGAAACCTCCCATGAAATCCCCAAGCTGTGTAAAATCAGCTCATGGCTCCTCATGCCCTGCAGCCCTGGGATGGAACCTGGAGGAGGTTTCGGGATGCCCGCCCACGGACTTTGCTTCCCAGGCCGGGCACGGCTGGAAGGCGAAGGGGCTGCTGCAGATAACAGGAACCAGATAACGCCCGGACAGAGGCCTGGGCTGGGAATCCTTATTTACACAGCACGAGGTTGTTTGACCGCTATTAAAAGCCGAGCTGGCTGGGGTAACGTCTGCTTAAAGCCTAAAAAATGTGCTGGTGACATCCGTGGCCTTAAAATCAGAGCTGTGGTTGTGAAACTGCTCATGTGAGTGACTGGGGGCCAGAGGCACTTTGAGACAGGAGGCACGCTATGGGTGCAGGCCTGTAGTTAATTATATAAAAGCAATGAATAATCATTTGCTAATTATTTAATGATGTCTCCCACCTGGAGAAAATCCTGCCCTTCCTCCCCCTACCACTGAAATCGAGGGGATTTGTACTTGGATTTGCCGGGACTGGATTGCGTCCAACACAACAAAGTGGCCTGGAAAAAAAACACGGAAATTTTAGAGTCTATTTCCAGCTCTAAGCAGAAAAGCAGAGCAGAGGCCGGATCTATCGGAGCACCAAAGAAATCGTGTGCTTAACTCAGGGGTGTGGAGGGTTTGGGGGCAGCAGGAGTCGCTTTGCAGTGCGGAGGCCAAAATAAAACCTGGCTCCCTTTTTCCTGCGCTCCCAGTCATGAAGTTCTTGGAACATCTGGACGAGGCTGGTTTGTGGTACACGCGTCCCTGGCAGGGCTGGAAACCTTTCCGCAGCAAATTGGATGTGCCAGAAGCAGTTGGGTCAGGTGCAAACCCTTCCCTAACCCATGGCTGCGTGTGCTGGGAGCAGCGAAAGAAGCGCGGGCAAGAAAGCTGCGGTGTTAATTTGGGCACCTACCAAGAGTTCTCGTCGGCAGAGCGAGCTCTGGAACAAAGGACACATTCTTGCAGTCAGCATTTTAGTTTTGCCAGCTCTTCCTGTCAAACAGTTAATTAAAATCCACCCCCCTCTCCAAACAAGCTATTTTCCCGGGGAAAAAAAAAAAAAAAAAAAAAAAAAAAAAAAAAGCTTTTCAGCACTCATAAAATCAATTCCTCTTCAAGAAAAATTAAAAATGCAATGTGCACCCTGTTCCCCGTATGCATTATATTAAGCAGTATGCCAATGTATGTAAATGAGCCTGCAATTCAACTCGATGGAGGTATTTAAATATTCATAATCACAGCACAGCATATGCAAACCAGGCTCTCAGCAGAATTGCGCTGCAGTCTCAGATAGCAGCTGTATGCAAGGGAAGATGCTTTCACCTATCCAGTTCTGTTTTTAACAAAAATGTGGCCGGTGCCGGCTGCCCGTTGGCAGCATTTGTGGGCACTGCCTCGGCCGGGCACGGAGCTGTTTAATTCCTGTTGAATGTGAGCGTGAGCCCCCGTGCCCCCTCGCTGTCTGCTGGGCTCCTCCAGTTTGGTGTTAACCAGCACAAAACATTGCCACGGTGTGTTGCGAGATGAGGCTCGCCGAGGGTAGGTTGCAGTAATTCAGGAAACCTTCCTGTACACCCAGGAAGGGACGAGGGGCAGGATTTTAGGCTGGGAAGAACCGCCCGTGGCATTTACACTTGTTTTTTTTTTTTTAAACAACAACCTAATACAAACTTCAAATACTTTTTTTTTTTTTTTTTTTTTTTTTTTGCATTCATCAGAAGTGCATTTTGGAAAAAAAAAAAAAAAGTTATGAAATCTTACGATGGACTGAAAAAGCCGTATTACAAGAGAAAAATATAAACCAGCCCATTGTTTTTTTCTGCAAGGCCAGACGGAAGGTGTAATTCTTCCAGCTAACATAGATGTGAAAGAAAAATAATTCAGCCTTGTCAAGCCGTGCTCGTTTTTAAGCGGCACCAATAACTGAGTTGCTAAGTTGGAGATTTTGTCTTTGTTTTCCTCCTTTTTTCCTGCTGGGAGGTAAGAAGAAAGTCGCAATTTAAAAAATTGTAAAAGACACAACAGGCAGGAGAATGCACTTCGCTGCCTTCCCTTCTGATGGTTCCAACCAGGCTGTAATTGGTCCGCAAGTTGGCTTGAAAAGCCACAGAATTGCACCTGTGCTCCTAACGAGCTTTGCAATTACAGGAATAGTTTTCCTCCTTCTTTTAATTGCGTGGTGACAGGGTTCACACTGCACCTGAGTTCCTTTTGTGTGCCTTTCCTCGCTCCTTCCCCCGGCGCCCCCCAAGCCTGGGTCCCCCCGAGCTGGCGGAGGGGCCCGGGGAGCGGCACAGTTTTGGGGCACATTGCACGGCTCTGCACAGCTGTGAGCAGAGCTGAAACCTGCCGGTAGGATCCCAGAGCCTCCGGTGTCCTTGTTCCCGGTCCCCAGCGGGCAGAAATCCAGCAGTGACCCCAGCACAGGGCGCTGGCACTGACCCCATACCCCGTACCCCTGCGCTCCGTGGCCGGTGGGCGCGAGCAGCCAGCAGCATCCTCGCTTTTGCCCCCTAGGACAAAACTTCCCCCCCACAGCCCCCTCCCAAGGCTCCGAGCGGGTGCCCCGAAGCCCCCCGACACCCCCCAGCCCCAGGGAGGGGAGGCTGCGAGAGCCGAGCGTGGCTCCGAGCTCAGCCTCCTGCATATTCCAGCGGGAGGCTGGATCTGAGGCTAATGCTATGCCGCGAACATGGAGCCTCTTGAATTATTACTGGGGCTTCCCCGGGCCTCCAGCTCCCTCCTCGCAGCCTCGGCGAGGCTTTTTGGGGTGGTTTTGGGGCAAAGCCCTCGAGCCCCGTAAAGGGTTTGGCCCCGGGGTTTTATCCCGAGACGCAGCCCCCAAAAGGGAAGTGGCTGACGGGGGGCACCCTGTTTGTGCTGCCCCCGGGAGCTGCGCGTTAATGTGACAATTAATTTCTGGTGATCAAATGCCGAATTAGGGTGACGATGAGCCGGCTCGGAGCCAGAGGGATTGAGGGGTGGCGCAGAGTGGGGGGCTCCCCGGCTCTGCAGGGGGACACGGCTGCTGGGGGGTTGCAAAGGGTGACCCCAAAGCGTGGGGGTTGCTGCTGGGAGTGGGGTCGGGGGGCTCTGGTTTTGGGGAGAGGTGGGGATTTAATGGGGTTGGAGAGGCTGGGATTGGGGTTCAGGGGGAATTTGGGGTTTTAGGGGTCGGTGGTTTTGGAGGAGTCTGGAGGTGGGGGTTTGGGGGGGGGTTATGGCACTTAGGGGTCTCAAGGTTTGAGGGGCTGCGGTGCGGTGGACTTGGGGGGCTCTGGTTTGGGGGAGCCCTGACTTTGGGGGTCTCGGGGCTGAGGGGGGGGGGGGCTCCGTGCGCCCCCGGCGGCGGCGAGCAGCGTGGCAGCCCGGGGATGCGGCAAAGGCCTGCGCATAAATTATGTTCATGACGCAGCAGCTAAAAAATCCCACCGAGGGAAAGGAAAAAAGAAAAAAAACGAAAAAAAAAAAATAACACCAAAAACCCCCCAAAACCCACCCCAACCTCCCTTTTTCCCCCCCAAAAAACCACCACCACCTCCCTCCTCGGGTTGCTCCGGGCCGGGGCCGTCCCCCCTTAATTTTATTTTTTATTTATTTATATTTTTTTTTTCCTTTCCCCCCCCCCCCTCCTCTTCCAGCCTCCGGGCCCCGCTCGCCGCCTCCCTCCCCTTTGTGCCGCCGCCGCCGCCGCGATGAATTTTTAATTCTCGCCGGCAGCGGAGCGGGAGCGGGGCCGCGCGGAGCCGCCGGTGAGTGCGGGGCCGGGGCCGGGACCGGGGCCGGGGCCGGGGCGGGGGGCGGCGGGGCCCCGGCGCGGTGAATATGCAATGCCGTAATTAGCATAATTTATATATTTATGATAAAGAGAGCCCGGGTGAGTTCGGGCCGGGGGGGGGGAACGGGGGGGGGGAGAGGGGAAAACGGGGAGAGGCGGTGGAAAGAGGGGAGGGGGGGGGGCACCGGGGAAAGTGGGGGGCACCGAGGGGAAAAGGGGGGGGGAATGGGGAGGGTGGGGGGGGCACCCCAAGCGCCGGGACCCCCGTGCCCCCCCCCTCCCGCACCCAGCGGGGAAAATGTGATCGTAGCGGGGTTGGGGGGGGGACACGGTAATAATTTGGGGGTGAGGGAGGTGGGGGCTGGGGGGGCAGCAGGAATAAATCGGGGGGTGAAGGGTGCTGCGGGGGGGGGGGGGCGGTGTTGGGGTGCTGGAGGTGCAGGGCAAAGGGAGCCCCCTCCCCGGGTGGGAGGGGAAGGGCCCCCCCCAGCTCGGGGTGAGGGGTCCGGGGGGGTGCAGGTGCTCGGAAGGGATTTGGGAGCCCGGGGGCTCCGGGGGGGGGCGAGCAGAGCCCTTGGGGGGGGGGGACACGAGGGGGATGCTGCACCTCGGGGAAGGATGGAGAGTACAGCTGGGGGGGGGCAAGGACATTCGGGGGGGGGGGGGCATAGTGTGGGGCTGGGCACAGCGTGCGGCAAAGTGGAGGGGGCCGCGTGTCCCTGCGGGGGGGTCCCTGCCCCGGGGACATCTCGCCCCTTGGGGGGGGGGACAGCTCGTGCTGCTGCTCTGAGACCCCCACTTGTATTTTTTTTTGTTTTTTTTGTTTTTTTTTGGGGGGGGCACTTTCCATGGTGCCGCAGAGCCCCAGCTGGAGGAGCCGGGGATGGGGGGGCTGCCTCCCTCCTCGCCCCCCTCCCCATCCCGTGCCGCCGTCACGGGCTCCATCTTCACCCAGGAACCCCCTTTTAGCCCCCCCCCACCCCACGGAGGGGCAGAGCACTGCCCCCCCCCCATTACATTCCACAGGACCATAGTGTTATTTTTTTTGTGTGTGTGTGCGGGGGGGTCCTGTCCCCCCCCAGACCCACTGTGCCGTCCCTCCGAGACATCCTGGGCCCCCCCAGGGTGCCTCTGGCGTTGGCAGCCCCGGGCAATGGATGCTGCGGGCGCTATTTTTGGGGGGAGCCAGATGGGAGCTTCGAATGCAGCGGCTCGGGGGACGGGAAATCTGCTCCTGGTTTTGCCACCCTCCTCTGGCATGACCTTGGGAGGTGAACTTCATCCCTCGCCTCCCCGGCGGCGGCGGCGCAGCGGGAATAAAAATCCTTCTCCCGGCTCTCCGGGGAGGCCAGCGGGTCCCTGGGAAGTCACCGCGCGGCTGCTCCCAGTGCCGGGGGAACGGGGGATCCCCATCGTCCTCCGAGGTTTTATTTGGGGTCAGGACGGGTTTTTGACCCCCAAGCCCCATGGGGGTGGAAGTGATGGGAGGTGAAGTGATGCAACCAAGGTCGTGCGAGCTGTCGGTGGCGGAGGTGGGCGCAGGGCTCGGGGCTGCCCCGCACCTTCCCGGGGGCGTTTTAGGGCAATAGTGGCCGGAAAGGGTAAAAGCACAACGCAGCCAGCAGAAAAATCTTCATTTTCAACGGCGCAAAGAGGATTTTGCGAATAATGGAGTTAAACCCCCAAGCTGGCAGGAAGCTCTGCTCGACTGATTTGGGGTCTTTCCCCTGCGAGGTTGTGCTTGGGCTGGGGTCCCGCAGTGCGCGGTGCCAGCACCGGGCTCCCTTTGGTGCCCCGTCCCACGCAGGTGTCTGCACGCCAAAACGCAGCCCCGGGGCGAGGGGCTGCAGGCTGGGACGTGCCGGGGGCTCCGTTTCAGCCACGCAGACCCCTCCCCACGCTCGCTCCTGCCATGGTGCCTGTGGGCACGCAGCCAAGCTCGGCTCAGCCCCGCTCGCTTCGCTCAAAGTGGCTCTCGCTGGCTCCAGGCAGCCCCTGCGTCTTTCCGCTCGCCTTGGCAGGGCTCCCCTTGGGCTCGTCGATGCCTTTTCCCGGACTCGTCTTCAAGATTTGGCCGGCCCAAGCCCTGGCATGGGTTTTTCCAGGAACGAGCTTGACTCAAGCCATGGATGAGTAACCAGGAGCACCGGGAAGCTGCTCCAAAGCCCTCCCAGCAGAAGCAGCCTCTGTCCTGAAGCCTTCGCCGTCTTCCAGTTACGGCTGACGCCAGCTTTCCCTCAGAGCCCCAATCTCCAGGAATTTACAGCTGGCTGTAAAACCTCGCTCCCTGCTGCTGCCAGCCCGGCAGGGCTTGGACCGGGGACCGAGGAGCTGCTCCTGTAACGGGACAGCAGCGTTTTGCAGTCCTGCGCCAGGAGCCGGGGTCCTCGTGCTGTGCCACGCTGGGGTCTGGGGCCTGATTTTGGGGTGAAATCAGCTCAGCAACCTGGGAACGCAAAGGGATGTGCCGGTGGCTGGAGCCCTGTGCGCCCAGGGGCCGTTTCACCACGACCGAGCGATGCCAGCGGGCTGGCCCGGAGTCCCTGCGGCGCCAAAATTATGGGGCAGAAATCAGATTTGCATCCTGTCGCTGCTTAGTGGACAGATTTTGATTAGGGCACGTGTTTTTAAGCACAGCCGAAGGAATTAGAGGCTCATCTCCTGGGGCTCCGGGTCCCGTAAGCCTCTTTGCCCGGCCAGGTTGCGTTAAGGAGCCGCGTTCAGGTCCGGCAGCGAGATGCTGCGGGGCTGAGCCTCTGGGGTTCAAAGAGAAAACCCCAACGGCCGTGCTGTGCAAACCAAAGAGGTTTCAGGGGCCGGATTTCCCCTTTGCAAAGGCCGGCGGGCGCACTGCGATCACCCACGATTGAACAGCGGGTCAGCCCCGCACTGACACGTCTCAGGGGCCATGAACTTCAAGAAAGGGTCAAGAAAGGGGAAAAAGGCGCGCTGGGTCCTGCCCCGGCCACGTTGGGGTGCGAGTGTGAAAGGCCCAGCTGGGGGGGGATCGGTGTTACCGCGGTTTTGGGGCTCGCCCACCTGTGGCAGGGCCTTTCCCCCGCCAGGGAGCTTGGAAAGTCCCGAGCCTGGGGCAGGAATGGGCGTCCAGAGGAATTAATCTGGGGTGATGACAGCGAGTAATTAGCGAGCTGGAACCGTGTCCAAAATGTCTTCTGTCCGGACCGGCCCTAATTAAGCTCTGAGGGTTCCTCACCTGTGGCAAGTTTGTTCAAACTTAGATTTCTGCCCACTTGGGATCCGAGTGGCCACGTTTCTGACTCATCAACGCTTGTAATTAACATGGCAATTATATTCACAGTGAGACTCAGAGCATCTTAAATTATCCTCTCCTTTTTTCCCCCCCTCCTTTTTTTTTTTTTTAAATATTATTATTATTTTGTGCATTTCATTTCCTTGTCGCCATCTGTTGCGAAATGGCTGTCTTCTTGCTGCGTGCACTTAACACCACCATCTGGACAAATTATTTGTCCCATTAATTGCGAAAAATGTGTGAAGAAGGAAAATGAAATGGTAGTGCCGACCTGCAGAAGGGCTGCTGGAGGAGAAGCAGCCCGCTCCCAAACCCAAAGCGCCGCCAAAGCGCGCCGAGCCTGACATGATGAAATGTCTGTTTAATCGTCTAGCGCACTAATTGGTCTCTTTGCACAGCACCGAGGAAAAAAAAAAAAATATCTCTCTCTCCTCTTCTCTCTGCGTTATTTGAGTCTTCCCCCGCGGGGCAAGCCTGAGCGGATCGAAGCCCCTCGCGGCGATCGAGGCGGTGGCTGGCGCGGGCGCGATGCCCTCCGCAGCCTCTCGCTGCTCCGGCCGTGCTGGGAGAAACCCAGGGGCTGGAGAGGGTCCCGGCATCGCCTCCCCTCGTGGGGCTGGGGGCTTGGATGGGTGGAAACGAGCCCTGGTGCTTGCGGGGGGGTCCCTGCGTCGCGACCCCCCAAGTCCCCGAGGGAGGCGAATTCGTGTCTTAGCTTTTAGCTGCTGCGCGTGCTGGGGACGGTGCTGGGGACACTTCGCTTCTTGGGCTCGGGGCTCCTTGTCCCAGGGCTCAGCCCCCCCCTCCCCTCCAGCCCTGCTTTCTCTCTCCCCACAGCACTGCGTGAACCCGAGGACCGGCCCCGAGCCCCTCCAGGAGCCTGACTGCACCCCGAGCAAACCGTGAGTGAGCGCCGGCGTCCCCTTCCTAAAGGCAGCCCCGGTGCCCCCCCGGGGACACGGTGACATCCCAGGCGGGGAGGGGACGGGATGGGACCGAGAACCTTCCCCAGCTCCTGGGTGCCAGGGGACACATCGCGACATATCGCGATATGCAGCACCCAGACTGCAGCCGGAGGGGGGAGTCCAGCAGCAGGCAGGGCAGAGCCCCCCGACCAGCGCCTGCCCACCCGCTGCGAGTTTTCCTTCCCCCTCTCGCCCTGCACGGAGCAGGACCCTTCGCACCTCGGGTCCCAGAGCTTTCCTCCCCACCTGCCCCTCGCAGGCAGCACAAGCATCCCCTGCTCCGGCTTCCTCACCACTCGCCCAGCTCTGGCTGCCGGGGAGCTCATTAACTTTTAATTACGCCAGCTGCCTGCGTAAGCCGCTAGCTCGTCCCTCGCTCTGCTCTCCGTTGCACCGGAATAAATTGTTAATTAAACCGTGCGCTGGCATCCCAAGGTGTTTGTGTGCTCTGAAGCTCGGGCCAGGTTTAAAAATTCGCAGTGGGTACCGGGGAGCAGTCACCGGGTGTGGGGATGCCCCCCCCAAATCCGGCCATGGGGCTGAAGCTCTGCAGCCCCCCAGCCCTGGGTGAGGTTTTGGGATGAGCCCGGCAGGACCATGGCAGGGGCAGGCGGCTGCCGAACCCCGTCCTGGTGCTGTGCTGGGCCCCCCGGCATCGTTTGGCTGCCGACAATAAATGATGAGCAGTGGCTGAAAAGCCTCAGGGAGCGAGATGCTCGGCCCCTGGTGAGTTTCAAATGAGAATTTGGCTCCTAATTCCATTTGGGCACCCTTGGAGTGACGGGATCCAAGTGATGTTTAGGAACTGCAGATGCTGGCCCCAGCTCAGGACGCAGGGCAGAGGCAGGATCAGAGGGCAGAGGGAGCTGCAGGACCCAGCGTTTTGGGGCATTTTGGGCAGGTTGAGCTGGGGTCTGGCTGCTCCCACCAGGATAAACACGCCCCAGGCACCTGCGCAGCTCCACAAACAAGGACACCTTCGCACATGCATCAAGTAATTTTGAATGTCATCCAGGCCGGCTGGTTAAATGCGTCCCAGAGACATTCCTAATAAAAAATTCATAAGCCTCTTATAAAGGCAATTATGCTCCTGTAAGGCGGCGAGGGGACACTACGTGACCAAACGGGATAATGAGGGGCGCTGGGGGAGGAGGAGCCGCCTGCCAACAGGTGTGCCGAGCCCCTGCCATCGGCAGCGACTCATCTCATCCCCAAAAACATCAGCCGAAGCACCACAGCGCCCCAGGTCCCCTTGGGATGGAGCAGGTCATGGCTCCTGCTGCTGATGTTCGGCACTGGGGGCTTGGGAGAGCCGGGGGTGTCACCGAGACCCCTGGAAACCCGCTCCGTGCCCAAGCAGCCGTGGGTTCACAGCTGCTTTTTGAGGGTTTTTGAAAGGGGATGCAGGAACCCTAACCCTAACCCTAACCCTAACCCTAACCCTAACCCTAACCCTAACCCTAACCCTAACCCTAGCCCTAACCCTAACCCTATTCCTAACCCTAAACCTAATGACCCTAACCCTAACCCTAAACCTAATGACCCTAACCCTAACCCTAGCCCTAGCCCTAACCCTAACCCTAACCCTAACCCTAACCCTAACCCTAACCCTAACCCTAACCCTAACCCTAACCCTAGCCCTAACCCTAACCCTAACCCTAACCCTAACCCTAACCCTAACCCTAACCCTAACCCTAACCCTAACCCTAACCCTAGCCCTAACCCTAACCCTAACCCTAACCCTAATGACCCTAACCCTAGCCCTAACCCTAGCCCTAACCCTAACCCTAATGACCCTAACCCTAACCCTAAAACGGATCTAACCCTAACCCTAACCCTAAAACGGATCTAACCCTAACCCTAACCCTAACCCTAACCCTAATGACCCTAACCCTAACCCTAACCCTAATGACCCTAACCCTAGCCCTAACCCTAGCCCTAACCCTAACCCTAGCCCTAACCCTAATGACCCTAACCCTAACCCTAACCCTAACCCTAACCCTAACCCTAACCCTAACCCTAACCCTAACCCTCATCTCCCCAAGCACGGTGGGAGAGGAGAGGGGAAGAGGCTTGGCCCCCGCTGTGCGTTTTGACCCTCACCAAACAAACTGGGCTAGCCCCACAGCCCCAGCCCCTCCGGGGGGGGGACACCGACTCTTCCGCAGCCTCCTGGAACGTTCTCCTCCAGGCACGTTCGGCTCCCAGCGCGTGGCCCCGCGGTGCCCGGTGGCTCGGGGACAAACTGCGGTGTCCCTCGCTTGCAGCATGAGGAAGGTGTGAGCCGCCTCCCCCTGCCCTCTCCCGCCTCCCCGGGGACACCATGGACCCCGAAGCCGTGCAGACCCAGGAGGCCCCGCTGACGGTCAACGAGCAGGTAGGGGCACACAGGGCAAGGTGGGGGGGGGCAGCAGCTGCAGGAAAACTGCTCCACGCCTCGGCTCCCCGCAGCCCTGGGAGCTGCTCTCGGTTGCTTTTGCATCCAGAGGAGCAAAACTGCAGCTGCAGGAGCAAAATTCCAGCCACAGGAGCAAAACTGCTCTGGGCTCCCCACGTTCCCGTGCAGGAGGTGGGGTACCGGGGGCTCGCCCAGCCCCAGCCCCATGGGACGGGGGGAGCCCAGCAGCCGGGGGCCAGCCCCTGGAGCTGACGGGTGTTTGGGGACACCTCTGCAGGTCATTGTCATGTCCAGCCACGAGACGATCCGCGTGCTGGAGGTCGGCGTGGACGCCCCGCCACCGGCCGAGGAGGACAGGAAACCTTCGGAGATGCCACCCGGGGAGGGCGCACGGGGCTCCCCGCGAGGGAGCGGCGACCCGGGCAGAGAGGAGGTGCCGCCCAGCACCGAGACCTCGAGCAGCACGGAGGCGGCCGGTGAGATGTTCTCCTGCCCCGCTCCTGCCAGCCCTGCAGGCAGGCTGGGCTCCGGGGCGCTCAGTGGGACGAGCAGCCCCCATCCCTCGCTCCAGAGCATCCCCGTGCCGAGCTCCATTAGGGTTCAGCAAAATAATTCCCCCTCCGGCAGCTGCGAGAGGGGAGGATCCTGCACCCAGAGCAACGCTCAGACCTTGTCTTAGAACCGCGGCAATTTTGCTAAAAAAAAAAAACCTTCGTGGACCTGTAGCTATTTCTGGGCAGCGACCCAAATCTGAGAAATGCCTGGCTCGTAGATGAGAAAAGTATTTATTTGGTAAAAGTTTTTTTTTTTTTCTGACGAAGGAGAAGACAGGAAAACGGTGTCTTTCTTTTTACAAAAATAGAAGAGGATTATGAGGATTTTGTACCCAAGGGCTGCCCTTATTAGAAGTTGTGCAGAATAAATACAGGAGGTTGCTCAAAAAATAAACAGGTCTTTCAAAAGTAATAAATAAGGATTAGGAACGAGGTTTCCTCTTACCTGGATGTTAATGATAGCTTAGAAATCTTACCATCTCCTGTGCATTTGGGTTGGAAAATGCAAATTAACTGAAACAGCTTTAGCAGGAGAATGCAAGATTTCAGCCGCGCAGTGAATTGCCTCCATTTTCTGGGAACTGTTTTTGTGTAGTTACAAAACTTCCACCGCCCCAGGGTGCCCCCGTCGGGTGCTGGCACCGCTGCAGCCGCTGCTGATTTGGGCTGGGGGGGGGGGAACAGGCGCATTGTGCACTCCCCCAGATCTCCTAACCCCTTCCTTCCCCCTCCTTGGGTCCCTGCCCCGTAATAAGCCCCAAACTCCCTTTTCCTGCATCCCATAACCAAGGCGACGACCCCCCCAAATCCCATGGGGGGGCTGCTGCTCCGGTGCTGCCCCAGCACCATCCCCGGGGGGGGGACAGGGACAGCCCTGGGAGGGCCGCTCATCCCCGGGGGGGCGTTGTGGCTGTGATTTGGGTCCCCCCCTTATCCCAGCGCCTCTCGAACCCTCTCCTCTGCCCCCCCAAGGCAAAACCAAGCCGGCAGCCGGAGCATCCCCCAGCAGCGGCCCCCCCAGCGGCACCTTCGGCCACGCCGCCAGCCAGCAGCCGCAGCCCTTGGCCCCGCTGGCTGCCCCGCAGGTAACTACCCCGGGGGGGGCATGGACGGGGCTGGGGCACTGGGGGGGGGCTGGAGGGGCAGGGGGAGCACGGCAGCTTGCAGGGGACCCCGGGGGGAAGGGGAAGGAACCCAGGGATGGGACTTGGGGGGGGGGGGCACCCGTTGGTGGTGGGCACCCGGGGCAGCGACGGCGGCTGCTGGCACGGGGCGCAGGAGCTGCCTCCCGGACCACGCCGCCCGAGGTGCTGCCAGAGCCACGGCCGTGGTGGTGGTGGTGGTCTGGGGGGGGGGGGATATGGGGGGCATCTCCCCCCCTCGGGGGGGTCGTGGGGGGGGGCTCCGCGGAGCTGGGAACCCAGCTGCTGAGATGGGAGGGACCCCGGGCCAGCTGCGCGCCCCTTTGCTCGCTCTTGCCTCGCTGATGCTGTCTGCAGTGGCGTTGATTTTTGTTCTTTTTTAAATCTTGTTTGCTTTTGCAGGTCTTGACTCAGGAAAACTTAGCAACAGTTGTGACAGGAGTAATGGTTCCAGCAGGGACAGTTACTCAACCTCTTCTTATCCCCATCAGTATTGCAGGTCAAGTGGCAGGTCAGCAGGGGCTGGCTGTGTGGACATTTCCTACAGCAACGGTCGCTGCCCTTCCCGGACTGACGGCTGCTTCTCCTACAGGGGGAATTTTCAAACCACCTATAGCCAATCTGCAAGGTAACCGCTGCTCTTCTGCTTTGCAGCATCCTTAATTGCACGCCTGGTCCTCCCCGGCTTGTTGCCGACCCGAGGCCGTCCTCTCCAGGAGGGGTCTGAAACGGTGTTTAATCGCGGGCGCTGGAAGAAGCAGGGTTTGTGGCGACCCCCCCGAGGCCGAAAGGTGCTGGGAGCGTCGGAGAGGGGCGGCGAGAGGGAGGGAGGAAGGAGACGGTGAGGGGGAGGAAGGCAGAGGTTGTGGGGGGGAGGGGAGATGAGGCTACAGGGACAGTGCTGGGGGTCTGGGGTCCGGGGCAGCTTTGGGGCTGTGGCCGTGTCACACCACTGCAGCGGGTGCAGGTCCCCAGGGCTGTGACCCTCCCCAAGGGGCAGCGCCGTGGGGGCTCTGCGGTGCCCGGGCAGGGTCTGTGCCCGTCTGCAGCGGGGCATCGCCTCCTCTCCTCTGGGCCGTGCGAGGAGCACCCGGGCGATGCGGTTCCCTTTGGGTGGGGGGCAGACCGGGGACCCAGCGAGCCTCGGGTCCCATCCTGGAGCCTCCCCGCCGTCCCCACTGTCCCCTGCTCCCCCCGGCTCACGCTCTCTCTGTCTCTTTGCAGTCGCCGCCGTCCTCAACACGGTGATTCCGGCCCCAGTGCAGCCTGCCCAGCCGCTGCCGGCCGCGGTGCAGCCCCGGCCCCCCCTGCAGCCTCAGAGCGTGTTCCCCCCGGCGCCCGCCGTGCCCAGCCAGCCCCCCATCCTGCCGCAGCCCGCTGCAGCGCCCACGCCGCCCGTGGCGAAGCCGCTTGAGCCGCAGCCCCAGCTCGCAGCAGTGCAGCCCGCGGGATTTGCCTTTAACCCCGGCATAGTAAGGAGCTGGGCAGCCCCAGGCCCGCGCCCGCTCCCCTTTCCCGGCACCAGACCCCGGCCTCAGTTTCCCCATCCCCGTTGGATGCTCGTCCCCCTCCGGCGGCCTCATGGGCAGCCCCCGAGTGGCTTGGGGAAAAAAACCCTCGGGTAAAGGACTGGGAGCAACCGCTTCCCATCACGGCAGCGAGGCGGGGGCCGCCCTGCCACGGGGGGGGACGCGGTGACCCCGGGATTAGCGGTGGCCCGATGAGGGGGGGGACGAGCAGCCCCGAGCCCCCGTCCCTAACCCCTGCCTTTCGGTTCTCCGCAGATCAGCGCCGCCTCCCTGGGGGGGCAAACACAGCTCCTCAGCTCCCTGGCGGCCGCCCCCGTGATCGCCAACACCATCTCCAGCGTGCCGGGCATCACGGGGCAGATCCTCACCAACGCCCAGGGCCAGGTACCGCCGGGGATGGGGAGGGGGCGTCCCCAAGGTGCCCCCCACCCTTACAGCGGCTCTGGGAGGGGCGCTGGAAGGACGTGCCCCCCCCGCAGCCCCCGCTCTCCTCCCTCACGCAGGTGATCGGGACCCTGCCGTGGGTGGTGAACCCCCCCGGCATCGCGGCCGCCAGCCCGGTGCCGGCCCCGAGCCTGCAGGAGCAGGCGGTGACGCCGCAGCTGCTGCTCAATGCCCAGGGCCAGGTGATCGCCACGCTGGCCAGCGGCACCATCCAAGCGGCCGCCATCAAGAAAAGCGGCCCCCCCGAGCCCCCCACCAAGAGCGAGGTGAGCTGGGGCTGCGCCGCGAGCCCTTCTTCTACCTACTTCTCCTTCCCCCTGCACGTGGTGGGCTGCCAGTACGGAACTGGGGCGTCCCAGCACAGAACTGGGTGGCTCTGTACTGGGTGGCTGGCCGGCCACTGGGACACGGTGCCAGATTGGGGACACGGTGCCAAATTGGGGACACGGTGCCGGACTGGGGACACGGTGCCGGACTGGGGACACGGTGCCAGATTGGGGACACGGTGCCGGACTGAGGACACGGTGCTGGATTGGGGACACGGTGCCAGACTGGGAGCACGGTGCCGGATTGGGGACACGGATCGGGGTGCCAGCCCCGCTGCTGACCCTCGCTGCCCCCCCAGGTGCAGCCCATCCAGCCGGCCCCAGCTCTCCCGCAGCCGGCCGTGGTCATCGCCAACCCTGCGCCGGCGGCGAAGGCGGCCTCGGCACCCGTCCCCATCACCTGCTCCGAGACGCCCACCGTCAGCCAGCTGGTGGCCAGTGAGTCCCTCGTGGGGGGGGGGTACTGGGATTTGGGCTTCCCTACTGGGGGAGAGGATCCCCCGGGGGGGTCACCGCCGGCCGCCTTTGATGCCACCCCTCCGCTCGCAGAGCCCCAGGCCCCCAACAGCGGCGTGGAGGAGGACGGCATCAACCTGGAGGAGATCCGGGAGTTCGCCAAGAACTTCAAGATCCGGCGCCTGTCCCTCGGCCTGACGCAGACCCAGGTGGGCCAGGCCCTGACGGCCACCGAGGGCCCTGCCTACAGCCAGTCGGCCATCTGCAGGTACCGGCACAGGACCGGGGGTGCCGCGGGGTGGGGGCAGCGATCCAGGAGGAGGAGGAGGAGAGGAGGGAGGTCGGGACGAGGCAGCAGCCCTGCCCCCACAACGCCTCCTGCTCTGTCCCCGCAGGTTCGAGAAGCTGGACATCACCCCCAAGAGCGCCCAGAAGCTGAAGCCGGTGCTGGAGAAGTGGCTGAGCGAGGCCGAGCTGCGCAACCAGGAGGGGCAGCAGAACCTGATGGAGTTCGTGGGGGGGGAGCCCTCCAAGAAGCGCAAGCGCCGCACGTCCTTCACGCCGCAGGCCATCGAGGCGCTCAACGCCCACTTCGAGAAGAACGCGCTGCCCACCGGCCAGGAGATCACCGAGATCGCCAAGGAGCTCAACTACGACCGCGAAGTCGTCCGCGTGTGGTTCTGCAACCGCCGACAGACGCTCAAAAACACCAGCAAACTCAACGTCTTTCAGATCCCCTAAGGGAAGGGGGCCAAGGGGGGGCCCCCCATGCCCGGGTGCCCTCCCCGAGCCCGGGCGCCCTCCCCGAGCCCCCCTATCCCCCCTCCCCGCCCCCAGCCTCCTGCCATCAGCACTTTGTGACCGACTTTCCCCGGCCCCCGCCCCCTCTGCCCGGCTCCGGCGGGGGGCTCGGGACCCCCCCAGACCCCGCGCCTTGGTGTCCGTGCCCCCCTCCCGCCCCACACGTGGCCCAACCGTGTTCGCCTCCCGTGTGCCTCGTGGCCCCGTTCTGTGCGTGGTGCCGGACCCCCGCCTGCACTCACCGTGTCCCTGGGTGAGGGGGGGGCCGCCCTCCCCGCCTTTCCATGTCAGGTCTCCCCCCCCCTCCAGGAGTGATTTTTCATTTTTTTGGGGCCGTTTTCTCCCTTCTCCGCGCCTTCTCTATGTTTCCGAGGCCCGGTAGCGGTGAGCCCCGGTTGAGTTTCACCCCCTTTTTATTTCATCGCCCCCCCCCCCCGGTTCCCAGCCCTCTCCCCTCGGAGCAAACAGAGCCGCGGGAACCCGAAAACGAAGGCGTCGAGCCCCCGAGGAGCTGCTGGACCTCCAGAAGGGTGGCCCCGTGCCCGTGCCCCCCCTGTCCCCGTGGGGACATTGCACTATGGGGGGGGGACCGCGCGGGGTTAGCGGGGGGCAGAGCGAGCCGGGAGGAGGATTTGGGGGTCCCGCAGCGGGGGGAGCGCCCCCTCCGAGCCCCCCGCCCTGAGCCTGGGGACAGACAGACGGATGGGGAGCGCGGTGGGGGGGGGGGGGGGCAGGCCCCGCCGGGGTCACGGCAGCCTGATGCACTTGATGTAGTGGTGTGAAATAAACAGTATTTTTCTTTTTTCTTTTCCTTTTCCCTTTTTTTCGGAGGGGTGCGGGTGGGGGGGGGGGGCTCTCCCTTGCCCTGGGTGCACTCCCACTGCCGGGCTGCTCCCCCCCCCCGCCCCCCCCCCCGTGCCACCGGGGCCTGGGTTTTGGGGGAGGGGGGGGCTCGGAGCAGCCCCGAGGCCGGAGCGGGGCCGTTTCCATCGGGTTCCCCCCCCCGGGCTGAGGCCGCGCAGCTCAGCGCACGAATGAGCCGGGCCCGGGCCTCGAACCCGCGGCCTCAGCGGCTCCGCTCCCCGCCGGGGGGACCCCGAGCGCCCCGCGCCGCGCCGCTCTCGCCCCGCCCCCCTCCCCCCAACGACCAATCGCAGCCCACCACCGCGGCCCCCTCCCTGCGTCACCAGGCCGCGCGGGGCTCCTATTGGCTGAGGGCGGCCGAGGGGGCGGGGCCGGCTCCCCGCTGGGGGCTGGAGCGGGGGGTCCGCGGCGCCGCCGCCTCCATTTTGAGGGGGCCGCGGCCCGGGGCCCTCGGCGGGGCCGCAGCGGGGCCGGGGGGGTCCCGGGGTTGGGGGGGGAGCCTGTGGGGGCTTGGGGGGGTTGCAGCCCCTCGGGGGGGGCTCGGCGGGGCTGGGGGTGCAGCTCCTGGGGAGGGGGCTGCGGGGCGGGGGGTCCCGGGAGGGTCCCAGAGGGGACCGGGGGGGCTCGAGGGGGTCCCAGAGGGGTCCCTGGGGGGGGTCCGAGGGGCCCGGGGCTGGAGGAGCCCAAGGGGAGGGGGCTGCAGGGCTCAGGGGGGGTACAGATAGGTGGGGGGGGGGGCGCTGAGACCCTGAATTGGGTCTGGGGGCGCCCCAAAGCGGCCCGGGGGGGGGCTCGGAGCCCCTGAGGAGGGAGCGGAGACCCCCGGAGAGCCCCCGGCCGGCCCCCGCCGCCTGCCCCTTACCCTAAGGGACCGGGACACCCCCCCCAAACTCGCCCCCTTACCCGGGGGGGGGTCCACAGCCGACCCCGGGGCCTGCCCCCCATTTGGGGGGGGTCAGGATCATGGCCTGGGCGCTGAAGCTGCCGCTGGCGGACGAGGTGATCGAGTCCGGCCTGGTGCAGGACTTCGATGCCAGCCTCTCGGGCATCGGCCAGGAGCTGGGCGCCGGGGCCTACAGCATGAGGTAGGAGGGCTGGGGGCTTGTGGGGGGGGGGGGTCGCCCCTGTGCCCCCCCCCCAGGCTCCTGGCACACCCCAAGACAGCGCCCGGCGCCCCCCTCAGGGCGGTTTTGTGCCATTTTGTGCCTGGTTTGGGAGGCTCGGGGGGGGGATCCACGCGTCCTGGTGCTGTGCCAGCCCCTGGGGGTGGTGGGGACGTGGGGGGGGGGGGGCTGCAGCCGCACCGGGACCCCCGGGAGCCACAGTTGGGTTCATCGGGTTTGGGACTGGAAGGGCTGAGCTCGGGGTAGGGCTGGGGGTGGTCGCTGGAGGTGTTTTTGGGGGCCGTGGCGCTGCCAGGTGGGGGTTGAGCAGTGCACAGCCCCCCCCAGCCCGCGGCTCGTAGCGGGACCATGGCACCGGTGCCGTGCCTCTGGTGCAGGGGTCGTTGGCAGAGCCCCTTCCCCATCCCCTGGCTTTGTGTTCCTGCCCTGACTGCCCCGGGAGCTCTGCCTTGCCACCAGTAATCCCCTCGGGACCAGCTCTGAGCAGAGCCGGGAGCCCAGGAGAGCACCGGGACCCCCGGGGGTCCTCGCGCCAGGGCAGGGAGCAGCAGCAGGACCCCCGGGATCGAGACCGAGCTGCTCCAGCACGTGGCACGGGCTCCGGAGGTGGCTTCGTGCCCGCTTGGCAGCTCTGCCCGGCTGCCCCCAGCTCCGTTCCTGGCCGGCGGTGCTGGGAGCTGCAGGGACGCAAGGTTTGGGGCCAGGTGGGATTTTGGGGTGAGCTGGCGCGGAGGTGAAGCTGTGGGAAGCTGCTCCGGTGTCCCCTGCAGCCCAGAGGTGCAGCCAGAAGGAATTCCACGTAAATCTTGGGCCGTGCCCCCCGTGAGAGGTTTTCTGGGACGAGCTGACGCAAGGCTTGAGTTTTTTGGGAGTGATGCAGCTGGAAACGTTGGGATTAAAAACAAGGCACTGGGAGAGGGGGAGCCAGGAGGGAGGAAAGGTGGTGGGGAGAAGGAGCTGCTGGCTTGGTGCCCCCGGCCTTCCAGAGACAGGGAGAGGCAGCGCCTTCCCCGACTGTTCCGAGTCCCCTCCTGGGACCCCAAAATCGTTTGGTTTTGTTTAATCGAGGCCCCCCCAGGCTGCTCGCTGGCCAAATCGCAGCCAGGCAGGAGCTGAGGGGAGCACGCCCGTCCCCTCTCCATCACGGTGGCCGTTTGGGATCGCTTCCTCCACTCGGGAGCACCACGAAGCCGCCTGAAACCCGACTCTATTTTTTTTTTTTTTCTTTCCCCGAGACTTTTGTTGACCTCAGCTGCCCGTAAATAGAGCGCGTACCCCCCCGGAGGTGAGCGTGCTGACCTTTGTGGGGCCTGACCTCTGGCATTTTCCTCCCGTCTCTCGCGGCACCGCGCTGCAGGACGGGGAGGGGGGGACGTTTTTCCACGGGACCCCCCAGTTTCGGTGCCCACCCGGGGCTCTCCCCATGGAGGAGGCACGCTGCTCCCTCGGGGCCGAGCGCTGGTAGGTGGCTGCCTGGCCGGCGTGTGCAGGAGCCTGGGGATTTGGGGGGAGAAGCGGTGTTTTGGGGGCGATAACGGGGCGCTGAGCGGGCGCTTCCAGCTGCAGGGCTTGGCTGCGGCTCCTCTGCTCCTCTTGCAGGAGCTCCTCTCCCACACCACGATGGGAAGCGTGGAAGCGGAGGCTTCCCCCAAAAGCACGTGGGGTTGGCAGGGAGCTGATGCTGTGGTCCAGGGAGCTGTCCAGAAGCCTCTCCCGGAGAAGGAGCAGGGCTTAACCTGGTGGCAGAGCTCAGCGCTTCGGTGCCACCCCAAAAACGGGCTCCGGGGGGGCTCTGCCCCACGCCGCCTCTCCCCGTGTGGCTCCCGTTCCTGTGCCGTGCTGCCCGAGGAGCTGGGCTCGCTTCTGGTGGAGCTTTGAAGCAGGAGAGGTGTGACAGGGGGACAGCTTGAAAAAGCTGCAGCAAGAGCAGGAGTCAGGGCCTCTCCCCAGATCTCCTTGGTCTGCTTTAATGCTCCTCTGCAGCCCTGCAGGGCTGTCACAGCTCGTGGTGGTGCTGTGCCTTGGTTTTGGTTTAATTTAAAAGCCCAAAGCTCTTCCTCGCAGGAGGAACTCGACGCCTGCCACCCCATCCCTGGAGCCAGGGCCGAAATGAATGCCCGTCACCTCTCTTTTCAGTGACGTCCTTGCCCTGCCCATCTTCAAACAGGAAGAATCAAGTTTGCCTCCGGAGAACGAGAACAAAATTCTGCCCTTCCAGTACGTGCTGTGCGCGGCCACGTCCCCTGCGGTGAAGCTCCACGACGAAACGCTCACCTACCTCAACCAAGGTGGGCGAACCCCGGGGGCTTGGTTTAACCCCGCCATGATTTAACCCTAAAGCTCTGCCTCTGGCTGTTTCCCCAAACCCCACGCTGCTCCTGTTTAAAACCACCGGCTCCTTCAATGGGGTGCAGCCAAGCTCTCCAAGCTGCTCCGTGCTGCCAGAGCTGGGCAGCAGTGTGCTGGGCTGCCCTGCAGTGGGCACACGTTGCAGTTTCCAGCTGCAGCCATCACTTCTGGGTAGGATCAGGAGGTCGGGGCTGGTGACTGTGACCAGATGAGGCTGAGTGATCGATTTCTGCCCCGTGCTGGGGCTGCACGCGGTTGGTGAGGGTTTGCCAGGACATCCTCCAGCAGAAAGGGAGAGGATTGCCTGTTGCTGGAGAGGGTGTGGGGCGGTGAGACGGCTCCTGCTCCTGGGACCCCACACTGAAACGTGGCAAGGAGCTGGGGTGGCGTGGTGCAGCACCAGAGGGTGTCAAAACGCGAGGGAGGGAGGCAGCAAAGGCTCATAACGTGGTGAACAACAAGGAGCCTTCGTCTTCCTTCCCTCAGGGCAGTCATATGAAATCAGGATGCTGGACAACAGGAAAATCGGGGAGCTGCCAGAGATCAATGGGAAACTGGTGAAGGTAAGCGGAGAGCCTCGGTGCGTGAGTCCAGCTGGGGCTGTCGGGAGCAGCACGCGAGGTCTTGTCCTGGCAGGGGTCCTGCTGGGCTTTGTTTTGTTGTCCTGGCTTCTCCATGAGGCTTCAGGTCCCTCCGGTTCCCTCTCTGCTCCTTTTCTTGTGCTGGGAAATGCCCTGAGGACGGGGGCTTTGCTGGGAGAGCCGCAGCTGCTGATGGTTTGTCCCCTCCAGAGCATTTTCCGGGTGGTGTTTCACGACCGGCGCCTGCAGTACACGGAGCACCAGCAGCTGGAGGGCTGGCGGTGGAACAGACCCGGGGACAGGATCCTGGACATCGGTGAGTGCCCGGGGCAGCACCTCGGGGTCTGCCTCCGAGCCCCCAGAGCTCTGCCGCGTTCTGCAGTCGGTCCCAGATTCCCCGTGACCCCTCTGCTTCTCCTCCTAACAAAACCTGGCTCTCTGCCTGTGCTCCTGCAGATATCCCCATGTCCGTGGGCATCATCGATCCCAGGGCGAATCCAACACAGCTCAACACGGTGGAGTTCTTGTGGGATCCTTCCAAGAGGACCTCGGTGTTCATCCAGGTGAGGGAATGGACGGGGGAGCTTCCACTTGCAGGGGTTTAGGAAAAAAAAAGAAAATTATCCTAGGGGAAAAACAGAGATGGTTTTTGACTCAGAGCTCTGAAATAGCAGCCAGATGCTGCAGTGGCAGAGGCTGCAAACTGAAATTGCCTCGCCTCTACCACAAGCAGTGCGAGAGGGCAGCAGCTTGTGGGTTGGCAGCAGACAAGCTCAGCTGGCCACCTGCGAGTTGTTCCATTCGTGTGGTGGTTTAGGCCCTGCTGGTGTGGGTGATGTGCTCTCCATCCTGCTTAGATGCTTTTGCAAATCTCCCCGGCTGCCTCAAACACCTCCTGGCCACATCCCAGCCCCGCTGCCCAGAACGAACAGGCTGCGGCGCGCAGAGGCTGGTGCAGCTGAGCTCTCTGCCCCGCCGAGCCGGGGGCTGCTCCTCACAGCCAGGAGCTTGCCAAACTCGCTGGAAGAGCTGGAAGAATGCGGCTCCACCTCTGCTGCTGCGGCCCCTTAACTCCTTACCAACCCTGGTGCTCTGTGAGCTCTGCCTTGGGCCCTTCTCACGGCACTGACAGCAGGGCGCCGTGCCTCCCCCCAGGTTCACTGCATCAGCACGGAGTTCACCATGCGGAAGCACGGCGGGGAGAAGGGGGTGCCCTTTCGGGTGCAGATTGACACCTTCAAGGAGAACGAGAACGGGGAGTACACGGAGCACCTGCACTCGGCCAGCTGCCAGATCAAGGTCTTCAAGGTACCTCTGCCCCGCTGTGCACCCGGCGTCTGCTGCATCCTGCCCCTGCTGGCTGCAGCCCCAGCGGGACGTGGCCGAGCTTGCAGGCGGTGAAAACCCTCGGTCCTTCTGGTGGCTCCTCCTTTCCTGGCCTGGTGGAGCCTGGGCGCAGTTGTGGCTCCAAAATCAGGAAGCCAAGGACAACGCAGTGGGGAGTAAACGGGTTGTGGTGCTTCCCTCCCAAAGTTCCCACATTCAGCTTCGAGTCTTACCCTCCTGGGAGGTCCTGGGGGGGTTTTGATGTCCCTCTGACCTCCTCACCCCATTATTACCAGTTCCCGTTGTGGCTGCTGCCGGTCTGTGTGCGTGCAGCCCCTCCAGGCCTTCCGAATCCTTTGCAGGGCACCCAAACCCACATCTGGCCGTGGCAGCACGTGCCAGCGAGGTGACTGCAGCACCACCCAGGCATCGTGCCTCGGGGCACTGACATTGTCTGGAGGAGCCTGCCCTGTCCCTGCCCTCCCTCCGACGCCACGCAGCCTCTTTGGCCGTGCTCCCTCTGCCCTGGTCCCCCCCCAGGGGTGCTTGGCTCTCTGCAGGTCGGCTGCCTGGCTGGGAGCCTGCAGCACTCGGCAGTTCTATCGTGAGGTTGCTGTAGGACGTCGGGCAGCGTGCCCTGCTGCTGGTGACTTGGCTTCTTTCCCCTTCTCTCTCTCCTGCCTTGCTTGCATTATAAAATTTCGAAGGCAGGGAGGGTGATTTGTTAGGGCTTGTTGGAGCTCTGGCTCGTGTCTGGATGGAAATAGCCCCGCGAGGGTGGCAGCGGAGCTGGGAGCTGAGAGGCTGAGGCTGGCTGCAGACGAGCACCCTGAGCACAGGCAGTGGCATGGCCAGCATCTGGCGCTGGGTTTCTGCTGAGCTGCAGCTCTCTTCCTTCCCCCCCATAAAAAAACAGGAGGGAGAGCAGGAGGCTGAGCCCCCTCCTCACACCGATATCTCCTCCCCAGCCCAAGGGAGCTGATCGGAAGCAGAAGACCGACCGGGAGAAGATGGAGAAGCGAACGCCCCACGAGAAGGAGAAGTACCAGCCCTCCTACGAGACCACCATCCTCACCGAGGTGGGGCGCGTCCTCCTGCGGGGGGGGGACGTTGTTTGAGCAAAGCCTGAACTGCCCTGGCCATGAGGGGCTGGCTGCTCTGCTCTGAGGTGTTTGCCTCAGTTGTTTGTGGCTGCAAGATAAATATTCTAGGTAGAGGAGGTAATTTTTAGCAGGCCTGAAAAAGGGCTCTTGTGCCTCGAGTCTGATCTCCCTGCACTTGAATTTGGGGGCTTTGGGCTTTTTGAGATTAAGGACTGCTTGGCCTGAGGCTCCTTTAGGAGCGGGGCTCCTTTTAATCCCCGACTTTGTTCTTTAATTCTCTTTTGTCGCCAGCCAGCAAACGGCTGTAAACCTGCGCTGAGCAGAGCGGCCGCGTGGCCTTGTCCAAAGCCACCTGTGACCCTTCTGGCTTTTTCTTTCCAGTGCTCTCCCTGGCCAGAGATAACGTACGTCAATAACGCGCCATCCCCTGGCTTCAACAGCTCCCACAGCAGCTTTTCCATCGGAGAAGGGTGAGTGTGGAGGGGAGGCTGCCTGCCTGCCCGCTCCTGGCTCGCCGGAGAGGTCGATGCACCCCAGCTGGCAGCAAAAGGAAGAAGCTCCCGGTGCCAGGGCGCAAGGAGGCAGAAGCAGCCCGCACAGAGGCAGCGTCAGGGTGGAAAAAAGGAATGAAAACCCTCGGAGCTGAGCGCTCTGCCCTGTCCTTGCTCCCAGAGAGCTCGGCTCTTGCACGAGAAGCGTGTGCGCGCTCCATCGGCAGCCCCCTGCTTTCGGCTTCCAGCCTGCTTCATTTTGCCTTCCCCCGTCGCGTTACTGCTCTGAACCCGAGCCATTTGAGCTTGTGAAGTGTCCCAGCTGAGCCGTTTGTGCTTGCAGAGTGTTTTGCTGCAGCAGTGGTGGTGCTGCCGGTGTGGGGCTGCCTGCAAGCAGCGGTGCCCCCGTGCTTCCGCGGTGTTGGAGCGGCACTGGCACCAACTGGGCGCTGTGCTTTGCAGGGCGGTGTTGTTGCCTGCGGGCATCCCGTGCCAGGAGGGGAAGGGCAGTGCTAACCACGTGTTGTGCTCTGTCTGGCTCTTTCCCCCATCTAGAAACGGCTCCCCCAACCACCAGCCCGAGCCGCCCCCTCCGATCGCAGATGTAAGTCACACTTCAGAGCTTGTGCTTGTGGTAAGGATGGGACACAGGTCGCTAAAGGGGCTTTGCTGTGATCGAGTGGTGGTGGGCTCGTGGGTGGCTGTGCTGCGGTTTGCCTGGGATTAGACTGCTGTAGTTTAACGTCTTTGGGGACTTACAACTTCATTTTTATTCCTATTTATAAAGAAGAGGTGATAGTGATAAATGTCCAGTACGGCAAGGCGGAGCTGGGAGCAGGCTGCTCGGAGCTTGCTGCGATCTTTGCTGATCCATTTATCTTTGTTGATGCTCTCCCTGTTGCTTCTTTCCTCCCCCTCTGTCCCTCTGAAGCCTTTTAAACCAAAACCCATCCAGGCTGCAGTCCTTATTGCATGTGCACGGTGAGCCCAGCCCACTCTGCTCTCGATGTGCAGTTACAGACACCGAACCAGCTGGCCTGTGCTCGTTCCTTGGTGGAAACGTCCGTGCCACCTCTGAGGCTGTGACCCTTCTTTTCCTGCCTTGCAGAACCTCTTGCCCACGAGCACCCCGCAGGAGGCCCAGCAGTGGCTGCACCGGAATCGCTTCTCCACCTTTTCTCGGCTTTTCCGAAACTTCTCAGGTAGGTTCCAGCGGCCCCTCCGTGTCCGTGCCGAGTCTCTCTGCTTCCTCCTGCTCCCCAGGCCACCTTCCTGCCCCCGTGCAAATTCGTCTGTTTGAAAAGCTCCTGTCTTTGTAACGCAATAAAGCTTGGCTACCTGAAAGCTGTCGGCTTCATTTCTCACCTCGCTCTCAACTGACAACGCCGTGGGGATGGTGGAGGCTTCTCTTCCAAAAGCTCGCAGCTTGTGGTCTTAAAACAAGCTGGGAAATGCTGATCTGGGGCGCTGTGTGTAAAGGACTGCTCGTATTTATCTTCCTCTCATTCCCTGGTGATGCAGTCTCCACTATCCAGGGTCACCGAGGCACTGGGTAGCAGGCTGTAAGAGGGAAAAGGCTGATCATGCCCGCCGTGGGGTTGTACCAAAGCACATTCTTGCAAAACCAGCCTGCAAAAACATGCAAATGTCCTTCTGTGGGAAGCGGGGGGGAGGTTGTCAGCAGAGGGCTGAAGGCTTTGGGGTGGGGTGAGCTCTGCAGGGGGAGCTGCCACAACCCTGAGGTCCGGGGCCCCCACCCCAGGAGCTCTGGGCTGCTTTTGTGACTCTCCTCTTGCTGTCAAACTGCAGGTGCAGATTTACTGAAGCTGACCAGAGAAGATGTTATCCAGATCTGTGGCCCTGCGGATGGCATCAGGCTCTTCAATGCCTTGAAAGGACGGTGGGTTTGCTCTAAAAGCTGATCGTGCGTGGCAGGGAAGCGAGGTGAATTCCTTAATCTGCTCGGTTGTTTCTGAGGACAGTGGGGAGAAGAAGGCTGCTGGCTGAGTGCCTCGGGCAATCCTGCGGGTGCTGCGCTCACTCGCTGCTCTGTCCGTAGGATGGTGCGGCCCCGGCTGACCATCTACGTGTGCCAGGAGTCCCAGCAGCTCAGGGACCTCCAGCAGAAGCATGAGGACGGGGACACCGTCACCAGCACCTTCTTCGGTAAGGGCTCTGGGGCACCGCTGCGGGCACGCACGCCTGGGTGGTGGCGAGGAGGAGGAAGCAGCAGCAGGGCTCGGCAGGCAGAAACGCAGCAGCAGTGGGGCTGCTCCCCAGGCTGCTGTCCCTGGGGTTTTGAGCTCCCCTCGAGCATCCCCAAACAAACAGCCGGGGCTGTCCATACCTTACCAGAACACGCTGAGTCTGCGTAGCAGCTCAAGGAGGGTTTGTGGCTTTGGCTGTCAGCTCCCGTGCCTCGTTTTGGCTGCTTTCTCATCTCCCTGCAAGGAGGCAGAGAGTTCCCCCGCAAGCTAATGCAGGCTGTGTGTGTGAGCCAGGGCGCTGTGCACGCTCTGTTGACCAGGGTGGCCCAGGATTGCAGGGAGCACTCCTCTTACTTGCCCCAGTCCTACCCAGCTGAGTTTTTTTTCCCCTTGCTGACCAAACGGGTGGCTGCAGACTGCGACTGTTGGCGTGCTGCCTGCTCTGAGCCGGCAAATGATAGCTCCTGCGAGAACCCAGCCTTGCCCAGACAACAATGAGTGACCTACATTCGTGGAGCAGCCAGGCGCCGGTTTATCCACCTCTGGGATTGGAGCAGCAAGCACAAAAGCCAGCGGCGGGGCCTCTCCTCGCCCTGCTCCTGTCTGGGTCCTTTCACATCCCCCCAGGACCCGCTGCAGGAGTGGGAGACCGAGGGGGCTCAGGGGTGGCTTTTCCACCCTGCTGCGACTGCAAACCCTACCAGGAGTGGTGCAAAGTGCTGCTTAGCTGGTGGCAATTAAAAGAGAAGCTTTTAGGGGTGAGGACTGCATGAATGCAGATTGAGCATTGACGATGGCCAGGTTTTATAGCTGGGGGCACGTTGCAGCCACGTAGCCAAAGCAGCCACCGGAGAGCAGCTGCAGTCGCATGACAATTTAGCAGCTTGGGCTCGGGAAGCTGACAGAGCAGGTAGCCCACTGCTGAGAAGGTGCACGGCCCTTCCAGGGGGCTGGGGTGTTCCTGCTCGCGGTGCTGCTCTGCACACCAGCAGCCCAGCAGGCAGGGTGCAGGCGCTGAGGCTGCTCCCTGCCCTCTCCTCGCAGTGTACCACGCCATTTACCTGGAGGAGCTGACGGCGGTGGAACTGACGGAGAAGCTGGCCCAGCTGTTCAGCATCTCCTCGCAGCAGATCAGCCAGATCTACAAGCAAGGCCCGACGGGGATACACGTGCTGATCAGCGACGAGGTAGCAACCTCACAGTGCTCCTTATTCCCTGCCTCTTGCCTCCGCTGGTTTGTGGCTGATGCTGCCCAAGCAGGTCTTTGGGAAGGGCCCTGCTCGGCTGTGCTCTGGCTTTGCTGTGAGAGCAGGGTGGGGAGCTGCTGTGGGAGGACTTTGGTTCACTTGGCTTGTTGGTTCGGATCTTCAGCTCTGGAGAGCTGGATGAAGGAATAAATATTTATGGCTGGTGCATCTCCTGCCTCCCAGAGCGCTGAGCTCCTGAGCAAGCAGCTTCCAGCCCTTTGTGTGAAACTTGCCGTGTTTAAATACAGCTTCAGACTCAGCTGCTTTTCATGGCTTCTTTCAGATGATTCAGAACTTCCAAGACGAATCCTGTTTTGTTCTGGACACCATGAAAGGTGTGTAAGTGCCCGGGCTTTGTGTGCTTCCTGGGGAGCTCTTGTGTCAGATCCGCTGAATCCAGTGGATCCCTTTGCTCTTAGGAGTGTCTCATGAGCTTTTTCCTTCTTTTGCAGCTGAAACCAATGATAGCTACCACATCATCTTAAAATAGAAGGAGACGGGATAAGAGACATCTGTGATCCTTCTGTCACGCATGAAGACCCCTCACTTCCAGCACAAGGACACGAGCAGAGATCTGGACGCTCCTGGGCACCCTCTCAGCCCCGAGCTGTTGGTTTCTGGGCTGCCTTTCTGGCAGGGGAGCGCCTTGCTCTTACAGCCTGCGAGCTGCCGGTGATGGAAACGTGCTGCTTGGTCGCTGGAGCTGCGAGCCCGAGGTCACCAGGCTGCACTCTCCTGGAGCTCTTGGTAGAAATTTGTCATCGGGACCTAAGATTGTGAGGGCTTTTCTCTGGCAAGCATGCTCTGCTTTTCGGAGAGGCACCAGCTCCTGTGACGCTCACAGACAGGCAGGAAAACATGAATTGAAGTGGTCCAGCACACCCAGCTGGCCCTCTGGCACGTGCTGAGCTGAGCAGGTCTCACACACGCTGTGTGCTGTGCTGGCAGAGCGGTAGGCTAGGGCTGGGAGGGATTTCCTTAAAGATTTTGTTAAGCTTTCATTTCATATTACAACGCATCTGTTAGACAGAGGTGGTGACTTCTTTTTTCTCCTCTCCACCCACCCTGGAAATGTGTGGCCGTGGTGCCATCCTTCCCTCGCAGGTGTGAGGCTGTCACGAACTTTCTCTACAGATTTAATTCATGTGGACGTGTAAAGCTGGAGCAAAACGTGGAGTGAAGCAAAGCTGGATAAAGAAATCGCTAACGAGCTCGGTCTGTGGGATTCCTTTCTGCATGTCTTAGGGGTTTCAAGGGAAAGGGAGAAAGACTTGGATACCTTCATTGAACATTGGGGTGATCTCTGTGTGCTGCCGTTTTCTGCCCCTGCGCTTCCCCTGCCTGGCCTCTGCGGCTGACCCAGCGTTGGTGGAGCCCTGCATGCACTGAGGAGGAGTTAAATGAGTTCAGGGGATCTGATGGAGACGAAAGTGCCTGTGTGGAGCTTCCCAGGACAGCGGCTGCGCCTCTGGAGTGAAGGGTCTGCTGTGTGCTGCGGTGATGGATCCTGCTCCCCACCTGTGAGATGCCCTGGGTGACACCTGCCTGCCTCCTAACCCCGTGGGACTGCAACACCAGAGTGGTTTTGGCCAAAAAAAAGTATCTTGGAGGGAAAAATACAGCATAAAGCAGACCTCTTGCTTTAAATCGGGCTTCAGCAGCACCCAGAACAAGGCGGATCCTGGAACAGGCCGGGGGGAGAAGGGAGGCAGCGGTGTGCACGACAATCCCCTCACCTCCCTGCTGCTTCTGTGTTCGTAAAGCCATAACCGAGCCTGTTCCCAGCCTGCTCCCCTGGCTCCTGGGGGCGGCTTCTCGGAAATTGGAACCAAACCCCGGGGCTGGGGGGCGAGAAGCGAGGAGCCCCGGCACCCCCAGCACCCAGGGCAGGACCTGGGGCTGCAGCTCTGCAAACCCCCTGCTCCCCTGAGCCCCCAAAACCTCCCCCACTGCAGGGATGGAAGGAGCCTGGGGGATTTGGGGTAAAAACCCCTTTTCTCTGTGTTTTAATTCATCCTGGGCTATTTTAACCCTGTTTTTTTTTTGTTGTTTTATTTTTTTCTCTGTTAGTATGCGCCAAGTGTAACGGATGTGTACGGCAGCGACGCGGGCTCGGTAAACTTTTTGTATGGATGCTTCTGGCTGCGTGCGGCTTCTTTTAATTAATTAAAATTAATTGCGGTGGGGTTTTTGGGGGTCGTGCAGGGCGGCCGCGGGAGGCGATGGAAGCCCCCAGCTGGAAACAAGGGGGGACGAAGTGCTTGGAGTGGGGGTGAGGAGGAGGGTTTTTAATTACGGAGCACATGATTAAAGGCGCCTAATTAATAACTCAGGTAATCAACCAGGCCAGGCCCGGCGCCCACTTCCGCACTCCATTTCCCATCGCCCCCCGCGGCCCTCCCCGCTCCCGGCTCCCCTCACGCCTCTTTGGACTCGCTTTCCCGACACCCCCTGCGGCGGGCGCGGCGGGGGCGGGGGCGGGGCCGTCACGTGACGCGGGGTATATAAGGGGCGGCGCGGGGCCGGCGGCCCCATTGTTGTCGGCGAGCGGCGGCGGGGCGGGACCGCGCGGCCGCAGCCCCAGCGCCGAGCCGCCCCGGGGGCCGCCCCCGCCCCGCCGGCCCCGCCCCGCCGCCGGACCCTGGCCTCGGGGCCCCCCCACGGACCCCTCCCGGGACCCCCCCATCCCGAAGGCCCCGCCGCTGCCTCGCCCCGGGGAGACGGTGAGTGGGGAGGGGGGGGGGCGCTGGGGGATGGGGCCTGGGGGGGGGTAGAGGGGGTCGGGGGGGGGGGCTATAGGGGATGGGGGGGGATGTATGGGGTGAGGGGGGGCTATAGGGGATGGGGGGAATGCAGGGGATGGAGGAGCTATAGGAGATTGGGGGGGCTGCAGGTGGGGGCCTGTAGGGGATGGGGGGGGATGCAGGGGGCGAGGGGGGGCCTATAGGGGATGGGGGAGCTATGGGGTATTGGGGGGATGCAGCTGGGGGCCTACAGTGGATTGGGGGTCTATAGGGGATGGGGGGGATGTATGGGGTGAGGGGGGGCTATAGGGGATGGGGGGGCTGCAGCTGGGGGCCTGTAGGGGATGGGGGAGGTCTATAGGGATGGGGGGCTATAGGGGATTGGGGGGGGGGCTGCAGCTTGGGGCCTATAGAAGATGGGATGGCTATAGGGGATGAGTGGGGGATTATAGGGGATGGGGGGGGCTCTGCAGCTGGGGCCTTATAGGGGATGGGGGACCGTATAGGGGATGGAGAGGGGCTATCGGGGATGGGAGGGGGCCTATAGGGGTTGGGGGGGCCTTTAGGGGATGGGGGGGCTCTCTGCAGCCGGGGGCCTGTAGAGGATGAGGGGGGGATATAGGGTATCGGGGGGGGCTCTGCAGCTGGGGCTGTATAGGGGATTTGGGGCTATAGGGGATGGGGGGGCTCTGCAGCTGGGGGTCTGCAGCTGAGGCCCTATAGGGGATGGGGGGGGCTATAGGGGATTGGGGGGGGTTCTGCAGCTCGTGGCCTCCAGGGGATGGGGGCAGCTGGCATCGTCCCTTTGCTGTCTGGGGGCCTGTAGGGGATGTGTGTGTTTGGGGGGGCTGTGGGGTGGGGGGGGGTCGTGGCTGTCACCCCTCAGAATTGGGGCACCAGGGGAGCCCTGGGCTTTTGGGGAGCCCCCCAGGAGGACCCCGAGTGGAGGGGACGAGGTCATGGAGGAGACCCCAGGCAAGGAGGGGCTGGGGGCAGCTCAGGGGGGTCCTTGGGGTCAGGGGCTGCCCGGGTTCCCCCCCCCCGGCCGTGTGGGTGCCCGGTGGGGTTTCGGGGGGAGCCGTGAGGGTGGGGGCACGGCTCCGAGCCCCTCGGGGTGCCCTTGGCCTCGGGGCGAGACCTCCCGGGGTGGCCCCGGGCTCGGTGCTCACCGGGCGCAGGCCCCGCGGTGCTTTTTGGGGTCAGCCCTTCCCACCCTGCCCGCTGAGCCCGGCCTGGAGCCGCGATTTTGGGGCTTTTTCTGCTGATTTGGATGCTCGTTGCGTAAGGCGCTGCCGGGGGGGCCTTGCCCGGATTGATTCGCTGCCTCTGCTTTTAGGGTGGGAAAGAAACCGAATTTGGGGTGGTCTGGGGGGTTCCTCAGGACACTGTGACCCAGGGGGTTCCCCGGGGCACAGCACCCCTGGAACGGGGTCGGCTCGGGGCGCAGCGGGTCCCTAAATCTCGGGGCCAATGACCAACCCCTTTGGGAAGGCTCTGAGTGGTGCCCCCCGAGCTCCTCGCCCTCGCCGAGCCCAATTACCCCGTGGGTGCCGGCGATGCTCCCCGACCACCCCACGGCCCCGGGGGTGCTCCTCAGGCTTGGGAAGGGAGCTCAGCGCCCCGGCATTTTTGGAGGAGCTGCGGAGCGGGGTCCAAGGGTTTTTTTTTTTTTTTGGCCCCCCCTTGGCCTCAAGCAGCCCCTCTGGGGGCGCGTGGGGGGCGCGCGCTCATCCGGGCAGCCGCCAAGGGCGCCCGCAGCGTGCCACGGCCGAGCTGCGGGGCTGCTCCCGGCCTCCCTCCATCCGATCCCCCCCCGTCCGTGTGTCCGAGCCCCCCCTGTCCATGTGTCCGAGCCCCCCCCGTCCGTGTGTCCGAGCCCCCGGCTCTCTCTGCAGCTTTGCTCCGGGGCCGGCGGCGCTGCGGCTGCTCTGCGGCGCTGCTGCCGCGTCATCCCCGGCTCCTGCTGCAGCGCGGCGAGCGCCGGCCGAGCCCCTGCGGGGTGGGATTCCAGCCCGGGGAGCAGGAACCCGGCCCCCGGCGGGGCCCTTGGCCCCCTGCCACCGCTGCCCCTGCTCCCAAAGGAAGGGAAATGGCCCCAAATCCGATCCCCCGGCAGCCGCGGGGGATGCTGAGCCGGGCGCCGCAGCGGAATGAAATGGGAAAATGGGCTCCTTGGGGTTTTTCTCCTCGCTCCCGGCTTTTTTTTCCCCGTTTCTTCATCCCTCCCGCCCTGCTGCGGCCTCAGACATCAGCAGTGGGGTCGGGGTGCTTTTGGGGCATGGGGGGGCTCGAGGGCTGCGCGCTGCCCTCTGCTCCTGCGGGGCCGATGCCCGCCTGAGCGCGCCCCCAGTGACCCCAGTTCATCCTGGGCTGCTTTTTCCACTGGTGTCAATAAACCGGGGGGGGGTCTCCCCGCTGCTCACCCCTCCCCCCCCGTCCTCTTTCCGCAGCCCCCTGCGGGTGTCTCCGTCCCCCCCCTCCCTCCCTCCCTCTTCTCCCCCATCTGCTGAAACAATCGGCTTTTGCTGCCTCGCGGCCGGCCGAGGAGCTGCTCTCTGCTGTGGGATTCGTGGGCAGGGGGTGGGCGGACGGACAGACGGATGGATGGACGGACGGACGGATGGACGGACAGACGGACACCGGTGTCTCTCTGGTGCCGGGCTTTGTGCAGGCTCAGCCCCCGGGAGCTGGGAGCAGGAGGGCTCCTTCCCACGCCCGTAGGTCAGCAAAGGTCGTCTCCCTTCCAGGCTGGAATTTGGGGTTATTCCGCGCAGATTGGGTGTCGGACGCTTCTCAACATCATAAAACCCAGGAGGCTGTGCGGGTTTTGGCCTCTTGCTCTTTTCAGGCCACTTGAGAACCCAACCCGGCCCCCTCCAAAACCCCGGTGCCGCTGCACCCAAAGGCGCTGCTCTCACTCCAGCCCTGCGAGGTGCTGGGCTCGAATTTCTGCTTGCCTCCTGCCCCAAAATGAAGGAAACCTGCAGGGGATGGCAGGGAGCACGGGGGTGCCACAATGTCACCCCCACAACACCCGGGCAGGGTCCCAGACCCCACGGGGACGAGAAACCAGCAAGGCCAGGGGCAGGGGGCTGGTTTGGAAAGGGACGTGGTGGCACGGGGGATTTGGTGCTGGTTCGTTGGGGCAGGGGTGCTCGAGCCGCTGTTTCTTCTGTTCCTGCCCTCACTTTAATTTTGGGGCTCATCCACGTCCGTCTGCAAGCACCGCGCTGCTCCCAGAGCTGCTCCTTCCCCCTCCCCAGCACCACGATTACCCAATTCCCCTAAAAAAAAAAGCTGATTTTAAGCCTGGGCTCAGCCAAGCTGGGGCAAATCGTGCTCAGACAGTGCTGCCTTTTTGGGGCAGAAAACGAGATCCTCTGCAGTGCTGGGGGCTCCTTGGGGCGCATCCACTCCGGCTGCACCTTCCTGGTGGATGGATGGACGGACGGACAGACGGATGGATGGACGGATGGATGCAGTCTCCCGGAGCCGTTTGTTCCGTTGCCATGAGAACCGGCGCTGCCGCACCGAGGGACGGGGATGGAGCCACCCGCATCCACAGCAGCCTCGGCTCTGCCTTTCCCCAGCCGGGGGGCTCCCCAAAACCCCCCCTTGCCCAGCCCCTCCAGGCTTCCCAGTGAGATCCAGCAGCTCCCCGTCCCTCGGATGCGTCCGGGTGCTCCCAGGCAGGGCTCTCCCTCTGGTGGGGGCTACAAATGGGGCTGAGCCCGGCTCTCGGCCGGTCTGCGGCTAGGGGGAAGCGCTGCGGTTGTTTAAATGGGAATAAAACGTGTTAAATGGGAACGAAATGTGGGCAGGAGGAGCTCACCTCTGCTCCTGGGCCCTCCCCAGCTCTGGGCTGGGTTCCTCCACCCCGCGGGTCCCTGCGCCCTCCTTGCCAGGCTCCATCCCGAGGGCTCTGCCTGAAAATTGGCCGTTTTTTAGCAGCTCTCGGGGCCTCTGAGCCGGGTCCTGGGGGTCTCGCAGCTCTCCTGCCTGTTTGGGGGAAGCTTCGGGGCACCCCAGGTGTCGCTTTGCTTATCCACGAGCGCTGCCAAAGCACCGCAGCTCCATACCCCTGAGAGCAGGGCGGTGGGGCTGGGGACCGTCACCCTCCCCGGGCTCGGGGTGCTCTGGTGAGGAGGAAGGGATCGGGATGGGGCTCGGTCCCTGGGTGCTGACTTTCTTTCCCCGTGCCCACAGGTCCGTGGCGAGCCCGCCGGCAGCTGGGGCTGGCGCCGGGGAGCCGGTGGCAGGTCCCCCCCCCGCCCGCTGCGCACCCCCTCTCCATGCGAGCCGCGGCCAAATGGATGCGATCGCGAGCGGCGGCCTCAAGAGGAAGTTCGAGGACGCGGACGTGGGCTCCCCGGCCTCCAACTCGGACGATGAAATCTCCAACAGCGACAGCGCCGACAGCTGCGACAGCGTCAACCCCTCCAGCTCCACCGGCTTCATCCGTGAGTGGCCTGGGATGGGGACGGGGACAGGGACGGTCCCTGGAGGTGCCGCGGTGCCACGCTGCTGGCTCAGCTCTGCCCACGCTCAGCCCTTTCCAGCTGGGAGATGGCGAGCGTCCGTCCCCGAGCCTTTATTCCTCCCGCTCCTTTCCCAGCCCCTACCCAAACCTTTGGGTGTCTGAACGGGGCGAGCAGCCCAGGGCTGCTGGCACGAGCGAGGGGCGCGGAGACGCCGCTCTCCGGGGGTGGGAGGCCAGCACGGGGCACCGAGGGGGCTTCTCTTCCTGCTCCAACCCCTCCTGGGGCTCGTCCTCCCCGCAGCCACCTCCATCCTGAAGAGGCAGAAGCAGCTGCGCAGGAAGAATGTGCGCTTCGACCAGGTGACGGTGTACTACTTCGCCCGGCGCCAGGGCTTCACCAGCGTGCCCAGCCAGGGCGGCAGCTCCCTGGGCATGGCGCAGCGCCACAACTCGGTGCGCCGCTACACGCTCTGCGAGTTCGCCCAGGAGCAGGAGGTGAACCACCGGGAGATCCTGCGGGAGCACCTCAAGGAGGAGAAGCTCCACGCCAAGAAAATGAAGGTACGGCCGCGAGCTGCAAAGGGAGCGCACGGGGAGGGGGGGACCCAGGCTGCTGCTTCGTCTGGATTTTGGGGTAGTTCAGCTCTGTTCTGTGCCTTCTTTTTTAACTTCTGTTGCCACTGCTCTTGCTGCCTGGTTACTCTGATGCTCCCCCCTTCCCTCCTGGAGAGCCCGGACAAACCTCTCCAGGGCTGTGCCGGTGGAAATTCCAGTCTGGGAAGTGGCTGTGCCCGGGGAGGATCCGGATCCAGGTCCGGGTGGCTCTGCCCGTTCCCGTTCCCGAACCCGTCCCCAATTACAGGCGCAGGGTGCGCGCCCTTGGGCGTTGCCTCGGGGCCGGGCTTCGTTTCGCAGCGATGCTTCGTTTAGTGCCAGCCTTTAATCAGGCTGCTGCTGCCATGACAACGCGCTTGGCAGAGGGACGCAGGCCCAGCCGGCCGCCTCAGTTTTATCATTTTTTATCATTTTTTCTTAGCATTTTGCTTTGCTGACGGCTCCACGCGCTGCCCATGGAGCCACGGGGGCCAGAGGGGCTGGCGACAGCCCCTGGGTCCGGCTGCATCTGCCCAGGGAGCAGCGGGGCTGGGGTTTGGGGGCTGAGAACAGGCTGGACCCCAGCAGGGAGGCGAAGTTGTGTCCTCAAATTCCTCCTCTCCCAGGGCCCAGGTATTTTTAGGAAGCGGCGACCTCCTTTTGTCGTGCTCCTTGCAGGGAGGAGGGAAGGCGGCGGAGCCTCTGCTCTGATCTCCTTCATGTTTTTTTTCTTGTAAACTGCTGTGGGACCAGGGGGCTGGGGGTGGGCTCGATCCTTCCCGCTGGCTCTGCCCCGAGGCGCGCAGTCGGGGTCGGCGCTGCCCCCCAGGGGACCCACAGCCCCCCCCCAGCATCGCTGCGGGGTCTCAGCCCTGTCCCCCCGCCCCGCAGCTCACCAAGAACGGCACGGTGGAGTCCGAGGAGGCGGAGGGGCTGACGCTGGAGGACGTCTCGGACGACGACATCGACGTGGAGAACGTGGAGGTGGACGACTACTTCTTCCTGCAGCCCCTGCCCACCAAGCGGCGCCGGGCGCTGCTCCGCGCCTCCGGCGTGCACCGCATCGACGCCGAGGAGAAGCAGGAGCTGCGAGCCATCCGCCTCTCGCGGGAGGAGTGCGGCTGCGACTGCCGCCTCTACTGCGACCCCGAGGCCTGCGCCTGCAGCCAGGCGGGCATCAAATGCCAGGTGAGTCGGGGAGGGAGCTGCCAGCACCCAGCCTTCAGCCTGCCCGCGGTGCCGGGCTCTCCGTGAGACGTGGAGAGCTGAGAAAAGGGACTGGAGGAGAGGGGTGTGCGGCCCCAGCCTTGTTTTGGGGACCCCTCGCAGGGAAAACCTTCCCGGGGGTCGAGCCCCTGTTGTGGGGTGGCGTTTGGGCAGCGGTGGGGCTGGTTCAGGAGGCAGAAATCGGCGTCATGCAGGCTCCCGGCGCCGCCGTCCTCAGCTGCGCGTCTCCCTCTGGCAGGTGGACCGCATGTCCTTCCCCTGCGGCTGCTCGCGGGACGGCTGCGGGAACATGGCCGGCCGCATCGAGTTCAACCCCATCCGCGTGCGGACTCACTACCTCCACACCATCATGAAGCTGGAGCTGGAGAACAAGCGCCAGGGAGCCCGGCCCGCCGAGGAGGAGGCGGTGGCGGCAGCGGTGGCGGCAGCGCAGGGCTCCGGCAGCGCCTGGCCGGGGACGCAGCCCCCGGAGACGCAGGACTTCCAGGAGTTCATGGCGGAGAACGAGACGGCCGTCATGCACCTGCAGACGGCGGAGGAGCTGGAGAGGCTGAAGGCCGAGGAAGACTCGAGCAGCAGCTCCGGCGTGGAGAGCTTGGGCGTCTGCATCCTGGAGGAGCCCCTGGCCGTGCCGGAGGGTTTGTGCCCCGGCCTCGCCGCCCCCATCCTCATCCAAGCGCAGCTGCCGCCGGGTTCCTCCGTCCTCTGCTTTGCCGACGGCGCCGAGCAGGCGGCTGCGGCGGGCAACCAGCCCTACCTGAACGGTGGCCCCGTGGTCTACTACCAGGTGGAGCAGCGCTCCGTGCTGGGCACCAAGGGCGAGAGCGGCCCCGAGGAGCTGGAGGTGCCCCCGACGTACCCGAGCGAGAAGGACCTGGGCGTCATCTCCGTCCCCGTGGCGTCGCTGGTGACTTGCGGCCGCGCCGCCGCTGCTCCGAGCAAGGGAGAAGCGGCAAAAGCCCCGGCTCCGGAGGCTGCAGCCCCGGGCGAGGGCTGCCGTGGGGCCCCCGCCGCCCCCTTTGGCACAAACTCTCCGTCCCCTGCACCCGAGCAAGCCCCGGAGCACGCACGGGAGCCGCCCGCCGCCGAGGAGCGCGCGCTGGGAGCCGCCCTGCCCGTCTGAGCAGCGGCGGGCGCCCCTTCCTCTATTTATTGACGGTTTTTGACGGACCAGCAGTGGCCACGTGAGGTTATTTAATTGGGGGGGGTGGGAGGGGCGCGGGGCTGCTTTGTACAGGGGGTTTTAGACGGACCCAGGCGGGTGCTGTGCGGAGGTGGCTCCTCGCGCTTGGCGCTGGGCGCGCTCCCCGGGACCACGGCGCGGAGCAGCGGACTCGAGGCCCCCGCGCTTGGCTGCTTCCAGGTGGCAGCGGCCCCGCTGCTCCCCCCCCCCATCCCCAGCCCAGCAGGGACGGTTTTGGGGGACGGTTTTGGGGCCCGGCCACCGCCCGCGGCTGCTCGGTTGCCGTCCGCATGCGCACGCAGCCTCCTGCTCCCCCCCCCCCGTCCTCTGCAGCTCCCCGCTGCAGCGCCCGCCTGGGCACCTTTCTCCCCTTTTAACCAGAAGACGCCGTTTTTAGTTTTTTTTTTTTTTTTAATGTGTTGAATGTTTACGGGGGCTGGGCCGCAGCCAAGCAGCTCTCCGGGGGCCGCGCTGCCCCCCTCGCACCCCAGCAGGGACGGGGCGGTGAAGACCCCGCACCGCTGGGAGGGGGCCCGAACCCCCCCTTCAGCTGCACAGCACGGGGCGAGGACGGCCCCCGGCCCCCCCCAGAAGGTTTTTTTTTTTGGTTCCTCACCTCGTTGCTTTTATCGACGCCGCGGGGGCAGCGTGGCAGGAGGAGAGCCCGGTCCGGCCACCAGCTCCGTCCGTCCTGCAGGAGGGGCAGAGGCGAGCGCGTCCCCTCCATCCCCTCGGCGGGTGGTGAAAGCACTTTGCAGCCCCCCCCTCGGGGCTTCGTTCCTTCGAGCTCCTCGCCCCAAACCCCGTGGGGCGTTTGGCAGGTGGGGGGGGGCAGGACCCAGCGTTTTCCAGCTGTCCCCCGGGGCTGCTCCCCAGCCGGGGGGGGGGGCACGATGCCATCCCAGCTCGGGATGGGCCCCCCCAGGAGCTCGGCGCTGCTCCAGCCCCAGCCACCCTTCGAGCACCCCCTGCCCGAGGGGCGCCATCCCCTGACCCCCCCGTTGGGCACAGACGGACTCCAGCTGAGCAAACCTCGCAGCGAGGGGGAGAAGAGGGGCACCCGGACCCCCCCCAAGACCCCCCCCCCAGGACCCCCCAGCGGAGGAGAAGCTGCCGAGCTCCGAAGCTGTTCCTGATGGGAACCCAACGCAGCCCCCGCGCCCACCACCGCCAAACGCTGCTGCTGGCAGGAGCCCCCCCCTGCTCCAAAGGGCCGTGTGTGTCCCCCCCCCCAGCCCTGGGGAGCGGGGGGGGCGGCCTGGGACAGACTGCGTCCTGCACAAGTGCTTGAATTGCTCGGCCTTCGTTCGGTTTCACGGCTCCTCTCCTGCTCTTCTGCTCCGCGGCCGCTCGCTGGGGTCCTGGGGGGGGCACCTCCGAGCTGCTCCCCCCCCTTGGGACCTTTTGGTGCCCGTTAGGGTTGGGGTTAGGGTTCTCTGAACCCGTTCTCTGAAGCTTTGTGCAGAGCCCGGGGGTTGCAGCTTTGGGGGGGGGGGGGTTTGGGGCAGACCCCAGTGACTGGGGGGGGGCTCCAGCTTTGGGGCTCGGTGCCTCCTGCCCCCCCCCGCGCTCCCTCCAACCTTACCCAAGGGCTACGTCCCCGCGGGGGCTCTGGGGGGAACGAAGCCTTACCCGGGGCCGTGCCCCCCCCCCACCCCCAGCTCCCCGTCCTGGGGGGGCTGCCGTGCCCCCCCTGTGCAAACTCTGCCAAGGCAGAGCAAACGCTGACACTTGAACAGGTTTAAATCTTCTGAGATTTTTTGTTTTTTGGGGGGTTTTCTTGTTTTCTTGTTTTTTTTCTTCCTTTTAAACGAATTCAGCGCCCCCCCAGCTCCCACAACGCAGCCAGGCCGGGCTGGGGGGGTCAAGGGGGGGGTCTCTGCTCCTAGGAGTGACTCTGTTTTTACAGCTCGTTCGTGGTGCAATCAAAGCGTTTCTGCCTCCTGCCCCCTCAGCTGCGTGACGAACTGGTCAGCCCCCACTGGTGCTACTGGGCTGCTCGGGAGCGGTGGCACCGGCGCCCGGCCCCCCCCCTCCCCCTGGCCCCATTTAAATCCTATTTAAATCCCGACCCTGCTCCCCCCGCCCTCGCCCCCCCCCTCACACTGTACGCAGGTGGCATTTCCCCCCCCCCCCATTTCCAGTGTGAATCCAAAGCTTGTCAGGTCCTCAGCATTATTTTGGTTTTTTTTGTTTGTTTTTTGTGTTTTTTTTTTTTTGGCCTTTTACGTTCTTTTCATGGTGACAATGCTGTATTTAAAGAGAAATATTTAAGTGTAAAAATAAAGAAATGCTCAAACTTGCACCGGGAGTCGCTTTGGGGCTTGGAGGGCGCCGAGAGGAGCCCGGGGGGGGGGGGGGGCAAAAGCAGAGCAGGGGCAGGGCCGGGGGGGGGCCAGGGGGGAGCCAGGCGAGCCCTGCGCTTGCTTTTTTCTTTAATAAAACACAAAAAGCGGGGCCGAAACTCACTCCGGAGTCTCTCATGCACAGACCGCGCTAGGACAGGTGGTGAGGGGCTGGGTTTAATCCCTCGGGGAGATGGGGGGGGCACGGTGCAGGCTGCCCCCAGCCCCCCCAAATCCTTTCCCGAGGAGCCCAGAGTGGGGCAGGGCACGGAGGGGCACCAGGCGCTGCTGGGGGCTGCGTCCTCACCACCAGTACAGCCCAGTCCTTCCCAGCGCCGCCCGTGGCTGCAGCCCTGGAACAAAACACAGGGACCACCCCCACACCTAGGGGGGGCCCTCACCCCCCCCAGGAGCTGTTTGCATTAAGACTTCAGTGACACCCCCGGGATCCCCTCTGCACAGGGAACAGAGCAGCAGGGCCCAAGCTGAGCACAGCCCACCACAGGAAGCTCCCAGGGGCAGGGGGGGCACACGCCTGTTCCTTCCCCCCCCCCATCCATAAAGTGCCGCAGTTCAGGAGGTGAAAGGGAGCCGTGAGGGGCAGCGGGGACAGCGCGGAGGGACGGGGACCCCCCCTTCACCTGCGTGGCAGCGCCTCGGGGGGCAGCGGGGCTCCAGGCTCTGCCCGAGGTGCCGGGGATTGGGGGGGGGGGTTGCACGAGCCCCCCCCGGCGATGCCGCAGGCGAGGGGTCTCAGCCGGGGCCCCCCCCGTGCTCACTCCTTGGCCCTGAGGTAGTTGAGGCTCAGCAGGACCATGCTGTTGGCCAGCAGGGACACCTCGGACACTGCACGAGAGAGAGAGGCTGAAACCAAACGGCTCCCGGCACGCTCAGCCCCTCCCCGGGGGGGGGGGGGCTGGGGGGGGCTCCCCAGGGCCTTTTTGCTCTGTTCCCAGCCCTTTATTTCCCCCCCATCCCCATTTTGCCTCCCCCCACCAGGACCCCTTCCCACCACAAGCTCCCCAGGGGCTGCGCCTGAGCCTTTTCCCAGCCAAATTCCAGCGAAATCTCCCCAAAACGCGTGTCCCCCCCCCGCCTCACCCCCACCCCAGCAGGCAGGAGCTGCCTCTGCCCCCCCCTCACCTTGCAGCTTGCAGGAGAGCTGCAGCCACTGCTCCAGCCACGCTCTGCACTCTGCCAGCCCGAGCTGCGTCGAGTTCAGACCCCGGAGGTAGCAAGCCTGGGGGGGGGGGTGGAAAAACAGACAGGGGGGGGCAGAAACAGACCCCAGGGTCACACAGGGGACGGCCCTGGGCCCCCCCCGGGCACTGGAGCCTTCCTCACCGCCCTCAGCTCCTCCTCGGAGAGCTGCCCCAAGCCCAGGCGCAGCAGGGCCCGGTCCAGGTGCCGGATCTCCAGGACGTGGCCGCGCAGGCGGTGCCTCAGGACGAAGGCGGGCAGGCGGGGGGTGAGGAACAGGACCCGGCTCAGGGCCCTCTGCAGCAGAGAAAAAGGCACCGAGCCCCCCCGTGAGACCCCCCCCCGGGCACAACCCGAGCCACCCGATGGGAGCCGTGAGCACAGCCAGGAGGAAAACCAAGCAGGGAAGCGTTGGGAGCGCTTCTCCGAAGGAGAAATTAAAAAAAAGGGGGGGGGAAAGGAGAAATTAAAGGGTCAGAGGAAAAAAAATCCGCAGCCGTGGGGAGGAGGAGGGGGGGGCGCTCACCACGTGGGACGCGTGCAGCTTGCTCAGCCCCAGGGGGGGCCCCGAAAAAAGGCTCCTGAGGGCGTACAGCTCGGCCACCTGCGGCTGCGCCCCCCGCTGCACCTGCAAGAGCCCCCGGCGCTCATCACCAACACTTCCCGGGGGGGTGCCGGGCGCTGCTGAGCCCCCGGGGGGGTGCTGAGCCCCAAGGGGGGGGCCGCAGCCCCCCACCCACCTTGGTGCAGAGCTCCTGCAGCTGGGTTTGGAGCCGGGGCTCGGGCAGGGAGCTGGCGGCCAGGGCCAGGCTCTGCAGCACCTCGGTGTAGGCGGCGCTGCGGATGGCGTGGTAGGCGGCCAGGAACTCCCGCTGCTGGCTCGGCGTCCAGAAATAGCGGATGAGGAGCTGCCGGGGGAAAAAATACCTGGGGGGGCACAGGTGGGGGGGTCAGGGGGGGCAGCCTCACGTGTGAATGAGCTGGGAAGGGCCTCGCTCGCTGAAGCAGTGCCCTGAGGGTGGGGGGGCAGCCCCTCTCCCAGCCCCTCTCCCTGGATTTGCTCCTCCAAAGGCCACGGCGAGCTCCTGAGCTTCACGGGGGGGGGGGGGCACGGTGCTGCGGGGGGGCTGCAGCCCCGTGCCGGGGGTGTTTGTGCCCCCAGGGCACGGAGCTGGCCGGGCCCCGGGCACGCAGAAGGGCAGGATTGCGAAAACGAAATGCCAGCCAAGCCAAAACGCCAGCAGGGAGAGGAGGAGCCCGCAGCGCCCCCCCCGGGAGGTTTTTTTTTTTTTTGGGGGGGGGGGGGAAGGGGGAGGGGGGGGGTACTCACATCAGGACGATGACCAAGAAGTTGGCGAAGGGCGGGATGGCGAGCAGCCCGACCGGGATGGCCTTGAGCACGTCCCTGCGGAACTGCGGCCGAGAGTGAAGCAGCAGGAAAATCAAAGAGCTGGGGGGGCTAAAACCACCCAGCCCCCCCAAAATCCACCCAGCCCCCCCCAAAAAAAAACACCCAGCTCCCCCAAAACCCACCCAGCCCCCTCCAAAACCCAACAGCCAGGCACCGAATCCCACCCAGCTCCCCCCAAAAGCAGTGTCCCGGCCCTGAGCACAGCTCCCAGGCCCTGATTTTGGGCAGGAATCACTCATACACGTCCCCCCCCCCCCCAAAAAAACCAGCCCTGTTCCCCCCCCCCCCCCCCGTACCTGCCGCAGCCTCTCCATGTCCCTGTAGGGCAGCTGCTGGGGGCTCAGCCTCTGCCGGGCCATGTCCTGCCGGATCCTCCGCACCTCCCTCACCTCCAGCAGCACCGACCGGACCCCTGCGGAGGCGGCGTTGAGGCTCCCCCCGGTGGGGGGCACCGGGCAAGCTCCGGGTGGGGGGGGCCGTGTGCTGGGGGGGGGTCTCACCGTGCCCCCACCTCCGGTGAAGAGGGCGTAGAGGGCCGTAGAAGCGGGGGAAGGAGCGCTGCAGGAAGCGCTCGTAGCGCCCGTTGAGCCGCTTCAGGCCCCGCAGCACGGCCGCCAGGGCGCCCCGGGAACCCGCCTCGGCGGAACGGCAGCGAACGGAGACCCTGGGGGGGGGAAAACGGAGGGGGGGGCAGCCGGTTTTGGGGCGGGGGGGGGGGAGGAGATGGCCCGGTACCGGGCTGCTGGTACCCGGCACCCTCCCTCCTCCGGTGCTGGGGGGCGTGGGTGGTAACCGGGGGGTGGGGGGGGTCTGGGGGTGGTACCGGGGTTGGGGGGGGGGCACCGGGGCCGGTAACCGGGGGGTGGGAGGGGGAGCAGGGGCTGTACCGGGGGTCTCAGGGTCGGTACCGGGAGCTGGGGGGGGTACAAGGGGCACCACGGCCGGTACCGGGGGGGGAGTCGGGGGCCCGGGGGTGGTACCGGGGTGGGGGGGGGGGGGCACGGGACACGGCGCCGGTAACCGGGGGGTGTTGAGGGGCCCGGGGGTGGTACCGGGGGTGTCACGGGAGGTACCGGGGGCTGGGGGGGGGGCACGGAACACCACGGCCAGTACCGGGGGGGTGTCGGGGGGCTCGGGGGGGCACCGGGGGCACGGGGGGCACCGCGGCCGGTACCGGGGGGAGGCACCGGGGAGGGGAGGGGGGTCCCAGGGCCGGTTCCCAGGGCCGGTACCGGGGGTCCCGGCTCACCTCAGCGCCCCCCGCGGGGGTCGCGGCTCCAGGAGGCCCCAGGCGGGGCTGGGCCCGGGGCCGAGCCTCCAGAGAGCCCCGCGGGCCCCCGCCCGGCTCAGCGCCATCTTGGCGGCCGCCCACGTGACGCGGCGGGAGGCGGTGCGCGGAGCGGTCACGTGAGCGCCGCCGGAAGTGGCCGCTGGGCGCCGCCATCTTGGGGGCTTCCCCGTGTGGGGCCGGCCCGGGAGGAGCCGGGGGGACCGGGAGGGGTCGGGGGGGGATGGGGAGGGCTCGGGGCTCTCCTCCGACTCTCGGGACCCCCCAGCGAGGCGCGGAGCCGCTCTGTGGGCCTGTTCCCCCCGCCCCGGGATGCTGCCCCTGCTCGGTACCGGCCCCGGTGGCAGCGGCCCCGCTGACCTGCACCGAGGCCTCCAGCCCGTCAGGCCCCGTTGGGCCCCGGTGGACGCTACAAGCACCGCAGGGACCGGCCCTGCTCCACCACGGCTGCTCCTGGCCCCCCGGTGCCTTCCCCGTCACCCTCCCCAGCACCACCGGCACCGGGCCCCATCCCGGCACCCCCCCGGGGCCCCGGGCGAGGCCTTCCCAAAGGAAACGACGTCCCGGAGGAGGGCCCGGAGCCGCCCTCGGCCGCAGCCGGTGTGCGTGGGGCCGGTCACGCACACCAACATCTCCTACGTGCTGGCTGCTGCGGGCTGCGCACTCAGCGCTTGCTTATCGGAGGCACCGGGGGCACCGGGGCCTTTTGCCGGTGTCAGAAAGCCGGGGGTTATCGCGCTGCACCCCTGGGCTTCAGGCCACTGGGGCTCGGTGATAATTCCCCGTATTGATCCGGCCCCGGAGGGATAACGCTTTATCAGCGCTGCACGTCCCGGCAGCTGGGGAACGCGCGGCGGCGGCGGTTGGGTCCCTAATCGGTGAAACAGCCCCGGTGGAGCAGAGTCCAGGTCCCGCTCACTAATTACAGCCGCGCTCCCGCTGCTCCACCAAAAACCCTTTCAGTTGTGCCGGGAGCCGATAACGCCGCCCGGGAGCACACAAGGCCACCGGCAGAGGCCCCGCATCAAAGCTGGCGGCCGCCCGGGGGGCGTTCGGCCGGCGATAGCGCGGGCATGGCCGGGGCTGCTGGGCCCACAGCCCCCCGGGGGACTCTGCCCGTGGGGTGCAGCAGGGCGGGGACGCCTCTTATAGCCGGCGGCCGCGCGCCCGGTAGCAGCAGCGGCGTCGAGCCTCGCGCCATGCCCCACCGGCACCGCCTGGAGCCCGGCCCTGCCGCCTGCGAGCTGGGTGAGTGCCCCGCGGCTGGGCCACACGGGTTTTTTCTCCAGTTCGGGTGTTTTTGGGGATATTGTTCGGGCAGAGGTTGGACTCGATGGTCTTGAGGTCTCTTCCGACCTAGACGATTCTGTGATTCTGTGGATGGCATTTTTGGTGCCTCTGCAGCACAACCCGTCAGAGCCTTTGGGAGAACTGGGCGACTTTCCAGCCGGAGTGCTGGAAACGCGGCGTTTCTCTGCTGAAAAACAGCCAGAAAAAAACAACAGGACCCAAAACTGGGCTTTTTTTTTTATTTATTAAAAAAAAAAAAAAAAAAAAGTTAAGAAAAGAGCATTGTCTGATGGCTCCGGGTGACTTGCAGCCGCCGCATGGGGCGGGCTCAGCCTCGGGACCGGGCCGGGCCGGTGCCACCGGGACCGGGACCCGCTGGTGTCACTGTGACCGGGACGGGCTGCGGACACCGGAGCCGAAGGGAGCCGAAAGGAGCCGAAGGGAGCCGAAAGGAGCCGAAGGGAGCCGAGCGCTCCCGAGCCGAGCGGCGCCGAACAGAGCCGAGCGGCTCCGAGGGCTCCGAGCGCAGCCGAAGGGAGCCGAACGGCTTCGGTGTTTCCGAGCCGAGCGTAGTCGAAGGGAGCCGAGCGCTCCCGAGGTCTCTGAGCCGAGCGCTGCCGAACGCAGCCGAACGGCTCCGAGCGCTGCCGAGCCGAGCGGTCCCGAAGGGAGCCGAGAGTTCCCGAAACGGCTCCGAGCGCTGCCGAACGGAGCCGAGCGGCCCGAGCGCGGCCGGCCCGCTGTGGGGGCCGCGGCCGGGCATGAGGCGGCGGCGGCGGCGGGGGCGGCCGGGGGGCCGGGCGGCCGAGGCGGTGAGAGGAGGGGACCGGGCCCGGGGAACCCTGGAGGCCGGGGGGGGGCTGGGGAGGGGTTTTGGGGGGGTTGGGGAGGGGTTTGGGGGGGCTGGGGAGGGGCGTGGGGGGCCCCCCCCTCAGGGTGCCAATGGGGGGGGGATCCCTGAGGGGAGCGCTGGGGAGGGGGGGGCCGGTGGGGGCCCTGAGGGGGCCTGAGGGGGCCTTGGGGTGCTGGGGCTGGGCTGGGGGGGGTCTGGGGGTGCTGGGGGGGGCTGGGGTGCAGAGCTGGGGGTCCCTGTGGTGCTGGGGGGGGGCTGGGGGGTCCCTGGGATCCCCCAGAGCAGGTGAGGGACGGGGTCAGGCCGGGGGGGGGGCTGATGCCCCCAGACCCAATTTGCTGCCCCCCTACCCCCCAATCCCTGAGCCCCCAGCACCCCCACCCAGGGACCCCCGCGACCCCCCAGCCCCGGGGGGGCTCCCCCTGGGTGTGAGCAGGGCGGGGGCCCCGGCACCGCCTCGGGACGGGGGCTGGAGCCCAGCACCAGGCCGGGGGGGGCCGGAGCTGATGGGGGTGACCCCACTGGGTGCTGGGGACGACCCCAGTGGGTGTCGGGGTGACCCCATGGGGTGCTGGGGGTGACCCCGGCGCCGCAGGGGCCGCGTTCCCGTTGTCCTCCCGGCCCCTCGTCTCTTCGTTTCGTCCTGAACCGACCCTGCCTTCCTTCGGCCTCGTTTTTGGAGGGCGTTTCCGAGCCCTGAGCCTCGCCACCACCTTGGGGCCGCCGCTTTTCGGCGGGCCGGGGGCGGCTCGGTGCCCTCCTGGCCTTGGCCACGGCCTCTCCCGGTGCAATTAGCAGGGAGGAGCTCGCCTCATTAACCCGGCAGGCAGCCGGGCGACCTGGTGGCGCGGCCGAGGGTTGAGCAATGCCGAACCTGCGGGTGAGAGCTCTCACCGGGGCGTGCAGGGCATCCCGCAGAACCAAAGCAGGCAATGCCATAGGGTTTTGCCCAAAAACCCTGGTTTTTGGCCCTAGCTGGTGCTGCCGTGGCACTGGGTGGGCACAGAAGGTGGTCAGGGGCTGGGGCAGGAGGGTGAGGGGTTGGTTTCCAGTCCCCTCTGCTGTTGTGGTGATGCTCTTAGGGCTGTAGCATCCGTAGGGAATGAGGCCGGGTGCTCTGCACCATTGCACGAAGGGCTGGCCCCATGGGGGTGCTCCGGGAGAGTTAACGGTGCCCGAGGAAAGCTGCAACATCAAAGCTCGACAGCAAATGCCACAACCTCGGCGGCAGGAACTGCTCCCAGCGTGGGACTGGGGCTGAGCGATAACCGTGCTGAGCGTGCAGCCCTCGTGACAGAGCACGGCCCTGCCTGCGGGGAGAACGGCCCCAAAGGGGGGCGAGTTCCATCCGCAAAAGGACGGGCATCAAAAGCCCGGGCAGCAGAAGCAGCAGCTTTGCCTTTGGAGCAGAGCAACAGCGCGATATCCTCGGCTCCTTGCCCCGTTTCCAAGCGGGTTTCCTCCTGGGAAGGCGGCCGCCGTGCCTGGGGGTGAATCCGGAGTGAATCCGGAGCCAGACGGTGCCGGTGAGACCTGCAGGGACCAGGGTTAGGAGCGAGACCGAGCCCCAGCCCCCCACATCACTTCCAAACCAAGGAGCTCGCGGCAGAGATAGCGGCGCCTGTTTGGCCCCCGCCTGCGCGGGGCCGCGTTTGGCAGGGAGATATCGGGGTCAGGCAGCGCCGTGCCCAGCCTTCGCCCTCCTCCTCCTCACCAGTGCCCGTGCAGGGAGCATTTGTGGGGCCGGCAGCCGAGGCAAGAGCTGCTCCTCCACGGGGAACCGGGGAAAAGACGGCTCGGTGCCGAAGGCTGATCTGAGGAGCCCTCAGGGCAGCGCTTTCAACGTGAGCCTAGAAGGAAGGAAATCGTGGAAGCGTGCGCGGGAGGAAGGCTCCGTGGCTCCCCCGGGCAGGAGGGGTCTCGCTGCCCTCCCCGGGTTATTTTTGTGGTCAGGCTCGCTTGCTAATCGTCTTTGTAGCCGGGGGTTTGGTGCTGCTGGGGGGAGCAGCAAGTGAATCTTCACAAACCTAAAATGGGTTGGAATCACTTAAAATGAATTGTTCTTGAATGTTGTCCTTTGATGTCTCCGTATTATGAGGAAATCCCCCGTTAATGCACGGGGTCGTTGGTGGAGATGAGAGGCGCTGGTGGTGCGTCGAGGTGTCCGTGGGGCTCCGCGGTTGACTTTTGGGGCCAGCTTCGTGCGTCCTGCCCCAGCTCCTGGCACCTTTCTGCCCGGATCAATGGTGCAAGGGCCGCGTCCTGCTCCCAGGACAGCCCGGGATGCCTGTGAGGGCACGGTGTGGATCCCACACCCCTGCCCGGAGGGAAGGAATGCGGTTTTTGTGCACCCTGAGGGAATTCCCCTCTAGTTTCCGTAGCTGGGGTTTCACAAGAGGCGTGCAGAGCTGCCAGGTGCTCCGCTCCCTCCTCGAGCTCCCGGGGGAGGTAACCCTGTCCCTGCCGGCCGCTCTCCCGGGGGATTTCGTTCTCCTCCTCAGCACCTGCAGTAACCAAACCCTCTCCTCTCCTTGCAGCCAACAGGACCCATCTAGACCCGGGGCACCAGGAGGGCTCAGCCATGGGGACCTCCGACACGGACCTGAGGACGCCAGACGGTAAGCACACCCCGTGCGTCTCCAATCACCCCCTGCTTCACAAAAAAAACCCAAAAAAACGAAAAAAAAAACCACCGAGAGGTCAGCGTGTGCCCGTTTCTGCCCCCATTTCTGCCCCACCGGAGCTCCTGGGGCTCGCCCAGCCTTGCTCAACGCGGGCAGCCCCGGCACCGTCGGCTCTCCCCACGCTTGGCTGGCTCCAGAGGCATTATGCAAACGTGCCGCGAGGTCTTTGGGAGGCCGGGAGGAGGCCGGGAGGAAGGAGGAGCTGCCGGGCTGCAGTTTGCTCTGATGATGCAATAGGAAAGTTGGTAAAAGAGCGGCCGGTGGCGGCCGGCCCCTTCCAAGGGCTGCGAGCTGGGGAGCAGGAGCAGGATGCCGCGCACGGAGAGCAGCAGTGAGTACGGCCCCGCTGTGCTGCTGGGCGGGGGGGGGGTTGGCTGATGGCAGGGGGTCTTCACGGGTTGTTACGTGTCTGAAGGGCAGGAATTTGCAGTTTCTTTGCCAAGGTGACCCCGCACACCCCGCTCACAAGTAGAAACTGGCCCAAAAACTCTCCTGCCAGGGCAGCTTGGGGCGAGGTTCTCCATGGAAGCAGCGGCGGCTCCGCTCCTTGAGGTTTCCTTGCTCCTTGCTCTTGGCTCTGGCTCCCCGATGATTCCGGTCACGCGCTGGGGCTGCCCTGGTGTTGAGCAGTGCCCCCAAACAGCTGCGTGGCGAGGGATTTAAAAAAAAATACGTGGGAGGGGGGCGCAAAGAGGCAGGTTTGGAGCCCGCTGCTCTTTTTGTTGATTGTCTTCACAAAGAGCCCGCCCCGCGCCAGGACACGCAGGGTTTGCTTTGCGGAGCCTCTGCCAAGTTTCCCTGGGAGGTTTTTCACTCTCTCCTTCCTTTCCTCCTCTGTTCCTCCCCCCAGAGGATGGCTCCATGGACGGCATCAGCACCATCTCTGGCAGCAGGAACCCGCTGCAGCCCGCGGACACCTCCTCGGAGGAGCCCTTCACCACCTACTTCGACAGCAAGATCCCCATCCCCGAGGATGAGACGGTGGGTGCCTCCCCAGCGGGAAACGGGGTGGAAAAAGGCCTGCAGGCGTTGGGTGCAGGCGTTGGGTACGTTGGGAGCGTGCCCCAGGGGGGTCTCCAAGCTCGCCCTGGGGTTAATGATTCATCCCAGGTGATTTGGCTCAGGAGCTGCCAACGAGCAGAGAAATCCCTGGGTTACAAGCCCGAGGGAGGGGAGGTTGGCTCTTTGTTCCCTTATCAGGGAAAGGGAGCACACAAAAATGGGGCTTTGTCCCCCTCTTGGAGCACGGGGGTGACATTTCAGCTTCATCTCCCTGCTGGGTTCTGCCTGGGGTGATGAACATCCAAACTTTTGGCCCGTCGGTTGCTCTGGGGCACGCCACGTCCCTGTGGCAGAGCTGGGCACCGATGTCCCCGTCCTTCCCCGTCACAGCACTCATGCTTCAGCTTCCGCAAGCTCTGGGCTTTCACCGGGCCGGGCTTTCTGATGAGTATCGCCTACCTGGACCCGGGCAACATCGAGTCGGACTTGCAGTCTGGGGCCGTCGCAGGATTTAAGGTCAGCAGGGAAACCGGGGAGGGAAGCGCTGGAAACGGTGCCCCTGGTTGGTTTGGGGCAGGGGTGCTGGGCTGAAAGCAGCCTGGGGGGTGTGGGGAAGGGGGAAACGAGGCACCCACATGCCCTCTGCAGCATTTGGATCCTTCCCGTGCCAGCTCCAAGCCCGAAAAAAAAGCCTCCAAATGCTCATAATGTATATATATATATTTTTTAAATAAAACCATTCTGATTCAGCAGGCGGGTGTGGGATGCAGGGACCCCGCTGCGCCCAGGCACCCACTGCTGCCCTCCTCTCCCCCCAGCTGCTGTGGGTGCTGCTGATGGCGACGGTGATGGGGCTGCTCCTGCAGCGGCTGGCCGCGCGCCTCGGCGTGGTGACGGGGCTGCACCTCGCCGAGGTCTGCCACCGCCAGTACCAAAAGGTGGGTGCTCCACTGCCCGGGGGCTCTTCCACCTCCCCCTGCCACCATTCACGGTGCCAAATCCTCCGTGGGAGAAGGTCTTTGGGTTGCTAAAATACGTTTTCAGTCTCGTCTCTTTATTGTTCGGGGAGCTGGGGGATTAAGTGGATTTCTTCTGCATGGTTGGAAGGAGGCAGGTTTAGAGAGAGGCTTTCAGCGCAGCCCGAGAGCTGCCCTGGTGAAGGAGAGCCTGGGTGGGTGGCTCAGGGACACTTGAGGTCCCGTCGGTGTTTTCCCCGTTTGCAGGAGGAGGGAGGTGTGGTGAGTGTCCTGGCACTTGGCAGTGAATCGCAGACAGAGCCTGAAAAAAAAAAAAAACACCACCCTGATTTCATTGGCTCTGTCTGGATCCTCCCTCCCGAAGTCCTCGGAGGCAAGCTGAGATCCGTGTCGGTTAGATAAGCACAAGGCATCACGAGGAGAGAGATGGCATTTGTAGCAGCAGACCCTTTTCTCGCGGTACATCCCCCTGCTGCAGGAGCCGGCGGGGCCGTGCGTCGCCCTCCGCTGCGGCTGGGGAAGTCGGCGGCGTCCCCAAACCCTCGAGACTGCGGCGTGACCGTGCGAGAGGGCCCCCGGCTCCTCGGCAGGCAGAGCCGGCTGGTTTCACTCTCGCAACGCGCCGTATCTGTTAGGACGAGTAATTGGGGTTATATAAGTGACCCGGGAGCCTCCCCTGGGGATTGCCACAGGTAACCTGCATTTCTGCCCCACACCAGCCCCGAGTGCCACTTGGCAGCGTGTTTCCCGCACCTTCATTCGGTGTGGAAGCAGCAAAGCAGGGAAAAAGCAACAGGTCCCGAGTGGGCAGGCCCCATAATCACACATTCCTCGTGGAAATGACAGGGAGAAGCGAGCTGCTCCCTCTCGTTGTGGATGCTGCTCCCTCTCGTTGTGGATGCTGACGTTTCTGCCCCCCCAGGTTCCTCGGATCATCCTGTGGCTCATGGTGGAGCTCGCCATCATCGGCTCCGACATGCAAGAAGTCATCGGCTCGGCGATCGCCATCAACCTGCTGTCCATGGGGAAGTGAGTCGGGTTTGTCATCACGGGGACGCAGGAAATGAGTGCCCCCCCTCTAGGATTAAGAAAGGGACATCGTGCGTGCCAAATGTGCTCGGTTATTTCCTATAAAGCTCCCGAAATAAGCTCTTTGGGGAGGGTGATTCACCCACGCTGTGCTGGCTCTCTGTCCCAGATGACTCAGCCGCTGGTGCCCGATTTATTCGGGCTCGAAGGAGAGCTGTGGGTGGCTGCCTTTTATTTGAGCTGTAATTGATACATGCCAAAAACTGGGCTGCAGCCTCCCTGGCAAATTTTGTATTCCCAGTAAAGGACCGCCAGGAAGATGGCCCTTTCTGGCCACAAAGGTGGGAAGTCAAAACAGAAAAGGAAGCTCCCTTTTTGTACCAGCTTGCTGCTGAAGTCTCGCTCGCTCCTGTCCTTGCTGCGGACGTGCAGTTTGCTCGCTAGATTTGGGGAAAAAA